AAAATTCTATTAATTAAAAATTCGTACAAATTAAAATTAGGCATTTTAAAAATTCTATCAATTAAAAATTAGGACAAATTAAAGTCGGCGATTCGGAATTTTTGTCATTTAAAAATTCGATTGAATGAGAATTCTGTTAAGTTAAAATTCGTTTAAATTGAAATTGTCTGATTTCACAAAAAGTTATTAAATTTTTTTGTTTGTTTCTTTTTTTTCGAATAACGACGTCAATGAATTATTTAATGGAAAAGACAAGAAGTTACTGTTAAAAATTTGAAGGAATTAAAAATAATCTCTTTAACATTGAAAAAGGTTAAAATTGAATTTAAATGTCGTTGGATAAAACATCTACATAAAGAGAATCTCTCTCGCGAACAAACTCGGGATATAACTAAATGTTAAAAGCACTCAAATAGAATGTGACGAGCACGTTATATATATACATATATATCAAGCCGTACTTATTTTAAGGCGATCGATGTAAAAGCCCCGCGTTACTCTCTCTTTCTCTCTCTCTCTCTCTCAGCACTGCGCTATTTCTACCTCGATTCTATTCTACTCCAAACAAAGGGGATTATTATTGAATACATATATACGATGGTTTATTTTAGCTAAATGCAACCTTTTTAAAAATTCCATTTCTTTTTTTTTCATTTATTTTTATAATACACAAGTCTTTTAATTAGTAATTTAAATTATAAAATCATATTTATTATTCTTTTTAATGGATCAATGGATAAAATTTTAACTAATTCAATTAGTCAAATTTGACTATAATTTCAGTTATTTTTTAATATTTTAATTTTTTCAATGTATATTATAGAGCCGATTTTCACCGTATATGGGTTAAATTTAATCTTCCGAGAGATGAATGGCAGTAGATATATTCTGCGTCTGCGCAGAAGCTACATACAAACATTCTGCACAAACGCAAAGGTAGTAGATATATTGTACTGCGCAAAATTTTTGTATATAGCTTCTGCGCAGACGCAGAGTATATCTACTGCCTTTAACCTCTCAAAAGATTAAATTTAAGCCACACTGTGAAAACGTGCTCATAGAAAACTTTCTAAAATAAAATATTCTCAAAATCGCAATGTTTAAACTATTTTCAAATGCGTGTGTAAATAATATATTATTTTTCTTAAAGAAAATATAACTTTAACCATTTTTAAAAAAAATAAAATATATAAAAAAAAAGAAGCGAAGAAATAAATTGTATATAGAGAGAAGATAATTGCAAACAAATAATACACTCTGTCGCAGGTTATTAATAGAACTAGCAGGGTCTAATAGAATGTTATTGAATCGATATTAAACTAGGTAGGTGAAGCGCAAAGCGAATGGCAAACGAGAGGTTTGCAATTTATCAAATTGAAAGGGAAAAATCGGCATTTCAGGTTGTGTGCGTAGGTGGTTTCGCTGATTTAAATGGAGACACGTCAAGCCGTGCCGTCAGTCGCGTTTTGCGATGAGTATTCGGATCAGTGAATTTCCAGTCAAGCAATGGACGAACGGCCGTACAGATAAATGTGTATCATGTATGGTCGATCGGAGGGGATCAATCATTGGTTATATATATATATAAAGACAGGAAGAGCCTCGCGATATGTGATCGAATCACTCTTGCACCAATCTAAATAGAATCATTGACTATATAAATGCTATCAACCTCATTTTTACAAATAATTACAAATAGAAAAATATTAATTCCCTGTTCCTTCATATAAAATTTCCCCAATTATTCATTATCTAGTATGAAAAACTTGCTTTTAGCCACTAAATCCAATACGATGCACTAATTACATTCATCGAATTTCTTTATTTTTTTTCTCTTTTTAATATTTTATATAATTTACAAGCTTCTGCAGTACTACCAATATGAAAATATCACAATGTAGAACATAACCTATATATATATTTAATTTTTCTATACAGGTTCATTTTGAGTAACGTGTAGTTGTCTGTTAACTTTTTTTTTGTGTACTGGAAAATTTTATAATTACTTTTCAGCAAGTTATAGAATATGGTAAAATTTTATCTAGAAGAAAAAAAATACAATAGCGTCAATTACGATAAGACTAACAAATATAATAATCTCAAGGTCTTGAAATAAGTTTTAATTTGTATTTAAAAATAAAATATAAACAATTTATTAAAACTTGTTCTTCTCGCGCTATTAATAAAAAAAAAAAAAACTATCTTTTCAATTTAAATAATTCAAATAATATCAATTTATTAAAAATCTAAAAAGGGATTCGAAAATTCCACTTTTTGTAAATATGAGAATAAAAAATAGACAATGAATATGAGTTAATGGATGGAAAAAAATGTGTACTAAATATTTTAATTACATTTTAATTATCGGCAAAACTAATTAAACTTGAGCGAAATTTACGAGTGAAGGCTGTATGTGTGATGCAGAGAGTGTGGTAAAAGGAACCTAATCTGGGGATCCAAAGAGCGCACGCGTTCATTACGCGAACAGTGGATAACATCCGCATGAAGCGAAAATTCGCGGTGGAAAATGCGTTGCTCTAAAGCGCAAAAAGCCATAGGTAAATGCAATTGAACGCCAGGTCGGTGACGATAACGACGTAGATATCCACTATTGCGCAGCGAGCGAATACGATCAATAGTGCCTCGTATCAAGCGTACGTCCGCCGAATTCTCTCATCGATATCGCGACATTGTGTCTGCGAGTTCAAAGTTTCCAATTTTTATTGTGAATTTTTTTTTCCTTTTTTTTTTTTATTTATTTTATTTTGTTCGCTATACAAAATAATAATCTCCAATAACCATTATGTTCAGATATATATATATATAAAATGAATGTTAAAAAATTCAATTAAATAGGTAGAAAAAAATTGATAAATTCTGTAAAATTAAATAAAAGTAAATGTTAATTGGATTTCATAAAAAAAAAAAAATTCTCATATTTTTTTCGAACAGAAAAAATATGAATTTTAATCTCTAAATATAAATCACTCCTTTTTTTGAACAATTCCCGACTGACAGGTAATAAATTGTTAATGGTTACTTTAATTTTAAAAAATTATTATCTGCATTTTTTTCACATTTGATCAAACAATACCTTTTTTTATCATTTTTTTTTTTTAAACAAACGAAAAATATGTTTTCGTTAATTAGAAAAATATTACTGTATTATTAAAAATATGAATAAAAAAAGAAATAAGAATATTTAAAAAAAAAAATAAAATAAAAAACAATTAATTAATTAATAATTAGTTAATAATTACTTTTAAAAAAAAATTATACACGAAAAAAAGGAGACTTTAAAAAAATTTATGAAGCGCGTGTTATAAAAGAGGTAAATTCTTAGTGTTTTTCCTCTATCAAATTAAGATTAATTTTCGTTTTTACTTTCAATCGCGCTTGTGAAGTAACGCACGTCAATCTGACCTTGGTTCATTTTCTAACCTACGTGGTATTTCCCATTGAGTCATCGACTATTTTCGCCTTGTAATTCACCGAAATCAGTGCTTTCAAGAAACAAAGAATATTTTTTTATCCGCCTCACGAAAAAAAAACACATTGCGTCATTCTTTGAAATTTTAACAAAAATATTAATTTCTTTCTAAATTTCCACTAAACTTTTTTTTATTATTTAATATAAATAAAATATATTTATTATTATATTTATAAATTAATTTATAATAAAATTCCAATTAATTGAAAATACTATTAATAATAATTCAATATAATAACGATAATTATTATTATATTGACATTATTATAAATTATTTCTTCAAAAAATGAGACAAAAAAAATATATATATGATATAATTTGTAACTTTTTGATATTTGAAAACGAGAATTATTTTCGTATATAAATTCGAGACGAATAAATTGGAATGACAGAATGAAAAAAAGTCAATGTTACTTTTTTTTTTAATGGAAAGCTGACAGCTACGTGTTTTTGATGCTGCAATTTTGCTTGTCCAGGAGAACAACTCCGATGGATCGTTAAACAGAGAACCCAAAGCAATTAATTATCACGTTTACGTAATCGCCATACGGCCACATCGGTGGTTCACCGGTTACGCAATCATCCTTCACATTCGGCAAACTATTCTCCAGCATCTCTTGCCTTCTGATTTTATGTTTACCCCCCCTCCTCCTCCTTCTTAGCCTCATTCTTCTCAACGAATAACAACATCCCTATATTGACCCTATATTATTTTTAAATCAAATTTTATTTGAACCTACATTTTATTTAAACCTAAATTTTATTTAAACCGAAATTTTATTTATACGGAAATTTAATTTGGCTAAATCAATATAAATTTAAAAATCATATTTTTATTAACGAATCTTTTAAGAAAAATTTGCTGATATCAAACTCAATTCTCCAGCAAGGGGATTTTTTGTTTTTCTCAAAAAATCTCAGAAAACGAATTCTCTCTCTCGATTGTAATACATCAAGATCTCGATAAAGAGAGACAAATTTAATAGCACTAATCCCAAGAGAAACACAAGATAGAGAGGTAATGCTGAAAATAATATGATTTAACGTTGAGGTTAAGCGTTGGAAGTTAGAATTGCCACAAGAGAGGAGGTGAGAAAAAAATCTCAAGGGACCACCAAACGAGATTGTCAAAGTCACCTCTTGGACTTTTTTTTGGTGTCTGTGTGGCTTTTGCAAAGACAGCTCAATCGAAAAGATCAAAGGAGTGTGTCACTTTTTATTTTTTTTTTATATACATATATAGTTTTTTTTTCCCAATATTTTAAATTTTCCTCTACAAAATTCGGACAATTATTCACCGCAAAAAAAAACAAAATTTATAAATAATTATCAAATTCCAGATTGAGAGGGGAAAAAAAAACCAAAAATTCTTCACTTGGGAATTAAATTTTTGTTTAGAGAATCGTTAATAAAAATATGAATTATAAAACAAGCTCAAAGCCTTAAGCACAATGGGTTCCCGAATGTTATACATGAGATGGAAAAGGATAGAAATATACTTGTGTCCTTCTCTATATTAAATTCGAGTCGGCGCAGAACATTTGTAAACAGAATCATCAACGAAAGAATTTATAAATATTCTGCGCAGACTCGAATTTAAGTAAGAATTTAACCACTTTATAAACTACCTTTTTATAAACTTCAAGGTCAACTGAGTTCTCGACAAATCTCTAACTTAGAGCCAGAAAAAAATATAATAAACAACCTCTTTATAAGCTCATAAGCAATACCCATTTTATGTCTATTATGATAGCGTAAGTCTCCGTGACCGGTTACGATTTTCGCTTCTTTTGCAGAATTCCGCTGTTCTTTTTAGGTCTATATTATTTCCAATGAGTGCCTGTTAAATATAAACATAATCACTAACCTGATATATATGATGACTCCATTAGTGCAAATCCTTTTCCACCCGGGAGGTATGGAGACCGCTGATTGATGTTGCGTAAGCTGTGGTTGCTGTTGTTGTTGCTGCTGCTGCTGTTGTTGTTGTTGTCTCTGTTGTCGTTGCGGCGGTGCACTAGAGTTCATATTATTCAGTGCCATAACATTAAGATGGGGATATAATTGCGAAGCTGATCGCACAGCCTGCTGCGCGTAAACACTATTTGTCACAACGTTATTGGGATCGTGCAATTGACTTTGGCTCTCTTGGCTGCTTAAACTGCTGCAAGTTGATTCAGCCGTATCCGATCGAACTGAATCACAACGTCCAACACTATTTATACAATTTGAACCAAAACTCAATTGCTTATCAATCGATTCATGTCCCTGAACACGATGATTACTCCTTTCATTATTCTGCAGTTGAAGTTCATCTCCATCAGCAGAATAGATACCTTGTTGTCGCACAAATGCAATTCTCACATTATTATCACCACTGTAAACACCATCGCAACCATCAACACTCGATTCATTTGGATTTGATGAAAATGCAATTCTTTTATTGGTGACATAAGCCTCGGGCAATCGTGACACCTGAACGGGATAGGTGACACTATTGGTCCCATCATCGAGAACTGCCGAAGGTATCATTTTCCCTTGAAACCCGTGTTCCTGAGCGATGCCGTTTAGACCTGTTGCGACTGTCGCTTCGTTTCCGTATCGCGGAACATTTCCCCAAACGACGGATCGTTCTTGAGGACAAGCATTGTACAATGCGGCACCTTCTCCAGCTCCGTATCTTGGGCCATTTCCCCATACCAACGTTCGTTCCTGTTGGCAATCGAGCTGTTGATTTCCAACCTCTGAGTTTACATACTCGGAGGTCTTCAGGAATTGTCCCCGACAGCAATTTGTACCCACGACGTCAATTGCGTGCGTCGTCGCCTTCGTGGGATATCCGCCGCAAGCCACTTGGGGCAGCAAACCAGTGACGTAGGGTCCTTGTTGATGATGCGATTGCTGCTGTTGTTGTTGTTGTTGTTGTTGTTGCTGCTGCTGTGGGTGAGGGTGTTGATGCTGGTAGCCTGTACCAGCACTGGCAACAACATTCTGACCAACAGCACTTGCGTAGGCCAAATTATCCCCCGATACGTAAACTAAAACGCTATTCTCTTGAACACCCTGAGGCGGCGGCTGCTGGGGATGCCGTTCACTCTGATTTGGGGGAACTGAATAAGGAGGCTGTTCAGGCTTGCCGGCCATGATCCAGGTCCAGCAGTGCTGGGCTCCACGCCACCGACATCACTGGAACACACAGCGCACGCCCCCGATACTCTTCTAGCACCTGCGGCATCCTCTGTAAACCAAATTTTAATTTTTTTATCATCTGTAAATCTAAAAAAAATTACAAAAGCTTAAAGTTTTTAACTTTAAATCCACAAATTCCAAGTGATATTTAAACCAGGGACCTTCACGAAATTAAAAACAAAATTCAAAAACACTTTTGTTTTGATTTTGATCATAATATCAGAATCTACTTTGGTAAACGAAACGAAAATTCGTCAGATTACTTTTCATATAGTACACAAAATTCGAAGACTCGGAAGTAATCTCACGGAGTTTCGTTTCGTTTACCAAATGGAAATCAAAAGTAGATTCCACTTTCGTTTCGCTATAACCAAACAAATACAAAAATGGATTCTTCCTTTGATTCCTTGAAAGAACGGAATCATTCTACCTTCGTTTCGTCCACTAAATGGAATCAAAAGTACATTCTACTTTCGTTTCTTAACAAATATCGAAACAAAATCAAAATTCTACTCTCGTGAAAGTCCCTCAACTTTGGTAGAAAACTATATCTCAAAAAAATTCAAAATTTCGTCATTTTTTGCAGATTTGGTTTTAATTTTGGTAATTTTTTTGACAATATTTTTGATTCTATCAAAGAACAAAAAACGTTACCTTCTTCCTCATTAAAAAGTGACATATAATAAAGTTATTTGGCGTTAAATATAAACATTATAGTAAACAAAACAATTTTGGGATCGTTTTCTACCCTAGTTGTACTTCTAGCCTTGTACTTAGGGTTAAAGAGACAAAAAGTAAAAGTGGAAAAATGAAACAGAAAAGAGAAACTCTAACTATTATATTCAGTACCATCAATAATAATATAATTACTTTTCTGCAGTTGAAAAGAAATCGGTTATATTACGACACAAGAGTTTCTAATCATCTTAATTACAAATTTCTACATCACACACATATATATATATATATATATATATATATATATATACTGGTATAAAATAATGCTAATGAATAAATCTAATTTTGAAAACAAGCAATTTTAATTTAATCTTTTTTATTTTTAACAAACTTTCATATTCTCTATTTAAATTGTTTTTTTTTAATCTCAGCTTCTTTTCTGTATCATACTTCTTTTTTTTTTTTATTTATTTACAGGCATTACAAAAATATCACCTTTTTTCTCCTCAAAAAATCAGTTACCTGACTATTATCAAAGAAATATTTATATTTGATCAAAATAAATATTTCTTTGAATCAAATAATTTTTATTTAAATTAAAAAAAGGTAAAAAGGGGATTAACTGCGATGCCTGTATTTAAATATTATTATCTCTTTGCACAAGAAATTATATTCTACTTGTTAATTCCTTTCAATTGATTATTCTTTGAATTTTCGATTCATTGATAAATTTTAATCCAAAAGTGCAGTTATTTCTCTTATCATGCAACACGTGCAATCGTCTTATTTATAAATATATATATATATATATATAAAATGTAATCATATCAGGAAACCAATGTTAGTTGAAAATATTTTTTATTATTTAATTTGAGTCAGACAATGTATCAAGTTGACTTTGATAACTGCATTACATGAACAGATTGTAAACAACGCCTACAGCTGTTTATCATGAACTCAATTAAAACGCGCTCTATATAACACAGATCCATTTCACTTTATGTCAACGAATCTTGCGTGATAGTATATATAGTGTATTTCTCTCTGTGTATATACATATATATATACATGAATTGTTGAACGTTACATATATATATATATATATATAAATTCCCATCAAAGTGTGAAACTTTATGGCGTTTTATACCCGCGCTTCAAACGAAAATAATAATAAATATATATATATCTCGAACACGATCTACATGTTCTAGAATAGAGAGAGAAAAATGCGCGCTCTTTGAGCTTTTCCAAATCAACTGCTTTTTCATCTCTCACCATCGTGAGCCGAGACGAGAAAAAGTAATATTCGTTTTTATAATATGAAAGTGCTTTCTCTCCAACAGTCAATTGCCTGAAATTTCTACTTTGTTAAAAAAAGCACGTGCCACACAGAAGAAAATTTATTTTATTAATTCCACCTTTCAAGTAATCGAAAAATTTTATTTTCAAAATCCCTCAAAAAATTATACATTTCATTATTGAAATAAAATTCTTAACAAAAAAAAAATTTAATTCTATATTCAATTAACGACAATGTTTCCTAAATTGAAATCAAAAATGAATTTCTATATAATCAAATGCAAATAAAATGTGCAAAAGAAAGAAATTTTTTTTAATAATTCATTTTTATAATAGTCAAGAAAAAAAAAAGAAAACGGAGAAAATATTATTTAATTGAATTTTTAAAACCAGAAAAAAATAAGAAAAATAATCCGATAATAAAAACATTTACAAAAGAAATTTTCTAATTCTTCAATAATTCATTTTTATAATAAAGCAAAAAAAAAAAAAAGAAAACGAGAAAAATATTATTTAATTGAATTTTTAAAACCAGGAAAAAAGGAAGAAAACTAAATAATAAAAACACAAATGACAAGAAAGTAATTTTCTAATTTTTTAATAATTCATTTTTATAATAGTCAAGCAAAAAAAAAGAAAATATTATTTAATTGAATTTAAAACCAGGAAAAAGGAAGAAAAATAATCGATAAATAAGAGAAAAGAAAATAATTTTCTAATTCTTTAATAACGGGATATATTTAATCATTTTTATATTAGTCAAACAAAAATGTAAACGAGGAAAATCGTACGTAAATTGAAAAACCAAGCAGGAAAAAACAGGAAGAAATAATCTTTGTAATGTAGTATATATTCTTATCTCGAACATTATGTAGGAATGCGTAGTGAATTTGTTTGGTTATGTAACTTGACACTTTGAAGTCAAATGGGTATTGTTTATACTGCACGATTAAAATTTATCAAATATCTAACACTATAACGAGTGCCATCTATTTTTACATACAATAGAAAATTAAGAAGAAAAATCATGAACCAATTGTGAATATAAACAAACTTTTGAGAGAGAGAATTATTTTTGTAGCATCAAAAAAAAAAGAAATAACACTAAATTAATAGAAAGAATTTCTAGAAAAGTACATACCTAAGGTGTAACGACCAGCACTGTGCATTAGATGCATATGTACGATCTGTAGCGCGAACCGCGAATCCCATTGACATCACACGCGATAAAAAATTCGAAACACTAACACTTAATCTCAATTTACCGACTGGTACACACCACACGCACTCATATATAAAAAAAAAAAACCACTTTAAATTTCAAATTCCAATATCGCCGTCGGAAGATCTTGGTTCTCACATCCGTCGCATTCCAAATTGACAAAAAAAGAAACCGTACTCCAAAAAAGATATCTTTCCTAAATTCGTAACTAACACACAAAGTTCTTTTGATTTCACAAATTCTTGAAAAATTTTTTGGTTATTTTCCACAATGAAGAATGGGGAGTCAATCTTCGCGACCTGAATAAAAATCAAGTTCCATAAAGGACATATGGACCGTGAAACACGAAACTAAAATCGGACGCTATTCTATTACTTTTTTTTCTCTCTATATAAAAAATGGGAGTTTAAATGTTATGACGTGTGTGTCACAACGGCAGCAGCACCATCATCACTACGCGACCACTGCTATCAGCACCAACACCACTTTTTTTTTCAAAAAAGCACTGTCAACACTACCACCACCACTAACCACCGTTGTTGCCCCGTGCTAGAACAACCACCGTATGAACTTGGGTTAAGCTAACTAACCCTCGTCGTCGACTTGAACATCTGCGCGGCTCGCGCACACTCTTCCTCTTTTAGAGTTCACTTTCAGACTATGTCAAGATGGACAATTATTATCATCGACTTCAAATTTGATTGCAACAAGATTTCCATATGATATCACTAACTTGTTTCAAATTCACCTATCACATACACTTTTTTTTCTGTTCACAAAAATGGCTCCGTTACTGACAGCAAATGAATATATACTAATACACTACACATCCCGTAATTGTTAAAACGTACGCTGTTTTCGCGTAACTGATATTGGAAAAATATGGCTCCCTCTACATTCCCCAGAAACCTTTGCGGCATCTCACTTGCTCGGCTTTCGTGGATATATATGATGATGCATTTCACAAAAACATCAGACAAATTGTGGCTCGCTCGCGCCATCTCGTTGTCAATTATCAAAGTTCAATTCGAGTTTTTACGCGCGCGAAAATTTAAATTTTGTTCAATCGGTAATTTTTGCAAATATTAAATAAATAATTCTTTTTTTATAAGTTTTTTAATTATTTAATCCTTTAATCGATGAGACGAGTGAAATTTCAACCTAATGTTTACGCTTTTTAGGTGTCAATTTATTTTCTGACAATATTGAGTATTTAAAAATATATGCTATGAAAAATTAAAAAAAAACAATAATAATAAATAATAATATTAATACTAAAATATAATAATAATAATAAAATAATATATATTTTTTTTAATTGACAAATCAATCGTATGGATTTTAAATTATAATTTTTTTTTATTTACTTTTTTTATAATTATAAACAATTAATCGTATGGGTTTTTAAAATTTTTTCAATTTTTGTTAAATAATTCAATTTCTAAAATTAAGAAAAATATTTTTTTTCTTTTTTGAAAATTGTTCTTTATTTTTCATAATAGGTAATGTTTACAATTAAAATAAACTTAATAGTACTTTTATATATACTTATTACTAATAATTATTAAATAATGTAATGTAAATTAAGAACTTCAAAAAATAATTTTTTTTTTCGTTATTGATATTTTGAATATTGTTTTAAACAGAATATAAATAAATTAAACATAATCTTTTCTCTGAATTTCTGATTCATTATTTCTTGGAGAATATTTAAATTTAAGTTACATAACGTAAAAAAACGATTGAAACATTAAAATAATTTAAATCATCAGTCAGTAAAAAAAAAGGTCTTTATGATTTTCCAATACCAGTGAATTCTTTCAATTTTTTCAACAAATGAGTAGCATAAATTTTATAATCTAAAGGTGAAATACCAAGTACTACAGCTTTTAATCTCGTTTCATCCTATAATTAAAAACAAACTAATTATTAATAAATAAATGTAAAATTAAAATAAATTCGTAAACAATTAATTAATAATTTTATATAATTATAATTTGTTAACTAAAAATAAAATAAAAATATCTTCGAAAGATTTAAAAAACAAAAAAAAAAAAGATATTATTTTTAATGTAAACACCTACCATGTATGATTCCTGTCTGACTTTAACTTTTACTAAGAAACTTTTATAAGTGCATTCGTTGATTTTCTTTTGAAATTCATTTGGATCATGTTCTTTTATTTCACCTAATTCTTGTGCGGAAGAATCCAATAATTTTTCACTTTCTTCATTAAATGCTGTCGCCCATTGATTGCTCGTTGAATCCACCAAATTCACCTATTTTTTTTTAAATAAAATCATGGTAACAAATTAATTGATAGTTTTTTAGAATTTAAAATGTTAATGATTTTTTTTTTGACAACTCACGTTCGCAAGTAAACGATATTTAAAGTTCGGATATTCGGTTTGACATTTTTCACAATGATACATTCCATTATCTTGATCAACGACCTAAATAAAAAATAAAAAAAATACATTTCAAGAAAAAGATTAATAATACTATAAATGTTAATATATTTAAATAATAGTAAAATAATAAAATAATAATAAAATAAATTTACATACCTAATATTATTAATGAAAAATAAATAATAACAGCAATAGAATATAGAACTTGAATTAAAACTTGTTTAAATTAAATTAAAAAATGCAATTTAATTAAAACTCATTTAAACCGAATTTATATAAATGTAAATAACTGTAAAATATTAATATAACAATATAACAAAATAATAAAATAATAAAATAATAATAAAATAAAATTACATACCTAATATATTATTAATAAACAATGTTAACAGCAATATATGGAAATTACATTAAAACTTGTTTTATGCGATACAAAATACCCGGAGAATTTTTCGACAAAAGTATTTTTTTTTACAAAATACAAAAAAAAATCGAAAAAATAATATATCATAAAAAAACAAGCATAACAGGCTTCAGATCGGCTTAAAATTTACATAAAAGTTTTTAATTGAAAAAGATTTTTAGATAATTGAATATTTGAAGAATATTATAAAAATCAATAAAATAATTGAATTTTAAAAGAATTATAGTTTTAAATTTAAATTTTTGAAAATAATTGAATTTTAAGTGATTTTGAATTAAAATTTTTCGTAATTTTATTTGCTGGGTTCTTTTTTAAATTTTAAACAATTATTGAATTTTATAAAATTTTTAATTGAAAAATAGTTTAAGATAATTAAATTTATGAAGAATTTCATTAAAATTATTGAAAATAATTAATTTAGCGAAGAATTTCAGTGAAAAATTTGTTAAATAATTGAAATAAAGAAGATCTGAAAAACATCTGCATTGTATGTTTAAAAAATACATATTTTGTTAAAATTTTTTTTTTTTTCAATATTTTAAAAAAAGTCAAAAAATGTCGCAGCTTATTAATATAAGTCGAAAAAAGTCGTATTTTCGAAAAAAAAACCGGAAAAATTCTTATAATCCGAGGCGTAATACAAAAAAAAAAATTCGAAAAAATGTTTGTCATAAAAAACAATGAGAATCAAAGGCTTGATTGAGACATAATATTAATCCTCATATTAAATGATTGTTAAATAATTAAATCCCATTAATTTTGGTTATTAATTTATAATTAATTTTCCTACCTTTTTCTTGCAACCTTCATTGGGACAGGCTTTATAAATGGAATTAGCAGCTTTAACCATAGAAATGCTTGCTTTAATTAAAAATGTAGTTGGCTGTCCTTGATAACCAAATTGTAAATCTTTTGATTCTTGAATTGTTATCCATGGTGCATTCATATCGCCACCTGTAGATCTTGATATTTGTTTAACTTCCACATCCTTTCCACCAGAATTATACCAACCTTGCAATCTAGATAAAATTTGAAAAAAAATTCGTCAATATTTAAAACATAATTTCTTTTCTCCACAAAGAGAATGTTTCTTAGAAACGAAAAAAAAACAAACTTGTGGGCTTCCGCAATGTCAGGATCAACTTGCAATACAGTTGAATTAAGTGTTGAAATATTTTTAGCCCCATTAAATTCTCCAACTCTTGCACCTTTAACTGCCAATGTTGGAGCACTTGAACCATCAAATTGCTCTGCTTGACTTCCCCATAAAGTTATGCTAACTGCTGCATTACTTTCATCGACAAGTGTAAGATCTCTCTTCTTTAATAATCTACCAGTTGCTCTTGCCGTCAATTCTTGAAGTTCTCCAGAAAATTTGACAATGCCCAAAACATCTTTTTTCATGAAAAAAAAAAATTAATTATTTTCCTCCTTTTTTTCAGACTATTATAGATAATTTAAAAAAAAATTACCTATTATATCATCCTTGTTTTTTTCTTCAATTGACGATATGGGAATAAAATTAAATTGAATCATTGGAATGTCGGCTTCTTCATGACAAGGAATAATTTCCGAATCAGCAGTTAAAGTCATTTCATAATCATTTTTCAAATTATTAAATTGTTTATTTGCCGGTTTCAATTGACAGCGAGAAATATAATAAATTTTTCCAATCTGAAATTATTTTCATTTTTTTTTTTTTTTATTATTCATGTATTTATTTATTCATTATAAAATGATAATTATTATTTGTGGAAAATTTATTTTTAAATACCTCAATCATTGAATGAAATTTATCGCATTCATTTTTAAAAGCTGTGCATCTAATTTCTCCACTTTCATCAACTAAATCCATTGAAAAAAGTTTTCCCTCCCCGCGAGAATTACTCCATGTTCTAATATCCGATTTGTTTGAAACTCGAACCTTGATAACCCATCTAAATATAGAAAACAAAAATTAATTAATTTAATTTAATTTAAATTTCATAATTTGAGAAATATATTTTATACAAACCTATTTTGATATGGACTGAGAGATGATATTGGACTCGTATTAAGCTGGCTTGGATCGCTAGTTGTTGACATTGACGAATTTTGAATCACATTTGCTGTTAAAAAAAAAAATATATTCTTTATATCATCAGCAATCATTGAGAATTAATTTTATTTATCCAAAATGAGAATTTAAAAATACACACGCTTTAACGTAGGTTTCTGTTCAGATTGACCGCTTTCGACTTTAGTTCCAGTATTTTCAAATTGTGTTGGATTTCCAATTTGTTTATTAACTTCAGAACCGGGAACTAATACTTCTATTCCCAAAATTATCATGACACCCCTAAAAAAAATTTTTTTTTAAATAGAAAGTTTCAAAAAAAAGAAAGAAAGAAAAGAAAATTTCCCATTTATCTATTACAGGCTTCGAAATATATAGTAGATTACTAAAAAAAAAAAAATATGAAAAGTATTTTATTTGTCGTAAATAAATTTTTCTTTGGCTCTAATAAATTTTTTATTTAAATGAAATAAAATATATTTGCAACAAATAAATCAGTTTTTAGGCTCGGAGACAAATATACCATTAATCTGAGAGTAAGATTTTTAAGCTACACAGAATGTAATTTTAATTTTTAATTGAATCTTCAAAGAATTATAATTGCAATTATTTTTAAACAGTGAATTTTTAAAGAACATTAATTGATATTTTTAAAAATTATTGGAGTATAACTGAAAAAAAAAATTTATTTGATGCGAATAATCGATTACTTGACTATTATCAAATAATTAATAATCTAATTTTAAAAGACATTGATTAAAAATTCTTTAAACACTTGAATTTTCAAAGACATTGATTGGAAATTTTTTAAATAATTAAATTTTTAAAGAATTTTCACAGATATTTTTGAAATTACCCAAAATTGTTAAGAAATATTATAACTTTTGAAGAAAGTTTAATAGAAATTTTTTCAAAAATAATTGAATCTTAATATTTAGTTTTTAAAATAATGTAATTTTCAAAATTTTATAGTTAAAGATTAGCTTATGATCGAAATTAGTATTTAAAAGGTAGCTCTACCCAAAAAAAAATATCAAAAAAGTAAAAAAGTAATACTCACTTTTGTTGACCGTTGTTATTAACTTTGCTAATTGTATATTGAGTGATTCGACAAATTGAAAATTCCGTCATTGTACCTTCTGTGATTAAATGATTTAATTGAGTGGCCAGCATTGTAAACGAATTTATTTGTTTTCCATCGGAAATTAAAAGACGATATCGCTCTGTATTATTGGTACTTGAGAGTTTCTTTTGACCCTATAATATTTATTAAAAATTTCTTTAAATTAATTCAATATTCTTAAAAACAAAATAAATACAATGTAAATAAAAATTTTTTAAAAATCATATCAAATATTTACAACGCATACGAAACATAACCTATACGCGTCAAAAATGAAAAAATCATAAATAAGCATTTTTTTTTATAACTAATTAGATAAACTTACCAAAACTTGAATTATTGGTTTATCAACGTTAACTCCGTTCATTATTTTCTGAAATAAAAATGCAAGGTATTAGATTTCAATATTATAACAATTTGGAATATAAATAAAAATAACTCACTATTATTGCTCCTTCCGTTAAATCATACATTTTGATTATTTTTAATGAGATATAAAAATAAAGTAAATAAATGCACTAAAATTGTAAATTTAGATCGTTAAATATAAAGTCTCGTATAACATTAGACACAAAAACAATTGTGCAGGATGAAACACGATTTGGAGGCAAAAAATATGGCGGTTCTTGGCGGGACCTTCTACTTTTAACAAAATTATTTCCACCAATAAGAAATACTTATTTCTTATAAAACTAACCTAACAATTTGAATTTCCGTTGGGGCGAGAAATTGAATGACGTCACAAAATTCTTTGAAAAAATATAGTAAAAAATTAATTTTAACACAGAAAAAAATTATTCCCTTATTCTTAAAGTAATTGAAGTTAATATTTAAAAAAAAAAATATTTCTATCATAAAAAGAAAATTGTTATATTTTTTTTATTTGAGGGCGCGCGCATTTTTCTACCAATGAGAGAAAGAGAGTGTAGGTAATTGCACCAACTAATGAAAGAGGGGGTTATAGTAGCACATGCGCAGTTGCGTAATTGTAAATGTCAAGCGTGTTTCTTTTAGGTTAGTAAATAAAAACGAAAAATATATTTTTTATTTATTTTTTTTGAAATAAAATTGACAAAGCCTTTTTTACAATGGAGGCAAATACAAAACAATTACAACAAGATGGACTGAGAATTGATGGACGTAGACCTAAAGAAATTCGAAAAATTAATATAAGATTAGGTGTTTTTGGACAGGCTGATGGAAGTGCATATATTGAACAAGGAAAAACTAAAGTTTTAGCAACAGTTTATGGTCCTCATCAGGTATATTATTATTTTTAAATAAAAAATATGTGTCATTCTTTTTTTTTTTAAATAAATTACTATTTATTTATTATACTTAGTTCGTGACTTTGTTTTAAACGTGCTTCCGGCACACTCCTTTATACATTGTATGTCCTTTATTAAAATTAAATATTTTTTATTTTTTATTTTTATATTTAATATTTTAAATTGAAATATTATTTTATCAATAAATAATTTAAAAACCCTTTTCGATTTAATTTATTTATTTTGAAAAATGTATAAAAATTTTTGACAAATAAATTATTTATATGAATAAAATTTGAAACTGTCGCTAAATTCAAGAATATATAATATATTTATTATAATATTTTAATATTATTGTAATATGTATTTAAGTTAAAGTTTAAAACTTTAGCCACGTGGATCGGCGGCAAAAAATGTGTCAACAAAAACAGTAAAAGGAATAGTTAATTGTCAATATAGTACGGCAGTGTTTAGTTTTGGTGCTGGTGAACGAAAACGAAGACCAAGAGGAGATCGAAAATCATTGGAACGATCTCTTCAACTTCGTCATGCAATGGAAGCAATTATTCATTTGGATCTTATGGCACGATCACAAATTGATATTTTTGTTGAAATATTGCAAGTCGATGGCAGTGAATTTTGTGTTGCTGTAAATGCTGCAACACTTGCTCTTGTAGATGCTGGTATTCCAATAAAAGTAAGTCGATAAAAAAAAATATTTTTTTTTATTTCATTATCATTATTGTTATTAAATAATAATTAATTAATTTAATAATAATAAAAAAAAAACTTCTGTAAAACCTTAAATTTTCATTGAATTTTGTTTTGTTTCTTGAAAATTTGTAAATTTTATTTTATTAATATTATTATTTTCATTTAAGAGAATTTTCAATTAATTTATTCAAAATGAAATTTGAAAGAATTTAATCAAATTTTTGTTCTACGAAATTTTCTTTTAAATGAATTTTTGTAAAATCAACAAATTTTCAATTAATTTATTATAAATAGGGAGAAATTAATCGAATTTGAAGGAATTTTTATTTATGAGAATGTTTTATGCAACCAAATTAATATTTAAATTTTCATTTAACTTGCTTTCGATTGATTTTTCATTAATACGAATTATTATTTTATTTGTTTGTTTTACGGTATTGAAATTGTGACCTATGACCTCGAAAACGGCATTTTGAAGTATTAAAATAGATTTTTTGTAAAAAACTTAGTAATTTTTTTTTATTTTCAACAGGATTATGCTGTGGGTTGTTCGGTCACAGTGGCAGATAATGCAACAACAGACGATAAAGGAACTCAAAGAATTGGACTTTTAGATGCAAATTACATGGAAGAATGTACGCCCGGCGTTACATTATCAATAGTTTCACTTCCAGGTCATAATATTGAAATTCCAATTGGAAATAGTGTTCTTATCGTTCAAGGTTCCGGTCAACGACTTCATTTGTCACGTTTAGAGGAATTAAGAATGATGGCCATTGAGGGTTGTCGCGACATAAGAACAATTCTCGACGAAGCTGTGAAACATCATTTAAACATCTACTCTAGTCATACCGCCGATTAAATAATAGAAAATAATAATAATACATAGAAACAAGTTCGATTTTATAAAACTTTATTTTTACTTTATAAAAAATAAATAACTTTTTTTTAATAGAAAAATGCTGATTAACTTGCATTTTCGCATTTCTTTTTTCTTTTTTGCTTACACATCTATAACAAAGTTAGAGTTTCTTCTGTTTGTAAAATTATACAAAAAGTATATTGTAATCTATTTCATTACTCATTATTATTATTATCAATATTATAATTATTATTAAAAAAAATTTATTAGAGTTTCGCGTCTGGATGTCGTTCCATGATCATTCCAACTCCCTGCGGGGGGAAAAAAAACGTTCAAAAAATTATTTTTTTTTTTTTGAGATTAAAAAGACCTTTTTTTGTAATTTAAATATTTTACCTGTCCACCGGCCGCGCAAGCAGCGATTAATCCAAATTGTTGATCTTCTCTGATCATTCGATTAGCAGTGTGTGTTGCCAAACGAACTCCTGTTGCAGCGAATGGATGTCCAATTGATAGTGATCCACCCCATTTGTTCCATTTTGCAAGATCAGGTACTCCTACTTTTTCCGAACGATTTAAATGTTGTTTTGCAAAAAAGTCCGAATCTAGGGCTTTTAAATTTGCTAAAATTTGTGCCGCGAATGCTTCATGCACCTCCCAAACTCCAATGTCGTTTAAATTCAATTTTGCCTTTTCCAAAACCTGCAAATTAAATAATATTTAATTAGTTGAAAAAGAAATTAATTTTGAAAAAAATATTTGGAGGGGGGGGGGGGGTAAAAACCTTAGGAATAGCGTAGGCAGGTCCTAGAAGTAATTGATCCTTAGGATCCTGTGAAACATATGTGAAAGTTCTGAGATAAGCTTTTGGTTTAAGTCCAAGTTGACGAGCTTTTTCCTCGGTCATTATTAATGCAGCCGATGCTCCATCAGTCAAATAAGATGCATTTGCTGCCGTTACAGTGCCATAGGGTTTAACAAATGCTGGTTTTAATTTTGCTAATTGTTCAGGTGTTGAAACACGAATTCCATTGTCTTTTTCCACAACTGATTTTTGTCCTAAAAAATAAAAGGAAATTACAACTTGAAAACTAGTTAAAAACTTTAATGGATTATTAATTATTAAGTAGTAAAAATTAAATTTTTAATAATTTATTTTGAAATTATTTAAAATTTTAATTTTTTTGCACTTACCTACAAATGGAATCAAATCGGAGAGATATCCCTGCTGTTGAGCTTGAGCAGCCAAAGTATGAGATCTCAAGGCATAATCATCTTGTTCCTTTCGCGTTATTCCGAATGCAGCGCCAAGACGATCGCCACTGTGACCCATCACTTCATTTGTGGAAAATTCTGCAACGGCTGGAAGCTGTGTATTTTTTTTTTCTTTCAGTGAAAATTGTTTTTTTTTTTTTAAATTCGAAGTAATTAAAGTAATTATATTTTTTTTTTTACCTCGGGAATGAGATGTGCGGGTCTGAAAGAGGCGAGCAAAGCTAATTTTTGTGCAGGACTTTTTGCTTTGTTTGCTCGTAACATTAGACTTCGCATATTTCTACTGTGTCTGATGGGTACGTCTGACATAAATTCAACACCACCAGCAACAATTGTATCGTATGCTCCACAAGCAATTAAACCCATTCCAGTTGTTAGGGCCTGATTACTGCTGATACAAGCCATTGTCACTGTATGCGCTGGTGTTCTATCACTGTATCCAGCAGCAAGTGCTGCTTCACGAGCAATATTTGATGTTTTTACTTCCTGAATCACTGATCCATAAACGATGTATTCAATTAGTTCTTTTGGAATGCCAATTTTCTTCTGCAAGTTGCTGCAAAAAAACAAACAAATAAATTTATGTTGATTAATTTATTACTTATTATTATTATTAATATTAATTTAAAAAAAAAATACTAAAATATTATTTTTAATAATTTGAATGAAATTCTTCACAAATTTAATTATTTTAAACTATATTTAAAGAAAAATTTTCTAAAATTCAATAATTATCTGAAATTTTCAAAAAAAAATCTTCATTAATTCAAATTTACAAAAAATTTGAAATTGAAATCTTCTCAAATTCAATTAATTCTAAAAATCTGAAAAGTTAATTTTCAAAAATTCAATTATTTATTATAAACTTCTATCTAAAATTCTTCGATAAATTAATAATTTTCAATAATTTTAATAAAAATCTTCAAAACTTCAATTACATAAAAAAATTGTAATTGAAAATTCTCTAAAATTCAATTATTAAATTAAATTACCTAATTAAGAATCTTCATTAATTCAAATTAACGAAAAATTTCAATTTACAATCTTCTGAAATTTAATTAATTACAAAAAAAATCGGCAAATATAAATTTTCCAAAATTCAATTATTTTCAATTTTTAATTATTTTAAATAATTTTAATGAAAATCTCAAAAATTTCAATTATTTAAAAAAAAGTTTGTAATTAAAAATTATCTCAAACTCAATTATTGTCTCAAATTTGTAAAAAAAAAAAAAAAAAAAACTTTATCAACTCAAATTTACAAAAAATTAGCATTTAAATTTCTAGAAATTCGATTATTTCTAAAAATCTAAATTAAAAATCTTGAAAAATTCAATTATTTTTATAAATTTTTCTAAAAAATTTGGAAATAATTGTATGTATGTAAATTATTGTAAAATATGTCAATTTGTTATTGATAATCATAAATTTAGTAAAAATAATCTTATGAATTTAAATATGTTTTATCGATAAACATTTTTCTTTTTTTTACATTTAATTTCTTCGACCTATTATTTTAGAAAATTGGTTTTGCTTTTAAAATTCAGGTTGAAATAATTATAAAATAAAATCCGTTTAATTTTTGTTTCAAAGTAATGAAACTAATTAATAATTTAAAAAAATATTTTTCCCAAAAATTTTCAACTTACACAAGGGAATGCCTCGCAAGATCAACTGCCATAATATTTTTATAATCCGTGAATGATTGTAGAAAAGGTGTTCGAACTCCATCAATAAATACAATATTTTTTCCACCTGTTTCGGCAATTTTAGTTGCGTATCCCTTTTTCAAAATTCGTGTCGATTCCCAAGATAAACCAGCTACAATATTTATTTGTTATAATTTAAATTTAATGAGCCATAATATTAAATACTTATATCTATTTATAATATAATAAATTTAGTTATTCTTAATAAAATACAATAATATTTTTGACATTTTTATGGGGTTTTTTTTTTTTTTATTTTTTTAAATCGTAATATAATGGAATGTCTCTAATAGAAAAATTTAAAAACTTTAATAATTAATTTCCATCCTAAATTTTAATTCAATTTTTGCAAATTACATAATATATTTTATTCTAAATTGACTATATATTAAATAATAATTGACTGATCATTGAATCGATTGAACTTTGTACCTAGGACGTTCCATATTTTGAATTTGCATTTGTTTTTATGAATAAATGCTAAATATTTAAATGACAACAATGAATATTGATAAATATAAAAGTGAAAAAAATGTACAATTCTTACCTTGTGGTAATAAATGATTAAAACGAGGTAGATTTTTGACAATTACTCCTGACATTTTTGTATAGAGGTTATGTTACAATTTAAAATTTAATTTTTTCGGGATAACAATTAAAATATGATTATCCCTTTAAAAAAATTATTATTTGTTTTTCTGTAAATAAATTTTAATTGACTAACAATATTAACTTTTAAATGACAAAAAAAGAAAAAAATAATACGAAATAAATAGAACGAAATGTTACTTCACAACTTTCTATTTCTTTCGAGATGTTAACAGTACAATGTACAAAATGAGACTGGGAAGGGAACGAAATGACGTATGTAGCTGAAATTATTTTTTAATTAAAAAAAAATATTTTATGGTATCAATGCATTTTTTTTTATTTTTGAAATATAAACAATTAAATTTTTTGTAATGTAAATATTTTTTATGAAAATAAATTATTATTAATATTTAAAATACAAATTCTATTAATCTTTAAAAACAAAATTGAATATGTTTAATAATAAATAAAATATATTTTTAGGCTAAAAAGTTTTTAAAAATAACAGTTTTTTTTGTTAAATAACTAGAAAAATTTTGAACTTGTTTTTGGAAATTTCCACGATAGTAGAGCGCTAAGATCGAAAGTTTGCGATAAAATGTTGCTCATGTCACATTTCGAAGGTTCCTCTTTACATTACGTAAATTTACGTCAAGAAGATAGTAATCCAACCCTGGTGTGAGGTAAGCAAAAAGAGGGGAAGTAAAGAAACAACAGTTTTTTCAATGTGTTGATAATGGTGTGCGTCAATCGGTTATATTATTAAATTATTAAAGCATTCTCTTAGTACATTGTTTATAAATAATTTTCCATTTTTTTAAATCCTATTTTTCTTTTACAAATAATAAAAAAAATTTCAAATGTTGCTTATTTTATCTATAAATAAAATCATCTTATGTGAACGAAAATTTAAAGTGTCAAAAAAAACGAAGACTTTTTTTAATTGAAAGATTTAAGAAATAAAAAAAAAAAAATGTTAAATCAAGCAGTAGTTGATGCTCTTTATTCGGCAACGTATATTGAAAATTATTTAGACTGGGTTGAAAATTTACCAGATGATTTACAACGACACGTTTCTCGATCACGAGAATTGGACGCCACTTGTCAAAGTAAGTTTTCTATTTTTACGATTTATACAAAAATTAATTAAAATATTTATCATTTTGTTGAAAGATAGTTTGAGTATTAAATAATGAAAAAAAAATTTATTTTTTTTCGGAAAATTTATATTCAACAATTTCAATTTAAAAATTGAAAAAAAAGTAATTTTTAATTTTTTTGCGTTTACTAGAATTTCTTCGAGAAGTTGATCAACAATTGGAAATTTTGACAAACGATGTTGATAGTACAACTCGTAATAGAGCATTACTTCGAGTGCAGCAGGCATTAATTGCCGCTCAAGAAATTGGTGATGAAAAATTGCAAATTGTTCAACAAGTTCAAGATCTTATAGAAAATAAATCTCGACAATTGGATTTGGATTATCGTAATTTGGGTATGATATTTTTTGGTTTTTTTAATATATCATAAAATTATTTTATTAAGGAAGTAAATTTTTTTCTGTTTTTTTTTAATTATTTATTATTTTGTATCACTTTAGCAAAAATTCAAGTTGCTTAAATATTTTTAAATTTGTAATCAATATATAATACAGGCCTCGGATTATACGACTTATTTTAATAAAATGCGATTTTTCTGACTGTTATTTTTTTTTTTTTTTTTACAAAATTTTTTTAAACAAAATACGTCTTTTTTAGTATATAATTTAGATTTTCCTCAGATCTTCTTTATTTCAATTATTTAACAGATTTTTAACTGAAATTCATCACTAAATTAATTATTTTTAATAATTTTAATGAAATTCTTCACAAATTCAATTATGTAAAATTATTTTTAAAGAAAAATTTTCTAAAATTCAATAATTATCTAAAATTTGCAGAAAAAAAAAATCTTCATTAATTCAAATTTACAAGAAACTTTAAATTGAAATCTTCTGAAATTCAATTGATTCTAAAAATCTAAAAAGTTAATCTTCAAAAATTCAATTATTTTAAATTTTTAATTATTTAAATTAATTATTTTAAATTATTATAATGATGATTTAATTAATTAATTAATGATTTAACTCTTTTAATTATTTTTATTTTTAATTACATATAATATTTATTTTTTTTTTCTCTATAGACTTTGGCAAGGAACAGGAAAATAATGAAGGAACTAGAGAAACAAATTCGGTTATCAATGCAAATACAGCAGGTAATACAAATAGTACAGAAAGGCCGACAAAACGTGCAAGAAGAACGAGAACGGAGACATTGGTTGAATCAGCTCACGCAATGGATATGATGACAATGTCAGAAACTCGTTCAGCAAATATTCCAAACAATTCGAATGGTAATCAAAAGAAAACGACTGCAGCAACTACTGGTAAGAATATCTTTTTTTTAAAAAAAAAAAAAATTAATTTAAACACGAAATTTGGGAAATTGATGATTTTTTTTTTAAAAAACATTTATTAATTCAGAGAACAGAAAATTACAGATTTTCATCTTTTCACAGGTAAAAAAAAGAAACGAAAAGCACGTCAAGGAAATCAACAAAATCAACATCGAGAAGACACACCACCGCCACAGGAAGACGATTTGGCTATTGATCCAGATGAACCAACATATTGTCTTTGTGATCAAATTTCATATGGTGAAATGATATTGTGCGATAATGACTTATGTCCAATAGAATGGTTTCATTTTTCTTGTGTTTCTTTAACAACAAAACCAAAAGGAAAATGGTTCTGTCCCAAGTGTAGAGGTGATCGTCCAAATGTCATGAAACCAAAGGCACAATTTTTAAAAGAACTCGAGAGGTACAATAAAGAAAAAGAAGAGAAATCGTAGCAACAGATTTCATTTTATAAAAGTATAAAGAATTACTAGATTAAAAAGAAATAAAGAAAAAAACACTTTTTCATTGTTAAAACATAAAGTCGATTAACTAATAATACTGATATAATAAATAAATATTTGTTACTTTGTCATAAAAAGAAAACAATTTTAATGTTCTATTTATACGACTTTGTGATTTGATCATTTTTTTTTATTTTTAATAATATGAAAATAAAATTTATTTTTCACTAATTTTCGCTATTTCTATTGACTTTAAATAAAATTTAATTCTAAGTGTTGCAATCCAATTGCACTTTTTTTATGAAAAAAAAATACTTGAAAATATTTATTTTCTATATCAAAAAAAAAATTGATAATTTAATAATAAACATAAATTTTTATGGTTTATTATTAAATTATTTATTTCAACTATTGTAATATCTAATAATTTGTAAATACTTTGCATACTTTTTCTTATAAATAAAACTAATAAAAGATTTTTTCATAATATTAAATATTTTCGGAATCGTTCATAAATAATGATTATTTTTTTTCTTATTCATATATATATATATAAATTAATAACGTTATTAATGAACGATTTTTTATTGCTTGCTTATTGTGTATAATAAATATTAATTGTGAGAATGCGAATTAACATTCAAATTTTTAGCTTTAAATTAAATATTTTTTTTTTGTGATTAATGTTTATCATGTTTTCAATTATTTAATAAAATTAAAAATTGATAAATTAAAAATAATTTTAAACATGTGTTATACACACTAATAATAATAATTACGAATGTCATAAAAAAAAAAAAGTTTTACTTTATTTCTCCCATTTCTGAATAATATTCATATTGACGATTTACATGCAAAAATACACAATGCATTTTTAGCTGTAATTATTTATAAGGTACATATTAATTTCTTTTTTGTATTTTTTCGCTTAAATATTAAACATTTACACAAATATGGATTAAACTAATTTGTTAGTGTATGTCTATTATTAAAATAGAATAAAAAATTAATTTGTTAAAATTTTCATTTGACAGAATTTCATTACTTAGAATTTATTTTTAGCCGAATTTTTATTCCTTGGAATTATTATTATTTGTATTTGGATCAATAATTTCTGTATTTGAAACAAATACTATTTAATTGACTCAAATAAAAATTATTTGGTTCAAGTAAATATTTGATAATAATCAAGTAACCGAATAATTGAATCAAATAAATTTTTTTTCACTGTGACAAAAAAAATTTGAGAGCTAGTTTTAAAATAAATTTTGTCAATGACTTTTCTGATTAATTAATTTTAATATTAGAGACAAAATTTTGCTGTCAAATATTTATTTGGAAATGAAAATGGAATTTTTGTTAAATAATAATTCGAAGAAATAAAAAAAAATTCCGCTAAAAGTAAAATTTAGCTAATAAAATTATGTCAAATAAACATTCTAACAAATTGATTTTCGAGTTTATTCATATTATTTGAAGCTGGAAAAAAAAAGTTTTGTATTTTTTTTTTTTTTTTTAAACTTAAATTTTCTATGGAAAATTTATTTTCTTTAAACAAAAAACAGAAATTTACTGTTTACATAAAAATTGGAATGGAGAATTATTTTTATTTTCCTAATTTTGCTAATTTATTCTATTAGAATAAAGAAATTATAAAAAAAAAAATTAACTTTTTTTTATTTATATTTTTTCGTTTTATGTTTTTGATAAATGTAAATATTTATTTATAAATTCCGATTATGATAAAAATAAAATTAAAAAATTAATTTTCCTTAAAAAATTTATATTTTATGATAATAAAATGTTGATCAGGAATTTGAAATTATGAAGTAATTTGTCAAAAACACAAATAAATTCGCAGCAAGCCCAATTTTTTTTTTTTTTTTATGAATTTCAAAATTATCAGCGATATTAAATTTATTATTATTCAAATATTGAGAAAAATGAATTTTTTTTATAAAAATGAAAATTAAAAAAGTAATAAAAAAGTTAAATATAATATTGTATGCATATAAATATAGTAGAAACTTAAATAAAGTTTTGAAATATAAAAGAAATAAAAAAAAAAAAAACAATTGTCTGTCAAAAAATTATTATTGTTTTTCAAAGTTCATTCACATTTTTTAACTAAAGTGTCTGTATAAGACGAAAATAATATGACATTTTTTTTTTTTACTAATTATAGAATTATTCCAATATAGCGAAAAAAATGACGAAATTAATGTATGTAATAATATAGAAAATACAAAATTAAAATAATGTTCATGTATATATTGTTGACAAATAGATAAACGTAATATATGGATCACATTGAGTAGTGCTGTCAGGTTTACAAGAAGAATAGAGAACCTGAAAACAATTCATAAATATAATTAATTTTTTGCTTATTATTATCTTATAATTTATTTTTAATTTGTTTGAATGGGGAATGGAAAATTCTGCTTTATAATAAAATAATAATAAAATAATTGCGTTACTTAAAGAATTATAATATTTTTTGAAGAAAAATAAATTCATATAAAAAAATAACGCACCTTTAATTATCAGCGAGGATCTTCCATATGGCTGTCTTGAAAATTTAACCATGATTTTTCCACGACAGTTGTAACTCTCTTTTCGTATTCTCTTTTATTTTCCTGATAAAGTTGAGCAGCAAGAGAATTCGCAGGAGAATTGGGATTTGGCTCGTCCAATAATGACTAGAAACCAATATTTTGTCATAATTTTTTATTTTTATCTCTCAAGAGAGACAGTAATTTTTTTTTTTTTTTTTTTTAATGACAAAAAATGCAAAAGAAATATTTTTTGAAATTTAAAAAAAAATTTATTTATCAAAACCTTTTAATCAAATAGTTATTAATACGAATTTAAAAAAATTGCTATTTCACTAAAACTGCGATTCACTATATTAAACCAAAATTATTATTTAACTGCAATATCATATTTTTTTATTTAACCAAATTGTTATTTTACCAAAAATTTATTTAACCTAATTTTTATTTAACAAAATTTTAATTAACCAAATCGTTATATTACCAAAATTATATTTAATTGAATTTTTACGTAAAAAAAATTGTTATTTTACGAAAATTTTATTTAACAAAATTCATTGAAATCAAAATTCCGGCAGATAAATTTTCAAATGAAAATTATGTTAAATAACAATTTAGATTTAATGAAACAAATGTAAATTCCATTAAATTAAATTAATTCCATTAATCATGTGAAATTAAATAAAAGATTTAATTAAATTACAATTCCGTTCAATGAAAAGTAAATTTAATTATATAATCAATAAATACGAGCGTATTAGGGTTAAATAAAAATGTCCAAAGTAAATTCAGTTTAATAACAAATTTGTTCAATAATGAAATTTTTTTTTCTCTCAAAAACTGGACAAATTAAAATTTATTTAAATAGAAATTCATTCCAATTAAAATTTCGTTAGATAAATTCGTTTTTTTTTAAATCGAATTCGCTATAAAAAGTTTATTTAACTTTTTTTAAAAGTTTTATATTTAAATATAATTAAAAATTTTTTATTTAATTATTTCATTTTACCAAAAATGTTAATTAATTTAACTAAATTATTATTTAATAGAACAGTAAAATAAAATTATTTCGAAAAAAATTCCGATAACAATTCGGTTTATTTGAAATTTTAATCAAATAAAAATTAAGTTAAATAATAAAAAAATTCACTTGAATAACAATTCTATTTAATGAAAATTCAATGAAAAATTTGAATTCAATTATCAATAAATACGCGTGTAACAGAAAATGAAAAAATTTATAAACTAGGGAAATTATTTCAATTATTTAAATCTCAAATTGTTAGAAGAAGAAAAACAATAATAGAGATTATAATTATGCATTTTATTGAATGTATGTATGTATATTATGTATATTTATATATGTATAGTTAAATGTCAAGACTATGTACGAAGTGTTACAATATTATTAAACTCAAGTTTGTGGATCTGTGCTTTTCGATAAATGAAAAAAAAACAAAAAAAAAAAAAAAAAAAAAAAAAACACGCCGCATTAGCGAGCACAGAGACAAAACTGTGATAGATAAGGTAAATTTCATGATTTTTTAATTACTCCACATACCCTAGAATGCAATTATTAAACAACATTACTAATTTCATGAATTTCTTCGTTCATTTCTTTTCCTTTTTTTTTATCGAATCCTTCAATAAATAAATACACAGTTTATATTAATTTATTTATACAACATTGTAAAAATTCGATCTAATGTTGCACACACGCTGTAAATGTTGAGAAAGAGTTGTTTTTTTCCTCCTTTATTTATTATTATTATTATTTTTTTTTTAAATTATTTTATTTATTTTTTATTTTATTTTTTTTTTATAAGGAATTATGACGCATTCGAAGCGATCAGCGTAGCTCCTTGATAAGGCTGCACGTTCTTCTTTGTTTTTATTATATTTTATATATTTATATATTAAATGACGGCGTTGATGTTGATTTGTTGGTCGTTTAATGCTGTTGTTGTGTGATGCGACAGCGCCGACAAAACAATGTCAGAGCATGTCCACAACTAATCCACAAAACTCTGCTCCACACAAGCCTTTACTCGTTTCTCGTATTCACGTCGATTTTCTTTGTACAGTTGTGCTGCCATTGAGTTGGCAGGTGAATTCGGATTCGGATCACTTAACAGCGACTGCAATCACACAAGTCGTACTCATTAAAATATATTTTGTTAAACATTAATTTTCACTAGGGTTGTGTTTTATTAAATATTGCCAAAAAAATTGGAAGGTCACTAATTTATCTAATTTTCTTATTAATTACTATAATTATTGCTAATTTATCACGGCACTAATTATTAATAATCTAAATATTAATTTTAATAATATTATATTTTTGCCCTAAGTTTATTAAATAAATAAATAATAATAATAATCTAAATATAGGAATCTAAAAAATATAAAAAAAATAAAGAAATGAAAAATAAGTATTTATTAGTAGCAAAATTTTCATGTTGTCGATATTGAAAATATCAAATTTTTAATTAGACGAGTTTTATTAAAATGAGAATTTCAATGAACCAAATTTTCCTTTTGTGAAAATTTTATTTAATGAATGCTTTTTAGGAAATAGTCACGCATTGCCGAATTTATTTCCAAATCAATCTGAATACTCTAATTATTTTCAATTTGTTATTTTATTCTAAACAAAAATTTATTCGTAATTTGAAACGAAAAAGATTGAAATTAAATTTATTTATATATAAAGAAGAGATTTATTTATTATTTATTTATTAACGAAAAGTTGATAAAATTATAATAAACAAACTTTGAGAACTATTTTTTTTTGTTAACGTATTTGACAAAAAAGCAATTTTTAATGTTTTACAAATTATTTAATTAGTAGAGAAAAAAATTAATGTTTATAAAAAATGTTTTTGGATTCATTATTAATTTTTCGGAACAAAAATAATAATCAAATTTTATAAAAGTATTTTCTTTGCATAAATAAAATTGAAAATTTGAAAAAATCATATTTAAAATTTAATTAATTAATAATTATAAAATTAATTAATTAAAAAATCATAAAAATTGCATTTTATCACAATATCGAAATAAGAAGTCGAATTTTACCAAAGTAACAATTTAAAAAATGAAATAATATTCTGAATGTGTATAAAAAAAATTAGTAATGACCTTCAATTTTAAGTGTTTCAACTTTTTGGCAATAATTCATTAGTAAAATATAAAATTATAGAATATAAAGTAGGTATATTAATTTATTATGTTAATTATAATTTTTGTGCAAATACTCTTGACCTGCAACGTTAGGGTCAAGTTTTCTAAAAAAAAAAAAAAAAAAAAAAAAGAAAAGAAAATGTACGCTTCGGATAATTACTACACTAGGACTTTGTACAATTGCAACCGCTGTTAAGGTGATAGGTATAAGAAATCCATTGAAAAAAAGGAGAAAAAATGACAAATTTTCACTCATAGTAATGCTTATTTAAAAAAAAAATACATTGTTTTTCAAAAACAGAAAATTCTTTTCCCAAAATAAACCCAAATTCACGGATTAAAAAAGAATCTATTAAATAATTAATAAAGAACAAGAAAATTAGTAAAAAAAAAATGGTAGAAATTATTTTCATCAAAATTTTTCAATAATAATTTTTATTTTGAAATATTTTATAATTAAGCAATGCTTAAAGAAGCAATAATAAATAATAATAAAAAAAAAATAGAAAAAAATATCCGCATATATTTCAAAATAAAAATTACGGAACAATCAAAAAGTTGGTTTATATTTTTATTTTTATCTACAAATAAAAAATTTAATAACACATTTTCAATTGCATATTTCTCCTCTTAAAAGTATTTTATTATTGAAAAAAAATTATTTTTTCTTGAAAAAATCAATCGCTAATTTTTAAAAATCGAATAATTAAATATTTTTCAAAATTTTGCAAATTACACGAATGTTAAATAATTTGCAAAAATCAACCAACGTTTTAATTCTACTTTTTTAAAATTTTATTTAACAATATAATTTATAAAATTAATTTATTAAAATGGAAAATGTTTATAAAAAAATTTCTTTTCTTTCAATTTTCAATTTCGGTAAAATAGGTACAAAAATTTTTGTTAATAGGTGAAAAATTGTGAATAGAAAATAATGATAAATAATAATAAATAAATAATAAATAGTTATAAATTTCTTAAATAATAAATGTTTTTTTTACAAAATTCGGGATAGAGTTAAAATAAATATGAATAAATTAAAAAAAAATCTTGTTTCAATTTTGATTTTTTAAAAATATTTTATAGGACACGGAGGTGTTATTTTAATTTTTAATAAAGGCGCAAATATGAAAAAAAGTATTAATATTTTGAAAAAAATATATTTTTACCTGTATAGATGTTAAAATTGCTGATACATCATAGGTGGGACTCCAACGATTTTGTAGAATGTCGAGGCAAATTCCTCCATCAGCGTATACATTCGGATGGAACATTTTACTAACAAATCTTACAGTTGGAGGTTTATTTGGATATTCTTCCGTGAATTCTATAGTAAGTTTAAATGTCCCATCTTCGAATGGTGTGTCATGTGGTCTGAAATTTCAATTCTTATTTTTATTCGCAACAATTTACAAATGAAAAAAAAATATATTTTTATTTCTAATTTAGTAAATATCAAATCTCCAATTAATATTTTATTTTACATTTAAAATTCCTTCAAATAGAAATACAATTTTTGTAATTCAGTAGAATAAAAAAAAAAAAAAATCAATTTTATTGAATAGAATTTTTATTTGTATAAAATTTTTCTGTTCAATGAAATTTCAGGTACAAAAAATTAAACAAAAAAATTAACAGTAATTATTTACCCAAATATGACTGCATTCCAAATCATAATGTTATTATCCGTTGGTGCTCCAGAAACTCCTGTTGGTGGATCTTCTTGTAATCTGCAAAATAATAAATAAATAAATAAATAAATAAACAGTATTAATAGTATTTTTTAAATTTAGATTAATTTTTTTAAATTCAAATTGTAGTTTCAATTGCTTTTAAAATAATTTTAAATTCATTTAATTAAAATACAATCTTAATATAATTTTTCTTATTTTCTTTCTTCTTTTTTTTAATTTTGAATTTCGCGCGCAAAGAATAATTTAAAAATAAAGGCGCTATTTTTAAATAAATCAATTAGTTGTATGTAAAAATGATTAAAATTGTTAAAATTAAATTGAAATAATTAATTTTGTACATTTTGTATTATAAATAAATAGTAGTATGTGTTTAAATTTGCGAATTTATAAGAAAAAAAAATTTGAGAAGACGCACCTAACGCACCTGGTACAAAGTAATCGAAACAGCAAAAAAAGGCACATGGTTAACCGTCAACTGTATCTCTCAATTTTGATAAAAGACGAATAATTTACAATTAAATTTACTTAAATTTGTATATTTATTTCACCAGTATTCTACGTAAAAAGAAGTAAACTCTTCTTAAACGAAAGTAAGTCTTTTTTAAATACTATAGACAATACTATAAGAAACCTAACCTCAATTTTCATTCTTTAACTATAAACCGAATTATTGAATCTCAGAAAGAAAAAATAAATCTCAAACATTTTTTAAATTTTTTAAAATACTTAAATAAAAATATACTAAATACTAAAATAAAATACTTAAATAAAAAAAAAATGTTTTTTTCAATTATTTGAACAAAATACTAATACATTAGTAAATAAACAAAATTTTAATATAGATGGCTGAACGAATGGAGGACTTAAATTTACCAAATGCGGTTATAACTCGAATAATTAAAGAATCACTTCCGGATGGTATTGCAATTGGAAAAGAAGCAAAACTTGCCGTTGCTAAAGCATCATCGATATTTATTTTATATATAACATCCGTTGCAAATACAATTGCCAAAAATCAAAATCGAAAAACAATTAACGGAGCAGATGTAACGCAAGCAATGAAGGATATTGAATTTGAACAATTTCTCGAACCTCTACAAGAATCATTAGAAATTTATAAGAAATCACAAAAAGATAAGAAAGAAGCGACTGACAAAAAGAAACAAAATAACAAAAATGATACATCTGAAGAAACAGTTTGAGTTTCTTTATTTAAAAGAATTTTAATTTTTTTTTAATTCTAAACTTTTGTTCCTTTTACTATATTTAAGATAGGGGAATTTTTTTTTCAGCAATGTAATTTAAAAAAAAACATATTTTTTAATAAACTATTTATGTACCTACAATTTAATTTATATTCATTAAAATATAATAAATTATATAAATCTAATATTTAGAAAAAAGAAACAAATTAATGTAAACTAAAGTTTCATATAAAAAGTAGAAATTTTTCATTAAATTTTCAATTATATTTATTTTTTTATATTATTTTTAAAATAAAAATTATCAAATTTTTCTTCATATATTACTCAATGAAATAATTAAAATTATAATTAAAATTACAATTAAAAATTCATTAATGTAATTGAAATTATAGAATAGTTAATCAAATAATTGAAATTATCTGCAAAAATTTAAACAATTAATTAAAAATTTCTTTAATTATTCTAAATTTTTAATTAATTTAATAATTAAATTTCTAATCAATTATTCAATAAAATAATTTAAAATTATCTATGATTATTTTTCTATTAGGGATATACACTAAATATGGATAATAAATATTTGAAAATAAATGTAAAAACCAACTATATAAAAATTGTACATTGAATAAATAAATAATAATTATCTTTAAATGTTTAATACAAAAAAAATTAAATAAATCTTTAATTATTATTCAATGAAAATTATTGAAATTATCTTCAAATATAAACCCTAAAAAGTAATTGGAATTATTTTAAAAAATTCCATTTGCAAAGTTAACAAAAAGTTTTCCAATGTCAATTTTTAATAAAAACATTTGTTGAGTGAAATATTTAAATAAATTTTCGATAATAATAATAATAATAATAATATAACTCTACAATAATTATTTCCTTATTTATAAATAATATACTAAATTATAACAATTATATAGTTGCAATTATTATTTATTACATTATAAATAAAAATAATATAAAATAAATTAATTATAATAAATAATTATAAATAATTTTATTATTATATTGAAATATTTTTTTTTAACCCAAAATTGTGAGTTTTCAATGATTTATAATATATTTTATTCATGAATAATATGAACTTGTCATTCAGATAATGTTATAAAAATAAAACAAGGCTATGTTACTAAAATACACGAAAGATTTTTTTTTTTAATATAAATTAAACGTGAAACTATATATATATATATATGTAGGTTCTTTACAATAAATTTGTCATATAATTACTTTGTCAAAATAATGTCTTAATTATTTTTAATAATAATAATAAAAATAATTTCTAATAATTACTATTTCAATTACCTATTTTTTTTTTAATATTTAAAACTTCATTCATAATTTTAATAATTAATTTCATTAATGAATTATCATTTTTAAACATATTGACAGAAAATTTTGCTATAATATTTTTTGCATTGCTATATTTTTCTCCTTACTTGCATTAAGTATATATATATATATATACAGTAATGATGAAATTTCAGGATAAAATAAAAATATAGTTTCATGCACACACAAATAGGAGAGAGAGTATACTTTCTCGTACACTTTTATTGAACGAATGTGCAACAAGCCTTATTTATTTTTCATTACAAGAGTATATAAGAAAATATTAGTGACGAAATGACTCTAAATTAATGCATTCAAGTCTATAAATTTAATTATACACATTGTAGAAAAACTGTCAAACTACATTTCACTATTTTTATTTGCAATATAATGTAAAAACAAAATAGAAAATTAATTATCTTTTTACATACAAAGGAAAAAAGTTTTTCTGTTAAAATAATATAATAAAAAAAAAAAAGAAAAAAGGTTGAGCTGAAGGAAAAAATTATAGCAAATGGAAGCGAAATATCGCAATCGAGTTTCTATTAATACCAATGCGATGACGTTAATCTGTCCTCTCTTGTTCGCGGGGTAAAAAGAAAAAGTTGAATCATTGTATACGAAGTCTCTTTGGTAGTACAAAAAAAAAAAAAAGAAAAAAAGAGGAAAAATTCCAAAAGTGATTAAAATTTCCTAAAATTGTACACCTATAATAAGAAAAAAAAATTACCTTTTAAAGTCCCTCATTAGTCTTCTTCTCGCGGGCGTAGACATCCCTCAAAACTGTTACAACACCTTAATAATCACTTTAAATAAGCAAAATATGTTTTTCTTCTTCACCAAATTTTCACTTTCAAACAAATATAAATGACAAATTTACTACCAACGAAAAGACCTCGAGATGATTTCGACGCCAATTCACCTCTCACTTTATATATGTTCAAGTTCTTTGAAAGTGGCTCTTTTCTTTTTTACTCGATTTTTCTATATCACAGTTTTTTTTTTCTTGTTAAAAAAAAGAGCACACAATACGACGCACACGCGATTGTCAATGTTCAAATAATTGAAATGGATGAAACTGATTTTTATAAGGAAAAGTTAGTTCTATCACACACACTTTGAAGTCTTTTGTCGTTCAATTCTCCTATAGTCTCTTCCTAAAACACAAAACAGTATCCAAAGGTCTGTGACGACGACGGCCCTCTTTATTAATCCAGTGATGTATCGTTAAATTCGTTTCGCCAACGAAAAAAAAAAAAATTATATCGCGCACAATTTCAGTTTTTAGTTATGGTTACAATTGACGACGTTTGGCGAAGATAACGATAATGATACGTCGTCTTCTATAGTATGTTTCCATATATGTATATATATATATATATATGTATGTACATGCGCTACAAAGAAGATGCGCGACTGCCTCTGGTTGTTAAACAAGAAACAACAATTTTTTTCTCATTCTTTTCTTACCTACGTCACTTTAAATTTTTTTTTCACATACACAACACTTCACTAATAAAATACTATTATATTCATTGCACTCACAGCTTTTTAATAAAAAAAATAATTTTCTATTAAATTTTACACTCTATTATTCTATTTAATATACAGCAGATGTCCGATTTTTTAAAGATTGACATCTACAATCAACGAACATCGGGGATTTTTACCACTATATATAAAAATTCTGTATAGATAAATACACACACACACACAGAGAGAGGTTTAAAATGAAGCGACTGTCATTGGTTACCAAACGTAACTAAACGTATGTAAGTAAGGAAAATTTTAAAAAAAGAGACAGAATGCTGTTAAGGGGCCTTTACATGCGTAATGATTTTTTATGGCGCTAAATTTGAAAGTAAATTTGATAAATTCTCACTGGATAATATTTAATAATAATAATAATAATAATAATAATATTTATATAAAGATTAAATTTTTTTGTAATTTCAAGAAAAATATTGCATATTGATTTGCATTGTCATGGGATTTTCCCTTTAGCAAAAGCCCTAAGGAATATTTGTCATAGCCAATCAAATTCAGTGATTTTACGTGATGATGAAAGCACCTTTAAAAGTTACGCGTAACTTCAGAACCCTGCTCGAAGCCGAAGTGTGCACCTTTCTTTTTGCAAGCACTCATCCTTTCTTTTTATTCTTCTTGTTTCGTGGTTTAATTTAATTTTATTGTTGATATTTTTGACAGTCAGCTATGTACCAAAAGTAATTTAAAAATAAAGAAAAATGATTTGACTGTTATTTTTATAAATTAACTGAAAATTAAAAAAATGTCCAATTCTTCAAAGGAAACAAAGGGAAAGAATGCTGAGGAAGAGAAACCATTTGTTGCAAAATCAACAGCAGATTTACAACGACTAAAGTTAATGAAACTTATGAAAAATCCTGTATGTTATTATTTTCTCTTTTATTAATAATAATCTTTTTAGAAATTTACAGCAATCTCTTTAAATAATTATAATTCTAAAGTATTAATTGAATAAAAACAATTTATTGCAAATAATAATAATAAAATAATTATTATTATTATTTCTAAAATAGTTTAAAATTTATATTTCTTATTAATTTTGCATTTATAGGAAAAGCCAGTTGTAATACCAGAAAAACCGAAGGCAAAGAATACACCGTCAATACCAGAATTTGTTCGCAATGTAATGGGAAGTAGTGCTGGTGCTGGAAGTGGAGAATTTCATGTATATCGACATTTAAGACGAAAAGAATATTCACGTCAAAAATGTATACAAGAAAAAGGTCATAGGGTAAATAAAATTTATTTTATATTTAATTAAAAAAAAAATTCTATTCAAATTGAGCACTGACAAAGTAATAATATTAAATTACTATTAATTAATATTAAAATTGTCCTTTATTAGGATCTTCTTGATGAGGAACATCATAAAAAATTAACGGAAAATAAAAAGAAAGCAGAAGATGCAACAACAAAGAGAAGAAACAAAAGATTAAAGAAAAAAGAAAGACTTAAAGAAATTAAAAAGTTAAAATTAAACAAAAAGATGAATGAAACAGAAGAAAATCAAAGCGATTCCAATAAATCAGAGGATGATACGCATTCTGAAAATGATAATGAACAACTTGAAAAAAGTAAAGAACCTCTTACAAGTAGTTAAAATTGTTTTTTTTATATAGAGTAATTATTGAGTACAAATACATTTAAAATTAAATCAATGTAGGTTAATTAATAAAAAAAAAATTTACATCAAATTTTGTATAAAAAAATAAAGAAACCGAGTTTAAGTCCTTAAGAAATGGGTTTTTTTTATTTCTACTGTAATCAAAATAAGTTTCTAAAAATATTAGTTAAAAAATTTGTTTTTGTTAATTTCAAAAAAAAAACGTTCTAATAATTACATAAATCAAAATTCACAATATTATTTAATATATAACTTATTTATTTGACAAAGTAAATTTCTGTAGACAAAAATATATCTTTCTCAATTAATATGACAATAATTTTTCAAAAATTTATACCTAATTTTTTTTCAAATATCACTCTTGTTGTTATTGTTGTAGATAATATAAAGGAAAATATCTACTACATATGTCATATTTTTACAATATCTAACAATGAGAATTTTACACTTCTCAAATGGAAACACTTTTGATTTATTCTTCTTCTTTAACCATGTGTTTTTGTCGTTCTGCCACAAATGGTACTTTACCTTTCTTCGAGTGAACTCTTCTATTAGAATCCCTGAAAAGAAAAAAAAAAAAAAAATTGTTAAAATTAATTCCTGACATTAAAAAATTTTCCCTAACAACAATTTTTTTTTAATAAATTCTCGATTAAATTTAATGAATTTGTAACTTAAATTTAAATCAATTCGAAACTTTGGATAAATTGAAATTCAAACAATTTGAAACTTAAACTAATTAAAATTTGGACAAATTGAAATTCAAATAATTTGAAATTTAAACTAATTAAAATTTGTGACAAATTGAAATTCCTATAAAATTCGAAACTGAAAAAATGAAAAATTGAAATTCGTATAAAATTCGAAACTGAAAAAATGAAATAAAATAAAATTAATCTTTACATGAAATTTCGTTAATTTTAATTTTCGAAACGATTGAATATGCATTTAGACAAAAATTTTGAATTTATGTTAACCAACTAAAAATAAGAATTAATTAAAAGTTGGATCACTTGAATAAAAGACGAATGTAAAAATCAAAAACAATGAAAGTTGAAATTAAAACAAAAAAAAAATGAAATTACATAATAATTTTATAAATTATACATACTTGCGTGCAATTTTTTCTCGAGATTTTCGAACCTCAGCTTGTGCATTGTAAATGTGTTTTGGCACTTGTCTATGACGAGCGATTCGTCGTATTTGAGGATGTGATATATATTTAGCCTTAAGAGTTTCACTATATTGCAATGATAATTTCTCTCTTGGTTTTAACTGAAAATGAATTAAAAGTAAAAAATTATTATTCATTTTTTTATGTAGAATAATGTATATTTTTTATTGAACTATTTATTTACCACTCCTAATTTCTCTGATGATCGAGCCTTCCAAACTCGAATATTCATTTCGTCACTTCCACTTAATATGTATTTATTATCAAGAGACCATGCAATATTTGAAAGTCTTTGCATACGTTTTGTATGATAAACTTCTCTCGATCGGCCTTTATTCACTTCAAAAATACGAATTGATTTATCATAACTTCCTGAAACAATTTCTTTTCCAGTTGGACTATAATCAACATCCATCACGGCTTCAACATGATCCATGTGTACATTTACTGGTGTTTTCAAATTTCTCATGTCAAATGTGTATAAACTTGAAATAAATATTATATATTATATATAAATGCTCTTTAAATATTTCTTGAAAATGGAAAAATTTCTCCATATTTGGCTTTAAATTTTGCAAAAATTTACTTAAATTAGATTTCAAAAATTCTTGAAAAAGGAACAATTAAGAATTTTTTAGAAATCTATCCTATTGAATTCAAATCATTGAAAATTAGAGTTCGATTTGAAAATATTCGAAATAAATTTTCTTGATAATATTCGTAAAGAATTATTCATATTAAGGAATTAATAAAATTAATTTGTAACTCATGAATTATTTTTTAGACGAATTAATATTTAACAGAATTTCTTTTTAAATAAATTTTTACTTAACAAAATTTTTAAGTATCTAATTTTTTGTTAAACAGAATATTAATTTAACTAAATTTCTCTTTACCCAATTTATTTGTTAAAAATATTTTAATTTAACCGAATATTAATTTAGCAGGATTATATAATTAATTAATTGTATAATTAATTTATACAGAATTTTATGTAATTCGAACTTTTAAATGACATAATTTTCAATTCATCGAATTTTCTTTTGTCCGAATCTTTATTTGCCAGCAATTTGTTATTTGATAGAATTCTTAAAATTCTGAATTTTACATATGTCCGAAATTGCATATTACCGAATAATAATCGACAGAAAGATTTCGGCGCGAATTTAAAAATTAACCAATCAAAAAAATTATCAAGAAAAATGTAATTGGTTAATTTTTTAATTCGTGCCGAAATTTTTGTTGTCAATTATTTGTCGGTCATTTGCAATTTCGGACACATTGGAAATTTGGCATTTTGAGAATTCGATGAATTGCAAATTCTGGAATTTAAAAATTCGAATCATTTAAAATTCTGCTAAATTAATATTAAGTTAGATTTTTTTTTTATAAAAAGTTGGTAAAGAGAAATTATATATAAAAAAAAATTCGGTAAATAAAAATTCGTTTGAAAAAAAAATTCTGCTAAAAGATAATTCAAAAAAGAAAAATTTGAATAAAAAATTAAGAGTTTTTCTGATTTTTTTTCTAATAATTATAAATTCATGCCCTAAAGGGTTAAATAGTAAAAAATTTATTTTCTTACTTGTAATCTTCATTAGCACATGTAAATGTAAATGCCTCCATTGGATTCCAACAAAGTTTATTCGAACGCAACGACATAATTACTTTACGTAATGGTCCTTTTTCTCTTGTATCATATAAAATTATACCTCGATCAGATGAGCAGACAGCTACAAAAAAAAAGGCATCAAAAAAATCCTATTAAAATTTCTTTTTAAAACAAATTCTTTAACGAATTAAAATTATAATAAAGAATCAATTACCCATTAAATTTGTTTGAACAGGATTAAATTTAACATCATGTAAACTGTCTACACCCCATTTAAAAGTTTTAATCGGTTTACTTTTACTTGAATCCCAAAGATGACACACTTCACCGCAAGTTGCAAATTGATTTTTTATACGATGATGTGATATAGAAGTTAATACTGTCTGTAGAAAAATTATAATAATAAATAATAATTTATTTCTCATTTTAAACAAACTTTTCGCCTTCGTTAATTAAAAAACAAATATTTCGCTCTTTAATTTTTTTTTCTCGATTATTTTGTAGAAAAATTATTTATTTATTATTATTTATAAAATTATTTCTATTATTTAATATAATTTTTATAAGAATTTTTTTTGTGTAGAATTGATACCACTCATTGGATTTTATATTATTTTTTTTTTTTAAGTAGAAAATTGCAAAAATTTGAATACTATATTTTTTTAACTTACTTCACTTAGAACGGTATTAATTGGTGTTGTTCCCTCGTCTTCATTGTTGGAATTATTTTCTAAATTCCATGTTTTAATAATTTTATCATCGCCTATCGTTATAAAATGATCCTCAGTAGTAGTTTGTGTTATTCCACGAACAATTCCATCGTGAGCTAAAAATGAACGTGTACACTCACGTGTTGGTAAATTCCATACACGTACTTCACCATCGTATGCGCCGCTTATTAAAATTGATAAATGAATTGGATGTTTACATAAAGATGATACTGAATCTTTATGGCCATTTAAATTGCCTATGAAAGGTTTAGCAAATACTCGTTCCAATTTCACTGAATTAAGTGCTCTCGTGTATTCTCTTTCATGTTGAAATAAATGTAACGAAGGATCATAATTCCTGTTAACTTAAATAATAAACAATTTTAATTAAATATTTTCAAATTTTACAAAATAAAATTCATTTGTCAGAATTTTTTATTTTTAATAATAATTGTTACTAGAAAAAATTCTTAAAATGCCGAATTTCCATTTTTTCGAAATTGTTAATGACTGACAAATAATTTACAGCAAGATTTCAACGCGAATTAAAAAATTAACATTTTTTTCTTGATAATTTTTTTGATTGGTTAATTTTTAAATTCGCGTTGAAATCTTTCTGTCGGTTATTTTTCGGTAATATGCAATTTCGGACAAATATGAAATTCAGAATTTTAGGAATTCTATCAAATAACAAATTGATTGCAAATAAAAATTCGGACAAAAGAAAATTCGATAAATTGAAAATTATGTCATTTAAAAGTGCGAATTACATAAAATTCTGTATAAATTAATTGTATAATTAATTAATTATATAATCCTGCTAAATTAAAATATTTTAAACTAATAAATTGGGTAAAGAGAAATTTAGTTAAATTAATATTCTGTTAAACAAAAATTCGATACTTAAAAATTTTGTTAAGTAAAAATTTATTTAGAAAGAAATTCTGTTAAATATTAATTCGTCTAAAAAATAATTATATCTAATACAATTCTTAAAAATGAAAATTTTAATTAATGATTTCTATGGGAAATTCATGAGTCCGAAATAAAATTTATTAATTCCTTATAGTATGAATAATTCTTTACGAATATTATTAAGAAAATTTATTTCGAATATTTTCAAATCGAACTCTAATTTTCAAGATTTGAATTCAATAGGATAGATTTCTAATATAGAATTTTCTTATACATAATTAACGTATTTCTCTGTGTGTAATTTAGGGTATAGAATCATATTACGTAGTATTGGAGTATAGTAAAAAAAAAAACTGGTCTACTAATTTTATTTCGATTAATAATCAAATGTAAGATTTATTTATTATCGGAGCACAATTTACGTATATAGAATTTATACAAATAAATAACAAATATTAAACAAATTTAAATTAAACAGGTTAAATAAAAAAATACATGCTTTTTATAGAGATTGATAATTTATATATATCATGTAAACATTAAATAATTTTATAATGTAAAAAAAGGCAATTATAATTTAATGTGAATATTTACCTTTATGAATATCACGTTTTGTTTCCCTTATATAAAAATCAGGATTTCTTGTTAATGTTTTAACCTTCATTACTGCATTGTTTTTTTATTCAGCACGTGGATAATTAAACTCTATCAGACAACTGGAGAGGTTGGAGAGGAAAATCGTAGTTTTAAAACTTCTCGTATGTGGCGCAACATTCGCATAAGAAAGAACGTCTGAAATCTGACAGTTTCACAATTCTTACTTAAGTTACATAGTTTTTTTTTACAAATGTAGTTTACTTATGTAAATTACATAAAAAATTTTAATTTTAAAGGACTGGGTGGTTTTTTTACTGTATAATATACATATTTTACATAAATAATTATAAATTACGCGTATAACTTCTTTGGTTAAACTCCTTCTACAACGTCGAAATGTAGATTTATTTCACCATTCTGAAGTCACCTTTATACCCGAACGTTAAAAAAAAATGTTTTGCATTCCATCTCTGTTGTAACAAATTTAAGAAAATTTAGTTATATTAAATTTCATTAAATTGTTCTGAAACATTGCGTTTATTTTATTCAAAAAAACAATTTATGTACTATTTATAAAGTGATTTTTAAACTTAAGAAATGGCTGAAAGCAAACTTAAAGAATTAATATTCGATGAAGATCAAATAGTAAGTTTCATTTAAAACATTTTTCACTAACTTTATTATATAGTTTAACTTGATATTTATATTATTATTTAATAATTTATAAGCACATATGTACTTTAAATAGTTCAAAGCTTCGAGAAAATTTATTATCTAATGTAAATTTTTAATGACATATTTTTTTATTATAACTTTTGTCATGTAGAAATAAGTGCGCCAAAAATACAAAGACAATGCTTTGTGACTCCATGTACCTTGAATTTATTTTGACAAATTGCACAATGTTTCAAATGTTTTTATAAGAAGTAATAATAAATCATTTTTCTCGTAATTTTTTTTCAAGGCACTTTAAAAAATAGAGAAGTAAAATTATGAAACCTAACCTTATTTTTTTTTAAATTTTTTATGTAAAATGCGACTAATTTAATTTTTTTAAATAAAAAAATTTCACTTTTGTTATAAAGAAATAATTTGAAAATTTATTTTAAAAATTAGTTGAATTTAATATAAACTTTTATTAATTCGAATTTCTAAAAATTCGTACTTTTATAAGTTAAATTTTCCGATAATTCATACTTTAAATAATTCGATCTTTTGATAATTAAAATTTCTAAATATTCTAACTTTAAATAATTAGAATTTCTAAAAATTCGTACTTTTATAAATTAAATTTTTCCGATAATTCATACTTTTATGAATTAAATTTTCCAATAATTCGTACTTTGAATAATTTAATCTTTTGATAATTAAAATTTGTAAATATTTGAACATTTAATAATTCGAATTTTTAAAAAATAATAATTTTTTTTTTTAGGTAACATACACACGACTGAGCAAACAACTAAATGTTCATGTTAATGAATCAAAACGAATATTATCGGAATTTTGGCGGAATAATAAAGGAAATGCAACAATTAGCGCGACATTCGCAATTATGGGTCAATTATCTGATAATTCTGATCGAATTGAAGTTGTCGAAGAATCAGCATTGCCTTTGACTAAAGAAAAATTTCAAAAAATATACTCTGAACATATTTATAGTTTACAAAAATCACTGGCAAATCTACAATTATTGGCATTAATTGAACTACCAAATACACAATTTTCTTCAATTAATTGTAAAGAAAGTACTCTAAAATTAAATCATTTAAATTCAAAACCAGTAACAAAATTAGTGGAACAAACAAAAAAATCCTTTGAGTCTGAAAAAAAAGTCGAATCAAATTCTCATTCGAAAAAAGTAGAGCAAGAAATTTGTGAAAAAACTGATACAAATGAAAAGAAGGAGAAAGTAAATAAAACTCCAATAGTAAAGGAAAAATCGAAAAAAGCGACTGTAGTAGCAAAAAAACCGGTTCAAAGTCGTGAAGCAGGATTTAGAAATATGTTCGCTAAAGTTGCTGATGTAAATTCAAAACGATTAGCAACGCAAAAAGAAGAGGCAGAAAAAAATGTTAGTTTGATAGACGATGATAGTGATGAAGAGGAAACGGAAAAGGAAAAGGAAAGAAAAGAAAAATCAACTTCAAATACTAAAAAAGAGAAAATAAAAGAAACAAAAAATACTCAACAGTCAACGAAAAAGGATAGTAAAAGAAAAATGGAAAACAAAGAATTAAATAATATAAAGAAACGAAGACGAATAATCGCTGAATCAGATTCATCGGAAGAGGAAAATGAATTAAATAATTTTGAGGAAGAAATTAAAGAAAATACAATATCTCATGAAAATAAAGAAGAATCACCAAAAATCACCAAATCACCAATCGCAAATTCACCCGAAATCAATGATAGAAGTGAAAAACGTGTTGTTCATGAAAAAGAAGATGTTCGTTATGTTGACGATGATGGTTTTCTTGTAACAAAAAAAGTTAATGTTACAAAAGTTACAACCAAAGTTGCTAAAGAACGTTCACCTTCGCCTAAAAAATCCAAACAAGTTACTGTTAACAAAAAACAAACAAAACAATCAACACTGACGAGCTTTTTCAAAAAAAAATGATTTACAAAATTTTTTTTCGAATTTTAGTTTTTATTTTATTTTAATTTACAAATTGAAATTTCCTTTAAGCAAATTAAAATGTCGATTTTTTTTTTTATTAAAGTTTTGTTCACAAATAAAAGTTTTTTTTATTGCTTTTCAAAAACAAAAAAAAAAATAGAAAATAACGAAATTGTAAATTTTTTTTGTTTCTATTGAAATATTTTTAAATTGATAGGAATTATATATTTTTTTGAATGTAAAATAAAATAGTATTTATCTATAGGTCTGAAAAATAATGAGATACATTTTCAATTTATATATTAAAATCAATAATGTTACGAATTTGTTATAAATTTACTAAGTGACTAAAAATATTGCATTTTTTGTAACTTGGTTTAGAAAAAAAAAAGAAAAATGAAACTACGAATTAAAAATGGAAACTTTATTAATAAAAATGTAATATTTGCTAAATATGTACATATTCTTTTTTTTAAATCCCGTTTTTTTTTTCCAGTAACATTTCATAAACTTTTTGTGCACATTTTTTCCTTTAGGTTTGTCATGTAATATTTTTTATTTAGGTTTTGTAGTAAATTACTGATTTTATAAAACCTTAAATAAATTTTTAAAACCGTAGATTGTTAAGAAGCGAAAAGGAGACTAAAAAAAAATTATTTTTTTTCACTTAGAAAAAATAAAATACACGACATTTTTTTTCTATTCTTCATGTTTATTGTTAAAAACATTTTTATAACATTTTTTAAAATTCAGTCATCACAGATGATAATTTTCAATTTTTTAAAAACTGACTTTAAATTCATATTCAGTGACAAAAAAAAAATACCTTAACTGATAATTAGTAGCACAAAAAACTTGGTAAATTTCAAATATAAAACTTTTTTAATTTTTTTTTTTTGATGCCATTTTAGTTCCACCATTTTGAATTTAAATTTTGTAAAGTCTGCATCCGAACCAACTTTTATAATTAGCTTTTTTTTAACGAGAAATAAAATTTATAATAAAAATTAGTGTGATTTAAATCCACTATAACAGTAAAGCAATAATCGTAAAAATTCAAAAAATTTTTAATTAATTTTAAATTGGAAAATTAAAAATGTAAATTTTTGTTTTTATTTTTTATACATCATAGAACAAAGAAGCTAGTGGATATCGTATTATAAATGCCAGCATACTGCATGTAATCTGAAACAGGGAAAAAATTGTTTTTGTTATTTTATATTTGTATTTCACAAAAAAAAAAAAATTACATTTTACTTTAAACAAAAAAAAATTTGAAAATATATCTAAATTAGAAATCTTACCTGTATAACTATTAAAATTGTTGTTAATGTACATTCATTCTTTGGTCCAACTGAGATTAGTACGAAGTTTATTAAAGTTAAATTATTGCAAATAATCACATCGTTTTCTTCTTTCCAGTCAACAAGACGGAAAATTCTGTAAATCTTCATTATAATTTTTGCTGAGAACAAAAAAAAATGATATATGTATATTTTTTTTTTTTGCAACACTAACTTGTAAAATTGAATTTTACAAATGGAAAACTGTGTGTAAAGTTCCTGTTTTTATAACAGTTTGTAAAATAAATTGGAGGCGCATAATTATTCCACAAAAAATTCATTAGTTACAATTTTCAAAAATTTTATTAGATATAATTATTTTTTAAACAAATTTTCATTTTTTACAAATTTTTTTAGGTAATTTTTATTTAGTAGAATTTTTATTTTACAGACGATAATTCGAAAAAGAAAAATTCGTTTTAAAAATATATCTTATAAAATTCTTGAAAATAAAAATTCTAATTAATAATTTTTATGGGATAATCGTGTAAATTTCAGTTTCAACTTACCTACTATATTAATTTCAGACTTATTGAAAACTACTCTACTTGGATCCAAAGTATCCGTTTCTTTATTAATTCTGCAAAATAAATATAAAATCATACACAGATTTATTTTTTAACTAAAAATTTATAATTAAATAAATTGAATGTGAAATTTTGAAAAAAAAAAAAAAAATTATATAATTTATCTGTGACGATTATAAAAAGAATATTTACTTTGGCAGTCTATGTCTCGGACAAGGCACAAGATGAAATAGTTGTGGTACGCTATATATAAAATTAATTATTTGTGGAATAAAAAATAATAATGTCGTTTTACTGAAGTGACCTATTATTCCAACGACAGCGAAAGTCATTCCTGATAAATAGCAAAATGTATCGCCAACAAACACTCGTGAAGGATACCTTGAAAAAAAAAAACAACAAAATTCTACAATAATTTAATTAATAATAAAATACTATACAAATTATAAAAAAATACAATAAAATACTATTTAAAAATATTAAAAAATTTTAAAGCAAATTTTAAAATTGAATAATGCCCAAATTTTTCTTTCAGATATTTATTCGAACAAAAAGAAGAAGTTCTGTAAAAAAAAAGTATTGTAAAATGGAAATTTGAAAAAATGAAAATTCAGTTAGAAAAAAAATTCTTTTCTAATATTTTTTCCGAAAAATAAAAATTCATTTAAATGACTTAATCAAAATTCGAGGAAATAATAATTCAATCAAATTCAAATTCGTTTAAAAAACAATTTTGTAATATAGAAATTCGGTTAAACAATCATTCGAAATAATAATAATAATAATAATAATAATAATAATAATAATAATAATAATAATAATTTGGTTGAAAGTAAATAAATTCTAAGTAATAAAATTCTATCAAATTAATTTTAGAGCTTATTCATGCGTTTCAAAAACAATTTTATAACAGAAAAAATGAATTTCGCATTTTCGTCATTTCTTTAATATTTTATTTAAAAAAAAAAAAAAAAAAATTTCCACTTGAGAAATATTGATTTTCCATGATGTCATATATCAAATATATGAGCATATATTTTTTGTAACGAAAAATAATTAATTTTTCAATATTGTTACCCCTAAATATGTATTCTTATTAAAAAAATATTTGCAAATTGTGGATTATCAAAGTTTGGAGAAATAGTACAAAAAAAAAAGAAATAAATTATAAAACATTTTTTGTTCTTCTATATTAATGTAAGGACTATATGGACTAAAAAAATGTACATATATATCTATTGTATGCCTTGTAAGGGTGAATGCGCGTCTGCGTATTGATCATTTCTAACTGTAATTCTACTTGAAGGAATAAGGAAGGAAGTGTCATATGATAGCAAAAAACATTGCGGGTGTGGTTTTTTTTCCCCCTCAATAACTTATAAATTTACTAAATATAAATTAATAAAATTATATGTTTGAAGAATAAATTATATTTAGAACAAAGCAAAAAAATTTAGAAGGAAAAAAAAGTAATTTTAAATATAATGTGTGCTAAAAGTATATATCAATATTTCAATATTATCCTGACGTGAAATTTTAGTCCTTAATCTGAGATGTTGTTGCTAAGGAGTTTTGAATTTGCGCGTAATGAATGTTATTTGTCTAACATTCTTGAAAATTTAAAGAATGAAAAAATTGGTAGGTAATGTAAAATAATATTATATAAATTAAAATTAATGAATAAAATAAAATTAATAAATTAAATTTAAAAATTAAAAAATAAATTAATATTACATAAATTATAATTTTATTTTGTTCATTTAGATAAAAAAAAACTTATTTTTTTTTGATAATTTAATTTAAATTCCTAATTAATTAAATTCATCGTATTTGTATAAAACAGTTGATTAAAATAATATTTTGAAATTATATATATTTAGAATTTTTTTTTTTATTATTTCTTAAATTAAAATTCCTAGTTATGTTGTCATAATCCATTTACTTTTTTTTCAGAGAACTGGTATTTATTTCAAACAAAGCAAACTCGACTAATTATTATTAATAAAGTTATTTAGTACTTTTTTTCAAAATGTTTTGAGAGATATTAAAGTCAAATAGAAATGTTTATTGTGAAATATAAAACTCAAACATTTAGTCGAATTATTCAAAGTTATGCCATGCATATTCGAACAGATGGGAAAATAATTTTGTTATTCACATTATTAATTTTACAAGTTATGATTGTTATGATATATGTGATAAATACAACTCCATCTTCTAAATTAATAACGCCAACGAGACATGAAGCAGTTAGTTTCGTAAACATTCACTCTGCAGAGGTAATATATAATTATATCATTATAAATTTAATTTATTTAAAAACAAAAAGAACTCGAATTTCTATTTTACCGAAATTTATTATTAATTTTATTCAACAGAATTTTTATTTAAACAAATTGTCATTTGATAAAAATTTAAAAACTCCGATTTTTCATTTGACCGAAATTGTAAATGACCGAACAATATTTCCGACAGAAATATTATGGCGCGAATTTTAAAATTAATCATATAAAAATTACATCTCTTGTAAAAAATATCAAAATTTTAATTTTTTTCAGGCTCTTTATAAAAATGAATTAAAATATGATAAAGCACAAACAATTAATGGTGAATTCACATTAAAAGATACTAAAACAATAAAATTTTTTGAAACCTATTCAAATTTTCTCTGCTGGAAAGATGGAGTTAACAATAGAGGAATGCGAAAAAATTCAACAATATATTCAAAAAAATGCATATGCAATCAAGGCTGGCATGGTTCTGACTGTGGTCAACCGGAAGTTGTATGGCGTGCAATAATGGCCACAAAACAATTGGTAAAATTAAAACAACGCAAATGGATGAGACGAATTATTTATACACTATGCATAAATCAATATAATTCAGCGATATCTGAAATTATTGTAAAAGAATTATACAATGTTGTGGATCTTTTTATTATCTGTGATTCAAGTGATTCAGAATATAATTTCAATTATTCATTAGCGAAAGGTTTATTGAAAGTGGAACAAAAGAAAATTTTATATATCAATACATTTACAAAAGTGGAAAAACCATTTAAATTGATATTTAAATATATTTGGAATAAAATACATAGTGTTATTAAAAATATACGCGATGACGATATTATTGTTATGACTGATCCAGAACAAATATTAAATTCAAAAGCATTAATGTTTTTGAAAACATACGATGGTTGGTCACAACCAATTGGTTTTAGATTAAGATGGTTAGTGTTTGGATTTTTTTGGCAACATCCATTGAAAACAACAATTAAAAAAGGAGCATTTACAATTGGTTTTATGCAAGAGGCTTATCGAAATAATAATTTACTATTACAAAAGGAATTGGTTGATGAAAATAGTGAAAGAGATGAACTTGGATTAGTGATTGGTGATTTAAATCATTATGGCGGTTGGTATTGTCATTATTGTCAAATTCCGGAAAATATAATGTCCTCAATAAAATGGAAAAATAATTCAAAAATTATTAATCCCGATATAATAATTGACAAAAATTATATTGAAGAATTAATTGGAATGGGTATGTGGCTAAATGGAAAAACAAGTCTTCTTCGAGTTCCTAGATATCAAGACTTCTATTTTGCTCCTGAGGTTGTACTTAATAATTCACAAAAATACGATTGGCTGCTTCAAAATTTCTACGTTAAATTGGATTATGATTGAAGAAATAGTCGATATAATTGGCTGTGATATATATATATATACAATTATATGCACTACTCATTTTTTATATTATACAATATATTTATTATTTACAAATCAATTTTATATTGTGCTTCGATTATGATAATTATATTTATATAATATATTATTTAGAAATTTACAAATTTATTCAATTATTTTCCCCCATCATATGTATAGAATTTTTTTTTTTGCAATTATCTTCCACATATTGTAAATTTAAAATATCAGAATAATTTTTTAATCAATAATAATAATTGTAGCATTAATAGTTTAAAATTTGGATAAGTTGAAATTCATATAATTGTAAACATAAATAAATAAAAATTTAGATATATTAAAATTCAAAAAATTTAAAAAACTTAAATTAATTGAAATTTGGATAAATTTAAATATCGAAAAAATTGAAACTAAAATTTTGTTAATTTGAAGTTTTGATTGATTGAATTTGTATTTGATTAAAATTTTAATTAATAAATTATTTTTGATAATTAAAAATTAGAATTAATTAAAATTTAGAATAATTGAAACTAAAATTAATTAGATTAAGTTTGAAATTTGGATCGATTATGAATCGAATAAAATTGAAATTCAAATAAATTAAAACTTGAAATGATTCTGATTTGGATAAATTGAATTTTTGATTTGAATTAGAATAAATTTAAATTTCGATCAATTATAATTTTAATAAATAAATGTTTCATTTAATTTAAATTTAAATTTATTGAAATTCGGTTTAAATAATTTTTAAATCGTTGAAAATCTTTTGGTAAATTCAATCATGGGTCAATTGAATAATTTATAGAAAAAAAAATTACAATCTGTAATTTTTTCTTCTCTGAATTAAAACAATTTGAATCAAATTAATTTTTTTCAGTGTAATATATAATAAAAAAAAATGCTCCTTTCTTTAAAGAATATAACTTATGTTCTTATTTAAAAAATTTTGCAAGTACTCACCAATTGTATTTTAAAAGTGCCAGTGAGGTGAACGTGTATGGTATTAAAAAATACATGGAAAATAAATGTGCTTTCCACATATCACCAGTTAATTCAATTGCATTGAAAATTAAAATACTCATTGATATTATTACACTTTGTCCAACTTCTAATCCATTAATACCAGCAAGTATATTTATGGCGTTTGTACAAAAAACTGCCAACATTCCCATATACACATAATAAAGAATGTATAAATTAAGAGAAAATCCAAGCCACGCTCTTAATGGTTTTGGAACAATAATTAGTGTTGAATTAAAATTTACAAAATATACCATCAATAATGGTAATGAGGCAATTGTTGGTAAAAGTAATTTATGCCTCCAACGTAAATCTAAAACATCATCGGCAAAACCTAATAAAACCATACAACAAATTGATAACAGAGCAGCTAGCATATCAATAAACTGAAACGAAAAAATTATGATACTGTAATTTGAACGTAAGTTTGCAATAGTGTATTATTTTATTTTTTTTTTTTTGGTTCAACAAATACAAACCTGGTTATGTGGGAAATATGCATTTTTGAAAATATAATCACAAAACGGTATTGGAATAAATAAAAACATGGTGACAAGAAATGCACAACCGCTCACAACTCCCATGGCTTCTGGCCTGAAATTTTTTTTTTACTTTTAACAAATATTAAAAATATATTAATTTTTTGAATATTTTTCAGTAAACCATTTTTTTTTTCTAATTTTAAAATTGAATTATTTTCATAAATTGTTTATTTTTCGTAAATATTTTAATTTTCTTTGTGTGCTGTATTTATATACCAGCAGAAAATTTATTTCTTAAAAATAATAATTTTTGAATATTTTTTGGATAAAAAAAATGTTTTATTGAATTTAAAAATTTTAATTATTAAGATATTTTTTTAATTTTTCGTAAATATTTCAATTGTTTTTATCTGTGCTGGACACTATTTAGCAAAAAGTATTGTTCTTGAAAAATATTTATTTGAATATTGCTATATTAAAAAATCGTTTTTCGAATTTAAATTTAAATTATTTTAAATAATTTATTATTAGATAAATATTTTAAAAATTGTAAGAATTTCTGTTTGTTCTGTTCTTGAACAATTTTTTATTTTTAATTACATAAAAGTATAATTTTTGATATTAAAAATACTTTTTTTTTTAAATTTGAGTCCTAATTATTATTTTTTTTTTAAAAAAAAGTTTGCAGCACAAAAAAAAGTAATTTTTTTTTTTTTTGAAAATAATATTAGTATAACCATCACAAAGTTGGACGTTTAAATGATAATAACCTACAAAAATTAGAATTTTTCTAACGTAAAAAAATAAATACAGATAAATTTACCAGCGGAATTTTTTTTTCAAAAGCAAATTACCCTCTGTTGTAAACGAAATGAAAAATTAAGAAAAATAAATCCCTTGTTTAATGAAAAATTAAAAAAAAAAAATTCGAAAAATTTCAAAATACCAAAAATTATTGTCATAAATATTACTTACACCTTTTTAGTCGACTTTTTATTCATATCAATTCCATAAAGATTAGCTTTTATGAACATATTTTCCATTGTGGGAATTAATCTACTTGTTGCAACATAAGCAACAATTGACATCAGAACATTGGCAATAAGAGGAAAATTCGTTGAGCACATTTCTTTAAACTTTTCCATATTAAATGTTACGTTTAACTAACAGTTTATTAAAAAAAAAAAAAAAAAAAAAAAAACATTAGCTAAAAAAAGTGATTTACAAATAAATTAAAAATGACGAAACGAAAAATCAAACACAATTTTTCGTTGTCATATTACTCTTCCCGAGCAGTATACAAAAACTCAAGTTCAAAATCATTACACTTAATTACTGATAAAATAATGAAATAATGTAATTAGTTTGTAAAATTATATCATTTACACAACAAAAACGAAACGTGTTGGCACGTGTCGTCGGCATATTCGACATAAACAAAATAACTTTCGAGAACGTGATGCATTAGTTAAAGAAGGACAGAGATATATTTACTGTCCTATTCTCTCTTGTACATTTTAGAAAAAGGGATGGGACAGTAAGCAACGGAAATCAGAAATGAAGTGAGACATCCGTAATGTGACGCTTTCATGAGCTAAAAGCGTAGAATCCGCCTTAATAGTCTTGTGATTTCAATAGAGTTTCCACTCTATATACATATATACAACTTTAGTGACAGTCACTTGTTTGTTTCTTGTTTGGTCAATAAATATTTTTTAATCAACGTCAAACATTATGGTAAAAGTGAATAAATGAATAAGAATTCGATAAATTAAAGAAAAATTGAAAAAAAACCGATTTGGAAATAAAATAATAAATTCAGTCCAATTGAGGTTAGTGCATTAGTCATTTTTATCGAAGTTGCAATATTTTTATTTTCTTCTTAATTCATTACTTATTTCTAATTTGCATACTTAATGTAGTATAGATTTATTATTTTCTCTAAATCCATAAAAAAACAAATTTATTTTTTAATATTCATATCAGATCTTTGCTATATCAAAAAAAAAAAAAAAAAAACAAATGAATTTTACAGTTTGGTAAAATTACATTATTTTGTTATTAATTTCATCTAAAAAAAATTGTATAATTTTATCATAATTTTTTGTAATAATAATCGTTTTGAGGTTAGAAATACATGATCGTGTATCTTTAAAATTGAAATAAATATTTGTAAAATATTACAAATTATTAGTAATAATTTACCAATTACAGAAATCACAGTATAAATTTGGTTTAATTTTTAGGTTAAAAAAAAGGGAAAAAAAGTTTCTTTAGATATAAAAAAGGGGATTTCGAAAATCAATAAATAGAGTATATTACGTGTCGTGTTTAATTGAAATTATTGAATTTTTATAGTAATATTTTTTAAAGTAGACTATGTTAATCAGAATTTTCGTAAAAAAAGAATTTTTATTTAACTGTATTATTATTATTAAATAGAAGTTCTAATTATTTTTATTATTATTGATATTATTATATTCCAATTTCGAATTTTTTTATCGGATTTTTCCTAAAATTTAACGATCTTGTTCAAAAGAATTTCTTGTTAGATTTATAAAAGAATTTATATAAATTATTTTAATTAATAGAATTTTTATTTAACTTAATTTCCATTTCACTGAGTTTAAATTTAACTAAACTTTATTTAAATAAATTTACTGACTTTGAATTTGTCCATTTACATTACAAAAAAAGTCAATTTTTTATTTTTAATAAATTTAACGAGGTGATAAATATTTTTTTTTATTAACTATTGTTGTTAGATAGTAAATAAATTAAAGTTTTCCAATTGTTTACATAAATAAATATAATATAATATAATGGCATTTTTAGAGCAAATTTTACAAAAATAAAAAACTAATTTCAAATTTTTAAAAATAATTTTCGTTGCTGTTGCAGAGAAAGAGAATCGATTGACTCGAATACTTGGAAACCAAAGTGAATTTGATATTTTATTAATGCTAAAAATATGGTAAGTTTAGGAAAAAAAAATTATTAACAAATTTAGGAAAATTTAAGACCAGTAATTTAAATATAATATTTCTTTAGGCTCAAGAAGTTGAAGAAACAATGAAACGCATTCAATCCCATAAGGGTGTTGTTGGGACAATTGTTGTTAACTCAGAAGGTAATTTAAAACAAATAAGAATTTCTTAAAATTATTTGTGCATATATATATATATAATTAAAAATTTGTTTTTAATTTGAAAGAACAATATAGATATGGCTAAATGTTAAATTTATAATTTATTTTTTATTAATAAAAATGCAAAAAATTATTAAATAAATAAAATTCTATTCTAAATTGTTTATATTTATGATATTATAATTTAATAACTATAATATTAATTATATAATTTAATTTAAATAATTATAATTATAATAATAGTTTTTTTTTGTAATAAATAGGCATCCCTATAAAAACAACATTGGATAATACAACAACAGTGCAATATGCGGGATTAATTAGTCAACTATCAGATAAGGCTCGTTCAGTTGTTCGTGATTTGGATCCTACGAATGATTTAACTTTTTTGCGTATACGCAGTAAAAAGCATGAAGTAATGGTTGCACCTGATAAAGAATTTATACTTATTGTGATACAAAATCCTGTTGATTAAATAAAAAAAAAGAAACTGTAGATAATAAAATTTAAAAAAAAAATGATACAGTAAAAAATTTAATAAATTTTTTGCATTCAAAAAGAAAAAAAAATTGCTTTTATAACATTTTTCCTTCTAATTCCAATATAATTTGAACAATAAATTATTTGTTCTGGATTTATAAAAAGAATAAATATATTTAAAAAAATTAAAATTAATTAGTTGTAGTTTTTTTTCCTTTTTCTTTACAAAATTGTCCCTTTTTTGCGAACGCTTACAAATCATTAAAAAAAAAAAAGTAAATAATTTACACATTCGTGTTTTCTCAATATTCTATTTTAAAGCAGTTTTAAATAATCGCGGTTTTTTCTACCAATGAGAGAGAGAGAGAGAGTATAGTGGCGAAGCGCAGTTGCTATTCGTTTTGGTCGTTTGCGCAGTATTCTGTATATTTTATACATTTTATATTCGTTTTTTGCCGATTTTATTATTTATTCCACTGGTTTTGATTATGTAAATAAGGCCATTTATCAGAAGGTTTGTTAGTTTTTACATTTTATTTAATTTTTAAACAAAAATTCGTAGATAATTTTTCAATTGTATTTTTCTATTATAAAGTTATGAATTTTAAAAATGTAACTAATTTTGATATATTTTTATAATTTAATCTTTATTTTTTCGCAATTAAACAGATCTTAATATTATTTAATCTTTTTAATGTTATCAAATTTAATGCTACTCGATAAAATGAAAATTATAAATATTGTCATATAGATTTTATGTTACAACCTAACCTCCAAAAATAAGTTATTTTTAAAATTGTGTAAATTTAATCTCTAATTTTTTTAGAAACAAAACTTATTAGTTAATTAACATTAAAATTAATTACTATAAACATAAAAACAAATTTTTATCTAATTTAGTTTAGTTTCAGTAAGAAAAAAATGTTTTGATTTTTTTTGCGCCTGAAATTTTTTGTTTTTCAAAAAAATTAATTTTTCATACTAAATAAACAATTGGGCACAAAATTGTTTTTTTTTTTTTTTTAATTGTAAATTTACAAGTCTAACTTCCTGGCTATAATGGATTTTTATTTTCTATTACATAGAAAATTATTATTGGATAATAATTAATTTTAATAAAAAAAAAAAAAAATGTATTTAAAATTCATAGTGAAAATAATGGGAAAAAATTTAATTAAAAATTTAAAAAATTGAACTAGAATAATTATGAATTTTATTTATTTATTTTTTAATAGAAGATATGTGGCCAGATCCAACAGATACATCATTGAGAAAACCACGTCGGTTGAAAGGAACTGCTGCAAATAAATTTGTTAGTATTGCAATCATCTGTACCTTAGCAGCAGGGTATTCTCTAGCCTATTTATTCTCGTAAGTTTTATGTTTATATATCTTATTTTATTACTTACTGAAGAATCTTTGCTTTAAAATGAAATTCTTTAAATAAACGCTATATAGGATAAAAAAAAAAAAAAAATTTCTTGAATTATTTCAGTGTAACTCCACCTGTGAAAAGATACGTACAATTCATAAATGAAAAAGTAAATAATAGATCAGAAGATTTAGATCTTGCTGATGCACTTATAAAAAAAGCACCCTATTTGAAAAGAAGAATGGAAGAATTAAAAAAATTCGATAATTAAGAAATTTAATATGCTTTCAAAGAAAAAGAAAAAAAATCCTTCAACAACATCAGAGGAGGAGAAAAAATTAATTCCAAAAAAAAGAAGAATCAAACAACAACCGGTAGTTTTACAATTACTTATTGTTATTAAATAAAATTAATTTTTTATTTATCAGCCAAAAGTCTTACAATAAATTACATCATCCTGTTAATTAAATAAAATTAATTATTATTTTACACTAATGTCCCTGCGAGACTAATACGGACAAAAAAAAAAATAGTTTTTACTATTCACTTTTGGTTTATACAAATTTCAAATCAAAATTGTATTTTTAAAAAGAATTTATGTAAAACAAAAAATTAAATTTTCTTTATTTCAATTATTTAACTAATTTTTTAACATTTTAACTAAAATTTTTCTCTGAATTAATTATTTTTAATAATTTTAATAAAACTCTTCACAAATTCAATTATCTTAAATTATTTTTCAATTACAAAATTTTATGTTCCAAATTTCAGTTATTTGTAATAATTTTAATTTTTCTTTAAAAATTCAATTATTTAAAAAAGTTTCAAATAAAAACTCTAAAATTGAATTTGTCAGAATTTTTTTTAGATATTTGTCCTACATTAATTACAAAATTTACATCTTTGATTTTGATTTGTGAAAAAAAAATTTTATGAATGGTAGAAACTATTTTTTTTCACGTATCATATATAAGTTTTATTAAACTTTTCAGAAATCATACTATGGAACTGAATTGGAACTTGCTCTTGCAATATCAAAATCTTTGCACGATGCTGAAGAAGAAGAAAAAGTTGAATTAGGTTTAATAGCACCCTCAGAATTAGTTTCAGCAGTATCAACAAAAATTGAAAAAAATCCTCCAAGCCATTGGTTCAATAAAAATAAATCAGCCAATGATGCATTTGTTACAAAATTTAAAAGAAGTATAGTATAATTTTAATATCTTTAATATATTATTACATAACTGTAATATAAATATGTATAATTAATAATTTTAGAAATACTAAATTCACAAAACTTTAATAATAGTTGAGAAAATGAAAAAGAGGCCTCGGATTATAAGATTTTTCCGACTTATTTTAATAAAAGGCAATTTTTTTTTTTTTTTTGACTTATACAAAATAAAATTAAAAACTTTTTTGCGCCTTAAAGACGATCCGAGGCCTGAAATAGTGATTTACTTCTTTTATTTATATAAAAAGTCATTCCAAGTATTTGACTTTATTTTTTATCTTGAAATTATTCAATATTCTCCGTAGCAATATTTGTTTAAGTGTAAATCCAATGCCAGAAAATGCATCCAGTAAACCTTAACATGTTCTGAAACATCAAAAATGCAAACTTTTATTTATTATTTTATTTAACAAGTAAACGGACATAAAAAAATGAAAATGTCCTTTTGTAAAAATTACATTTAAATTAAAAAAAAAACGAAACAAATTTAATTTACTTTCTCAGGGTTGCCACGAGTTAGAAAAATCAAAAAAAAAATCATGAAATTTTATAAAAAGTACTGGAAAAATATTATATTATTTTCAATTCAAACTTTTGCTTCTAAAAATTGTTGTCTTAATTTTTTATAATTGAAAATCTCTTGAAATATTATTTGAGAAACAACTTTAATTCACTTTCTATGTTGAAAAAAAAAATTTTAAATAAGTTTTGTGGTTTTTAAAATCAAAATTACAATCGATAATAAATTAATTTATTTTGTAATATAAATATTTAGATTGTTAAAAAAAACGTTAATTATTTCCGGAAATATAAACAAAAATTCGAAATCATTTTATATTGAATAAAAGAAGAAATGAATTTAAAAGTTTAACATTTGAATGAATAAAAAAAACTATCTTTTTCAGATGCATTAAAAATTAAAACAACTTTACAAACATCTACTGAAGATATAAAAGAGCGAGTTTTAACTAATAATTTAGCAAAAATATTAATAGAAACTGAGAATTGTGAAAATGAAAATTTGTTGACAAAAAATTTAGATGCAATAAAATTGGTGGGTAGAATTTTTTTTTTTTTTTATTAAGGGCAAATAAGAATCTTTTTCATAATTTTAATAAAAAATTTTATTTTCAGAGCAATGTACTCTGGAATAACACAACATATTATAATGAAAATATATCCAGCATTTTTTTTGTAAGTAAAAAAGTAAAATTATTCTAAAACTAAAAAATATTAAATTGAAATTCAAAATTTCAAAATTAAACTTTTTAGAATATTAATTTTTAATTAAAAAATGAGGCAAAAGAAAAAAAAATTCAGTTTTATTCCTTTTTCAGATAGACAAATTATTTAGTTCTGAGAAAAAAGAAACATCAAAAGAAAATTTAACTGACAACAATTATTTCGAAGAAAATGTATTTGAAGAAAAAAGTGAGAGGATATTTGAAAAAATTAATAAAAAATTACATGAGACGGAAATAAATGCAGATGAACGCAACTTAGAAATTTTATTGAATTTAATAAATTTATGTCCAATTAATGATCAAATTTATAATAATCTTAAAGGACTATTCTTTGATGAAGTAAGTCAAGAATTATATTCAAATTCACCTGAATTAAATTTAAATAAAATGAATATTAATTCTTCTTTTCAAATGCAAAGAATGAATTTATCTTCCGAATTAGATTGTTTTTTGGAAAACGATAATTTAAATTCAGAGAAAATTTCAAACGTTGATAAAATAAATGATTTTAAAGAAATTGATATTTTATCTTCAGAAATTATCGATATTGTCAATGATCGTCAAGAAAAATCGTCAAAAAATTCTGAAAAAATCGTCAATAAAATTAATTTAGATGAAGTTGAAAATATTAAATTTCAAGATGTAAAACATTTAGAAATTAACAATGATTTTCATGAATCAAATATAAAGAATTATGATACAATAACAAATAATGAAATTATAAATCTTGATGAAGATAACGAAAGTTCAAACAATTTAACACAAATTTTTAAGGAAGAAAATAATTTAAGAGATGAAATTATTAATCTTGATGAGGATAACAATAGTTCATTAAATAATTTAAATAAATCAATTTTTGAAAATGAAAATAATTTAAGAGATGAAATTATTAATCTTGAAGACGATAACGATAGTTCATTTAGCGATTTAAACACTGCGATTTGTGAGAAAGAAAATAATTTCAATGAAATTATAAATCTTGAAGAAGATAACGAAAATTATAAAGAAGATCATTCGTCTATTGATTTAGATAAAGCGATTTGCGAGAAAGAAAATAATTTCAATAGAAATGAAATTATAAATCTTGATAAAAATAATGAGAACAATTCATCAATGGAATTAGATTTTTCATTTCATGAGAATGAAAATAATTTCTGTACAAAAAACATGGAAACAAATAAATCATTCGAAAATTTAGAAATTAAACATTGTGAGAAAAAAACTAAATTAAATGATAGTAATGAAATTATAAATCTTGATGAAAATCACGATAGTTCATCGATGGATTTAGATTTTTCATTTGATGTGAAAGAAAATAATTTTTCTCAAAATGAATCTTGTGAAAAAAATAATGAAAGATCGTCGGGAAATTTAGATATTAAACATTGTGAGAAAGAAAATAATTTTGATAAAAATGAAATTATAAATCTTGATGATCATCACGATAGTTCATCAATGGATTTAGATTTTTCATTTGATGTGAAAGAAAATAATTTTTCTCAAAATGAATTTTGTGAAAAAAATTATGAAAGATCGTCGGGAAATTTAGATACTAAACATTGTGAGAAAGAAAATAATTTTGATGAAAATGAAATTATAAATCTTGATGAAAATCACGATAATTCATCGATAGATTTAGATTTTTCATTTTGTGAGGAAGGAAATAATTTAAATAAAACTGGAATAATAAATATTGAAGATGACATTTCATTCAAGGATTATTTCAGTAAAATTAAATTTTCCAAAGGTAATTTAAATTTTTAATTTTAGAAATTAAAAAAAAAATTTATTAAAAAATTTATTATTTAGGTACATCTAATAATATTTAATTTTAATTTTAGATTCTAATAAAATAGACAATTCTAATGTTGAACAAATTCAACAATTGCAGGGAATCAAAAAAAAATCACAAGCCACAAAAAGTGATAGGAAAAAATCTGTCCCAATTAAAAATAATGTGAAAAGTAGTGGAAATAATTTTCAAAAAAATATGTCACAAGAAAATTCTTCTAATTTAACTAAAAAAACGTAAGTATAATAATAATAATAATAATAATAAAAATTTTTATTTTTAAAGTTAATTCAAAAAATGTAAATGAAAATATTGTTATTTGTTTCTTATTACAGTTCATCATTTAAAGAAAATAAAAAATCAAAAAGTGATTCTCAAAAATTAGAAGTAACAAAGCAAAGTGAAAATATTTTCGAAATGAGAAAAAGTCTTAGTGACTTCTTTCAAAACGATAGTGAGATATTAAAAAAGATTTTTAAATACGAGCCATTAGGTTTAAATTTTTTGAAAGCACAATTAAAAAAAGAAAAAATTAAATACAAAAAGGATGTATTATTGAAATTTCTTGATGATCAAGTAAGTATTTTTTATTATTTTACAATGTTAAAAATAAATTTTTGAATATTATAATAGGTATAATGTTTCTATTTCTATTTCTATCCAAATATTCATTTGACAATATTTTCATTAACTGACTGATTTAATTAAAAATTAACAATTTCCAAGTTTTCAGGAGAGTAAATTATATTTTAATTTGAAGCTATTTTACTTCTATTTAATAAATATTATTATTTTTTGAAAATCTTCTAAGGAAACTATGAAAGAAGAATAAAATTTCATTAAGTTTTATTATTGCAGGGAATTACTGTCTGCATGGAGTAGCAAAGGAAAAAAAATATTAGAACATTGTACTATAAAAATTTATAATTTAGTTGAAATAATTGAAATTTAAATAAACAAAATTTAATTTTTAAAAAAGGAATTACAATTAAATGGTATTTAAATGTTATTTAATTTTTAAGTGATTTAATTAAAGTTTTATTTTTATTATTAAATTTAAATTAAATGCAAAAAAAAGCAAAAAAAATATATTATTATCTTTTAAGATTATAACGAAATGAATGAAAAGGAAGTTGAAATTGGAACAGAAGCAAACAGTGAGACGTTGGCGCTAGTGAATTTGATAAAATAGATCTTAAATTACAGGTTCAATTTTTTTTTTTAACTTTTTTTTATAAAATTCAATTTTTTCTGTTCATTATATTTATAAATAGAATGCTAAAATGTTAAAAAAAGATATTTTTAAACTTTTTTTACATGTTAATTAGAGAAAAATGTTATTTTTAAATAAAATATGACCTTGAAAATCAAGGTCAGATAATTTCAAAATCAGTTTTTTAAAACTGCAAATAAAATAAAGTAAAAATTTACAATAAATTTTAAATTAAAATCTGATTATTAAAAATAATAAATTGCTTTTTTTTATTTTTGAAAATAGAATATTTAGAAAATTAAAAAAGAAAATAGTTTTCATTAAAAGATAAAAATTAAAAAAAAAAAATTTTTTATTGATTTTTTTTAATGTAATTAATCAAAATTATTTTCAACTCATATTACAAAGAATTTAATATAAATTTTTATATTTACAATAATATAATATTATTTTTTATTACTTACTTTTTCTGAACTAATGAGATTATTTTAAAAAGAACAAAACTCAAGACACATCTTCGTCCTTGGAATAATTATAACTAATTTCCTTAGCCATTATTTTGGAATAAAATTTGTTATCATCATCATCATCCTTGGAATTAATTCTTTTCCGTATTTTTTTATCCATTAAATTCGAATTTGATATATTTTGAGATGGACTTTTAAAATTTCTGTTGATCATTGTTAACATATTAAATAAAAGTTCTTTTAAATAATTATTTTCTTGATTGAATTCCTGTGAGATGAGAAATAAATTATCATTCCAATTATTATTTAGAATATAATATATAAAATAAATGAATGAGCATAATATAGAAGAATTATTTTCTTGTAAAAACTTACATGTTCCTTTTGAAAATATCACATTTTTCGAATTTTGATAATTATCAATTATTTTTGATATATTATTTACGAGGGTTTTTTCATTGAAAAATGAATTAAATTCAGAATCATTGAGCGACTTAAATGTTATTTGTGATTTCATTATTTTATTTACATTTTGATAAATTTCTTGAAATGTTGTCGATGATGATATTTCCAATTCTGATTCATCAATATCGGCCATCATATTTTCATAATCATAAACAGCTTGTCTATTATATTCTTCAAATTCATTTTCTTTACTTTCATAAATTCTCGATGAGCTTCTTGTAATAAATGTTAAAGAATCATTTAAAATTTGATTTCTATGTGTTTTAATTTTTTGTCTTCTTTCTAAATGTTTTTTTCTCATTTCATTTTTTTGCTCTTGAAAATCAAAAATTTCTTTAGAACTGTAATTTAAACTTTTTAATAATTCCAAATCGCTTTTAGTTAAATTACCAGTCATTATTCTTAATATTGCTTTCTCAAAAATATTATCAAATCTTTTACTATTGGAAATTTCTTTTTCTAAATTCAAATTATTTTTTTCTATTTGAACAATTATTTTTGAATTTTTATCATCAATTTTATTTCTTTCATTATTTTCAAGTTTAATACAACGACACCAATTACACGTGGGGAAAAAAAATAAAAGTAAAATTATCACTTTTTTTTGAATTATTTGCATTTTCATTTGCAAAAATTTTTGCTTATTTATTTTCTTTCTTCATTGATGATGGATTTTTTTTTTTTATTACACTTAAAATATTTGTAAAACTATTTAATAATAATACACATATTTGTGATCAAAGAATTAAAAATTCTATGTTCATTGTGAAAAAAAAAATTTCAAACTCACTTTTATATAAATATTTTTATCAAATTTTTATAATATATGTATGTATCTATATTCACAAAGAATAAACTGAGGTATGCGTCTCAAAAGATAATCTGTATATCACACATAACTCTTAGTCAGCAAAAAGGATTTAGGAATTTTAGAAATGTGTGTTACTAAAATTTCACTATTTTTATGAGACGTATTAAGATTACTTTCTTTTAGTTTTTCTTTTCTTAAAAATTCGATTAAGATTAATATACAAAAAACTTAATTTAAGTAGTTAAAATTTTATAATTATGAAAAATTAATTAATGATGACAAATCACATATTATTAAGAAACAAAAATAAATATTCACCTGTTATATGGAAATTTGAGTACTTATATTTATCTTCAAGGACAATTTTTTTAATTTTTAATAATTAATATTTTATTTATTATTACAATTATAATATAATTATTCAATTTATAAAATTAATAAAATTTAAATAAATTTTTAAATTATAAAATTTATAAATATAATTTATAAATTATAAAAAATATTGTTTATTTATTATATTTATTAAAAAGGATCTCAATTTTTGAGCAAATAAATAAAAAACAATGTAAACTTTCTGAAAATTTAAGGAATCAATTTTATTTTATAATTTAATTTGAAAAAAAGTGGATAGAATTTTTTATTATTATTAGAAAACTAAACATTTAATTTGCTTTTAAATTATTAATAATAAATAATAAATATAAAAAAGTAGTTTTTGCTTTTTATAGATAAATATTTTATGCGAATTTTTGTTAATTCTTTTTAAGTAGCGAAAATTTCAATTTTTTTTAGTATGAAAATGTTTTTAATATTATTTGTCCCTTGTGTAAAATTTATTTTTCAATGAAAAAGTATTATTGATTTTCGTATACTTTAAATTTTGTAACTTTTTAAATTTACTCTACTTTCTCCTCATTACGATGAAAAGGGGTAAATAATAAATGTGTATAATTTGCATAAACATATATTTGCAGTCAGAAAATAATCACAGTCTTGGTATTTAAAAAAAAAAAAGTAGACAGCAATCTTAAATAGATTTCGGTTTTTGTATTTAAAGAAAAAATATCGAAGTTAATCGACTATAAAAATAGGAAGAAAAATTCAAATAATTTTACGTCGTTTTACATGTTTTTTTGAAAAGTAATTACACTTTTGACTATTAAGAATTAATGTCCTAAATATCAATTTTACAAATCAACTGCTTTTATTTCCATTTATTTTTCTAATTTTTTTTTTTTTATATTTTGAATAATTTTAAGTGTAAAAAATAAAGCTATTGATAGATTTAATATAAAAACAGCTTTAGGATAATAATAATAATTTCTCCTTTTATTTTTAAGCAACTTCGATATTTTTTCTGTAAATTAAAAAAACCCATATTTTCATTAACCATTTGAGTGGTAATGCATCATATATATTTACAAACTTGAATAACTTTTAAAATTTTTTATAACGGATTTACACAGAAAACTTGGTTTTCTTAATGATAACTCTCATTTTAAAATCTTTAGTAACTTTTTAGAAAATCTGTATAATATTTAAAGAATACAGATTTAAAAATTTTGTAAATACAATTTTTCTCAGTAAATGTATTTTTTTTCAATCAAATATTAAAATTTTAATTCCTTTTTACAATAATTAATCAAAAATGTAAACATGTTTAAAACTTGATTAGCAATTTTTGGCATTTTTTTTTTTGTAAAAACATCACCACTCAAAAGATTAATATTTCTCAAAAATGAGAGAATTTCAAACAAATAGTTTTCTAGTTATAACATAAAATAATTAATTTAATATATGTATAATTTGTAGAGTAATTTTTAAAAGAAAATTTGGTCTTTTCAGTGTTATGATATTGCTATCAGAATTATTAAAATTATATTTCATATATATATATATATATAATTACTAATAAAAGATTCTCAATTTGGTTTAATTATTTTTTCATAATTTATAGACTCACTTAAAAAGTCTTTGTTTAAAATTGTCTCATCAGTTTCAACTTTAAAGGCATGTTGTTCTTTTTCTTCGACATCATCAGGAAGAGTATTATTATCTCTTGCATTATTTATTGGTTGAACTGTCGTTAATGTATTCCACCATGTTGAGAAAGCCCCTTTTGCTTGTGATAAAGCTCCACCTTATTAAAATAAATGAAAAAAAAAAAATTGACAAATCGTACAGTTAATAAATAAAACTTTAAACGATTCATTTTTCTAAAAATGAATATGAATGTAAATTTTTTATTCCTATGTGTATATTATGAATTTAAAATGAGACTTGCCTACGGCTTTTCCTGTTGTTAACATTGCTTGATTTAATTTTCGACCACTCTCTGTGTTTTGCATGGAACTGAAACAAGAAAATTAATTTTTAAAAAATCGTCTTTTAAAGCAAAATTTTTCAATTGTTTTAAATTTCAATTAAATTTTAAATATCTTGACTTTAAAAATATCAACTAGAAACTTACTGCGTTAAACGTAATTTCATATCCTGTACTGATAATTGTCCAACAAATGGATGCCTCGGTTCGATGTTATTTATTTCAGTAGGATTAGAATTTATCCATTTTTTATAATTGTTCGTAGTACGCCATGCCGATATAAATAATGTATTAAAATGATCAGTTTCACGAGTATCGTATTGCATCGATGTGCGTAATAAATGAAGTAAATACATTTTAAATTGAATTCTAATCCATTCTTCACTACCATGATATGTAGAACTATCCAAAATATTATCCTTTCTTGGCTCAACTACACATCTAACGACATAATCAATAAATCTCAAATCCTCCGTTGTAAGATGTAATTGTCTTCTTAATTCAGGATCATTAGCTTCTATTCGTCCATTTTCTATCTGTATAATAAAATTTTTCATCAAAATTATTATTTATTTCTAATAATTTTTTAATCATTTCGATACTTACATCAATTAAAACATCGATTAGCTGTTTCTTTTGTTTAAAAAGAACATTTGTTGCCCCTACTACATAACCACGAACATTTTTATCACTTAACAATTCTAAATATGGCAAGGAAAGATACGGTAAACAGAGGTAACCCTAAAAATGCGAAAAAATTAAATTAAATTTAAAAAAAACATTTATTCAATAAAATTTGAATCTCTAAATATACCTCAGAAAATATTTGTAATGGTAAACCACATTTTTGAGTATTTATCGAAGTCGCCTGTAAAATACTTTCTTCAATCCATGTATTTACCGATATAAGATTATTACTATTTTTATTAGGTAAAATATCTCCTGTTTCAAAAGAAACAGTATTCAATTCATCTTTTAATTGCAAATTTTCCATATTATCATTGTAATTAGGCTTTTTATTGTATTTATTTTCTAATCCATCTTCTGAATTTTTGCATTTACTTTCTGTTTCATCGTCAATAACATTTAATGTTTCTTCTAATGTTTCTAAATTTCTTTCATAATTAGAGTACGAAATTTCTTTCTCTAAATTCAAATCATTATTTTCAACTTTATTTAATGATTTTGAATCCAAAGAATCTAAATTTGTCAATTCGGAATCAATAATTGAATTTTCCACGTCATTATTTGAAATTGGTGATGTTGGTACCCTGTATAAATAAAAAAAAATTGATTAAAAATCATTATTATCGATGATAAATTGAAATTGCCTTCCACTAAACTCACCTGATGTATGTGGAATACTTCAAACCACTTTCTATCATTCCGGGAAATAATGAAAGTAGAGTCAATATTGTCGTGCATAATGGATGCACTGGCGATTGGAAAAAAACTAATTTCTTCTCTAAAAGAAGTAATTTAAATAATAAAAGTACTTTATGTCGAAATTGTAAAATTAAATCTCGTGCTGAAAGACCTGTAAAATTCGTTTAAAAAAAAAAAAATTTTCTCTTTTAAAAATATATTTTTAACTCCTTTTAAATATTATTATCACTACATATTTGTCGAAATTTCTCAAATTACCTAAAACGAACGAAAAATTAGTTTAATATTTTTTTAACTTCAAATTTTACTATGAATTATTTATTTCTTATAAAAATAAACAATTTATTAATTTTTTTTTCATTGCTTTAATAATTAAAAAAAAGACCAAAAAAATTATTTATTATTTATTAGCAAAAAAAAACGATTTAATTTTTTAATTTTAGGTAATACTTTTGAGAAATTTTGACCTCATATTTGAAAAGTTTATTATTGGAAATATTTTAATATTTGAAATAAAAGAAATTAATAATACCTCCAAAAAATTGTGAAGGAATTTGACTATCTTTTTTCATACAAGAATTAAGATGATAGTAAGTATCTTTTAGTAATGAAATTTTACTAAAATCTCCTTCCTCAAAATATGCATTTGTTATTAATGCAACTTTAACTTGAATATGTCCATAAAATGGTAATGTGCTTAAAATACAGACTGATTTCTGTACAGTTCCTCTTGTAATGTCAGATGTTCGACATTTTAGTTTCTATTAATATAAAAGCAATTTCGTAAAATTAAATTCATTAGAAAAAAAAAATATGTAAAATATACTTGTAGTTTATAAAAATTCGTGAATGCGATTAATTAAAAATTAATAAAAAAAAAAAAAAATATCTAATGATCAATTTTTCTAATTTTAGAATTTCATAAATATTTCCGAAAATTTATACATTCATAATAAAAAAATTTTCTAAAAATAAATTTCTAAATCTATTAATTTTTCCTAATTTTCAAATGATTTTTTTTTTTTAAATATTTTATACGGATAGAAATTTAATTAATTGAAATTATTTAAAAATATACCTCAACTGGAATTTGTTTGAAGCATGAAATTCCGTATACTGTGCACTTTGGATCCGTAAGACTAGGTAGGTGAAAAAATACGGTGTCTTCATCATAATTATGAGAACCGTCAGGTAGGGCCAATGATGGTAAATATTTCCAATTTAATGGACATTCATTTGGAGCCTCTGGTACCAATGGAGGAAAGGAGAACTCCACCTAAGACACAATTTTCATATATTCCATATTTTTATCAAAAAAAATGTCTATTCAATTACATAAACCTATTTTGTTTTTTAAAATTAAAAAATAAATAAATAAAAATACTTAAAGTTCAACTATTATTACAAAATTCAATTGAAAAAAATTTTTTTACAAATATTTGGAACTGTATTTTATTGTAAATTTAATAATTATTAAGTTATTAACATTATTATTCAATTTTTATTTTCTATTGTTTTGTAACTAAAAAAATAATTTTGCTATAATAAAATGATTAAATATTTAAAAAATTTTTAATTATATGTAATATACAAATTAGTAAATTTATTATAGATGTTAATAAAGTACTAAATAAATTAAAAAATACATAAATTAAGTCTCGGCGACTATTTTTATATTTAATCGCATTGTAAATATAAATTTAGTACTGTACTAGATATATATATTATGTTCTTTAATATTGATTATTGAAATTTTTTTTTATTATTATTATATATAAACAAAGTTCCTACTAAAATATGTATATGGAATAAATAAAATAAAAATAATTAAAAAAATATATATATAAAACAAACTTCCTGTAAAACAGGAAGTTTTAGAAGGAAGGAAATGAAAAAAAAAATAATTGAATTCCAAAAAGTTAATTGATTATAAAAAAAAATCCAATTACAAAAAAATACTATTAAAAAATAATAGACTTTTTTTAAAAAAATAATTTAATTCAAGAAGAATTGAATTTTTAAAATATTGTTTATTTAACAGACAAAAATATAATGTTTATTTATATTTGGAATATTTAAAACAATAAGTTATTACCAAATTAAAAAAATAAGTTTCTTAAGTTAATTTTAATATTTGTAAATATTGTAAAGTATTTATGAAATTTTACTGCAACGAAAATTCTTTAAATAAAAACTACTTTTTTTTTTTGTTACATTTCATTTAAAATAAAGAATAAATTCTACTTTCAAGAGAATATTCTACTTTTTAGAGTTTTAATTTAAAATATCAAAAAGCGAAATTAAAATTTTTAAATTACTGAAAATTCTCAAACAATAAAATTTTTTATAATGTAAAATTATAATGTCAGCATATAGTATGAAAATAATAAAATATTAAGTGATATTCATAAACTTTCTAGAAAAATATAATTGAAATTTTTTAAATACATTTCTTTGGTATATTTAAAAAAAAAATTCACCTAATATTTTCGATTTATTTTTTAAATAATAAAATAAAATACAATAATCAATTAATGTATTAAATCATTATTTTGAACGCAATTACCAATGAAGAAATTTAAATTATGTAAATTATTTTTGTTGTTCTTTTTCTTTATCAAATTTTTACAATCATTAAAATAAACTTTTTTCCTTACAATTCAAATAGTCTTATAAAAAATAATTGCCAATATAATGTATTTGCAAACGTACATAAAAAAAAATCATTAACTATGAATTATCAGATTTTTCTAAAAATAGAGCGCATTGATTTTGGGGATGAAATTTAATTAACTTGATCGCTTAATAAATAAAAACTAATATTAAAAATAAATTTCTAAATACTAAACTTACTTGACATCCCTTTTTGTGATGAAATCCAATCACAATTATGTGCAAAATCGGACCTTCAGTTTCAGCCATTTAGATTAATTAAGAATTAACAATAGTCATCTTTTTTAGATAAGAAATTCATTTTTGTACAAATTTTTGTGTGTTTTTTTTTAAAAAATCTTTTCAAGAAACAAATAATATAGAAATGAACAACATTTTTATTAATAACATTAATATGAATATTACATTCTCCAGAGTAGAAAAATGTAGAATTAACAATTGACAATGTTTTTTTAATTGAAAAATAAAATATAAACTACTTATAAAATAAAATTGTTACACTGTAAAAAATATCAAAAGCTCGTATAGTAAATAAGAATTCGAGATGGAATTCTACATGTCAAAAAGTTGATCATGAATTCCTACTGACAGGGTTGCCACGGTCTTTATAAAAGACAGTGAGGGGTAGGTTGCGCCAACGCGCGTCATTTATGTATAAAGGCATAACCACAGTATTAAATAGTTCAGAGAAACCTCCAATATGTGACACCTTTGAATCGGTATTGAATTTTTACGGTGGTATCGCTGAATGTGATTGGCTGTAATTTCGTTTTTCACATTTTAGATGTTCGCCTACATATTACAAAAACTATTATTTTTGGTACCCAACCGTGTCGCTTTAAAGTATTTTTTGACAGATTGCAAACAAATTGCATCAGTTTTGCAGTTATATCTATACATATAAGTGAATACTGTATGTAACATAACAGTCAATATTATTTTCATATGTTATGAATTCATATGAAACCAGAGAAATATATGTATCTATTGGTTTTGCCAATTTCTCAATAAATATGTGAATGAAAAAAAAAAATATAATTCATCAACTAACTTAAATTTTCTTGCGTAACATTTTGTTTATTGTTACAATTATTAATAAAAGAGTGAATGCATTTGGTCGAATCATTAAAAGGAAAACAGAATTCAATTTTCAACTGTATTTGGTAAGTTTAATTTTGTAAAATTGTTTTCATTTTGTTAATGCTATATTAGACATATGTCAAAATATTTTACGATGAATTTTTTTTTTCTGCTGTAGTTCAATGTTTTTAATTTATTTAAGTAATAGTGAATTTACTGTTTTATTATAAAGAAATATTATTTAAGAATAAAGCTTAATTAAATAAAATTATGAAACTATTTTGTTAATATTAATTTAAATATTATCCCGCTGACGATTAAAAAATATCTCACAAGTAAAAATAATAAATTGACATTGACAGAATTGTTTGTATATATATATATACACAGATACACGTCACAGATGCGTTTTAATCGGTACAATAATAGAAAATTTTAAAAAAATTATCGGCAAAAATTAATCAGAAGCTTTTGAACTGTTTTAAATATTTTTCCAGTAATATTTGACCTTGAACTACAAAAGTCAGACAAAATTAAGAAATTTTTTTTTATATTACACTAGTATAATTATATGCCCTCTAAATATTTATAAGACGTTTGTAATTTATTTGAATTTAATAAATAAACTATTTACTTATTATTCAAATTTTTTCTACATTGTTAAATTTAGGGCATATTAATTTATTTAATATTTTTTTATCTTGACATAACTTTTATTTTAATAAAATAAATTAAATAATAATTAATAAATTAATTGAAAATTTAGTTTAATTAACTTATAATTATTAATTTTAATTATGAAAAAAAAATATAGATTACTTTTGGTATGGAAATTTAAATATAAAACACAATTATTTTGATTTTTTAAAAATTTTTATTAAAATAATTTCAAACTGAATACTAGAAAAATGTGATTGAAATGTTAAGGTATTTCTCTTACTAGATACAGAAATTCAGAAAAAAAATTATATCCTCCTTTGAAAAATTAAAATGTTTATTAAAATTTGTTTATTTACACACATTTTTAGGTAAACTTTTTTTTATGTCGCTTTTACACAAAATTTTAAAAGTGATGCAATTTTTGTTTACGATGGCTTATTTTCTACATCAAATAGATTTATCTACAACTTCAGTGAAAACAATTTTGAAAAAAATACACCATTACGAAAATAATAATTTTTTGTTAAGCAAATAATATTTAATAAATTGTGCATTTTTTCAAAATTATTTTCGATGAAATTGTAAATAATTTATTTATGTAGAAAATAAGCCATTGTAAACAAAAATTGCATCACTTTTGGAAATTATTCTAACGATATGAAAATAAAATTTGACTGACTATAAATAAACAATGTAAATAAACAAATTTTTAGATTAAAAATTTTTTTTTCTTAAAAATTTACATTTTTTTCTTCTAAAGTTTATAATTTAAAAAAACATTTTAATTCTTCAAAGGAGAATATAATTTAATACCTGTAGCTAGCAAGAGAAATACATTAATTTATCTGAATGTTAAATAAATTTTAATAATAAAAGTTTTATTTTTATATTTAGAATGTCTAGAAAATGAAGATTTTTGAATATTGTTTTAAATTAATTGAAATTAGGACATTCTCTCAATTATATTTTCAACAAACAATAAAATTTTAATTTTGAATATAATAAATAAAATAAATTATATATAAATTAAACCAAAAAATTAATATTATTATTAAAACGATTTTAACTAAAAATGAGCCAAAAGTTCTGAACGTTCAAATGAACGAAATATTTTTTTCAATCTTTAAATTATTAAAAATTATGATGGCTATGTAAAATAAAACGTTAAATTAATTAATTATTAAATTAATAACTTCTTTTTAGATATTTAAAACAATATTTTATATAATAAAATTCGTACTTAAAGAAGTTGTAAAAAAAATTTCGTTCATTTGAACGTTCGAAACTTTTGGCTCATAACTAAAATGATCAGAGTTATCGATATAATTTGTTTTGGCAAAACGTGTATAATAATAAAAATATTTTTATATACATAAAAATTCGGTTAAATAAGATTTCTGTTGAATTATTGAATTCTTTTAAATGTGAATTCAATTAAATTAAAATTCTTTTAAGTGAATATTCTGATTATTATAATTTCAATTGGAGAACATTTTTTGTTTTTAAATTAAATTTCTGTTTTTATAGGAATTTTGCTTTAAGTTGCAAAAAAGTTGAACTTAAATTATTAATTTATTATTAAATTATTTATTATTACTAGTTTTTTATTATTAAATTATTATTAATTATCTTAAATAAAAATTCTTTAATAGAAAAATTTGCTTCAATTTCAATTCTAATTTACAAAATGCGGATAAATATTATATATGATAATAATTTAAATATTTAAAAAATATTTTCAAATTGAATATCTGAGGTTATAAAAATTTTGCTTTTTTTAGAAATATTACCGTAAATGATGTTATCTACGGAAGATGCACTAACGTGCAATAAAAATGATGACGTTGATCCAACTCCGGAACTCTGTAAAATGACGAAGAAGGTAAATTATAATTTTACTTTTAATTTCTATGTGATAATTTAATTTATCAAAATAATTTCATTGAATTAATAGCACTTTTCATTGTAGGTTGATTTCATAAATCCTTCAGAAACAGTTTATTATAATCTGTTAACAAAATTGAAAGACAGACTTCAAGATGGAAGGAATGAAACCATTTTTGATATTGGAATTGGTGAAGGTTAGTTTATTTATTATTTTAAAATTTTAAAATAAAAAGTACATTTTGACGTGTTAATAAAATCGGATGTTTCCAGAAAAGAAAAAAAAATTTTTTGTTAATTATTATTTGTTGCTTATTTTTTATCTAATTATTAGATGGCTCTGAGGATGGATTACAAGAAGATGACTATTTGGCATCAGTAAAGACTCTTGAGTCACTTGCAAAAGAATTGGAAGCAGATTGTGTACTATTAAGAAAATATAAAGTTGAACAAGGACTAACGGGACAATATTTAATTCGAAAAAAATTTAATGAACAAGACTTTTTGGAAATCAGGTTTGTATTTTGTTATGTAAATATTTTCGAAAATTTATAAAATGCACAAAATATCATGAAATCATAATATTCACATTTAATAAAAAAAGGTCAGAATTTCTTAAACGGATCGCCAAAAATTTACAAAAAGTGATAAATTTTGAATGTTAAATCATTTTTTTTTACTTCTACTGTAATCAAAATAAGTTTCTGAAAATATTAGACTAAAAAAATTCAATTTAATTATTTAAAAAAAAAAAAAAAATTTAATTCAAAAATCGACTTTTTCGACTCTATTTGAAATGTAAAATAGGCTAAAACGAATTTTTTTTGGTCGTTAAAGTCGATCCGAGATCTGAAATTGTTGATTAGATTAGAGATTTTTGCAAATGATACAATTTTGTTGATGTAAAATTCAGAATTGCTGTGGTGGGAAACGTAGATGCGGGAAAATCTACTTTATTGGGTGTACTGACACATGGTCAACTTGACAATGGTCGTGGATTAGCAAGACAAAAATTATTTCGACATAAACACGAAGCTGAAACTGGCCGTACTAGTTCAGTGGGAAACGATATTCTTGGATTTGATGGAATTGGTAAATTCCTATATGACATAATCTACGTTTAGTTTTATTTGTGTTATCATTTAAAATTGTATATCAAAGAAAACAGCATTATATATTTTTTTTATTAAAAAAATTATAATGATTATTATTATAGTAATATAATATTAATAATAATAATAATAATAATAATAATAATGTGTTTCGTATCAAGGACGCAAAATAGATGACTGATGATTTCAGGTAACGTGGTCAACAAATCAGAACATGGCTCTTTAGATTGGGCAAAAATTTGTGAAAAATCATCTAAAGTTATTACATTTATTGATCTTGCTGGACATGAGCGTTATTTAAAAACAACAGTATTTGGAATGACTGGTCATGTTCCTGACTTTGGTAAGTACTTACATATTTCTTTTTATAAGCAATTGATTTTTTTTTTTTTAATGTTCTGCGCTTTTTAAAATTCGGAAAAAATAATAAATAATTACAATTCTAAGGAATTAAAATCCGTTGAGAAAATTTACGAGCATTATTTTAAAAGTTCCCAAGGATCTAGATTTTATAAAATAATAATTCAAATAAAAATTCCGTGGGCGCCAGTCAATTGATAAATTTTAGTTTAAGAACATGAGATATTAATTTACTTAAAGGTCAGTTTATGTTGGGTAAACGCATAAAAATTCAATTAATTACACTAAGATATAATAATTGTTTCTATGCTAACAAAAATCAAACATAGACGACACAACTTATAAATAGCCCGAATAATTAATTACTTAATAATTTTTATAATTTCAGGTATGCTTATGGTTGGAGCTAATGCTGGTATCGTTGGCATGACCAAAGAACATTTAGGATTGGCTTTAGCTTTGTCCGTACCTGTTTTTGTAGTTGTCACTAAAATTGACATGTGTCCATTTAATGTTCTTCAAGAAAATTTGAAACTCTTAGTCAGAATATTGAAATCTCCTGGCTGCAGAAAAGTACCAGTTACTGTAAAAACCGCTGATGATGTTGTTGTCAGTGCAATGAATTTCGTTTCTGAAAGGTTATTATATTTTTCAATACAATTTTTTAAATCAGTTTCAATATAAAACATTCAAGTTTCTATAAAACAGCAATTTTTTATAATTATTTGATTTCGTTTAAGAAAATTTCATTTTAAGAGCATTTCATCATTTTGAGTTTGAGGGGGCTTCTTGGTATTGACATTTTGTTGATGTATTTTGAATTATTGTTTATTCAATAGTATATTGATGACATTATTAAAAATTTTATATAAAATTTATTATGATTTAATAATAGTTTTAATTTTTTTAGTTGTATAAATATATATAATTATTTTTACAAATTTAATTTTTTTGAGTTTATTAATTTTATGTATCAACATAATTTTGTCAAAAAAGAGATTTAAACTTCGGGGGAAAGTTTCAACTTTTTAGTGTGGGTTTGATTCCTTATCATTAATTCGGGTTCCGTTTTCTATTCAATTTTATTTAATTAGAATTATTTTTTTTTAGTATTTGATGTGGAAATTACTTTAATCTTAGCAGTGGTAAAATTATTTAAACTAAGGGCACTAAATTTTAAATTTATTTTTTATTTTATTATAATTATTTTATTGGTGGGGGGTTTATTATGAATTAAAAGAGGGTCCTTTAAGGTGAATTTAAGTAATTGAATAAACCTAAAAGTTAGGATTTAATTTCAACTTAAATATATAGTTTATTTAGTGTTATAATTATAAGATTAAACCTAATTAGAATAAAAATAGTAATAAAGTAGTTATTTCACAGGTTATGTCCAATATTTCAAATTTCAAATGTTAATGGTGATAATTTGGATCTTTTGAAAATGTTCTTAAATTTATTATCTGCAAGGATAACAAGTCGTGATGATGAACCAGCGGAATTTCAAATTGATGACACTTATTCAGTGCCTGTAAGTAAAATAGAAAAAAAAAAAATTAAAAAACGAAGTAAAAATCTTTTGTACTCCAAAATTCTATAATTTTCTTTATTAGTGATTATTATACGATTATATTTAAGTTATTTAATTATTAATTTAGGGTGTAGGAACAGTGGTATCTGGAACGACATTAAGAGGAGTGATACGTTTAAATGATACTTTATTACTTGGTCCAGATCCATTGGGACATTTTGTACAGATTGTCATAAAAAGTATTCATAGAAAAAGAATGCCCGTTAGAGAAGTAAGAGGTGGACAAACGGCAAGTTTTTCATTAAAAAAAATAAAAAGATCACAAATTCGAAAAGGTATGGTTTTAGTATCGCCTGCATTAAATCCACAAGCTTATTGGGAGTTTGAGGGGGAAATTTTAATTCTACATCATCCAACTACAATCAGTTCTCGTTATCAAGCAATGGGTGAATTTATATTGAAAATAAATTAATTATATAGACCGAATTCATTTTAAATCAGGCATTTTTACACTATAGAATTTCTAATTTTTGAAATATGAGTTTTTATTATTATCGAAAATATATAATTACAGTAAATCCTCCACAATAACGTTTTTCACAACGACGGATCCTTCAAAATGACGGTTTGATTTAAATAATTAAATTCTTGCAAAGAATTTTGAAAAAAATTCTTTTAAATAATTAAATTCCTGTGAATTTTATTATTCGTACAAATTGTTATTTGATAGAATTCTTAAAACGCCGGATTTTTATTTATCCGAAATTGCAAATGTCCAAACAAAAAAATCGATAGAAAGATATCGGCGCTAGATTTTAAAAGAACAATTAAAAAAATTTTCTTATTTTTAAGATAAACGACGATTTTAACTTGGGAAATTAAATTAGTTACAACTTCGTAAAGAAAAACGATGTTTGCCTGATTTGCAATGAATTTCGTCTGATATGAATCATTTAGTTTGAATGAAATTTTAATTAATAATTTATAATTTTTTTTAATTTTCTTCAGTACATTGTGGAAGTATTAGACAAACGGCATCAATTCTATCAATGTCGCAAGACTGTTTAAGAACAGGAGATAAAGCCTTAGTACATTTTAGATTCATAAAAAATCCAGAATATATGAAAACAGGACAACGCATGGTTTTCAGAGAAGGACGTACAAAAGCAGTTGGAAATATAATGCGTCTCATACCACACACAGGATCTAGTAACGTACAAAGTAACAGAGTAAATAAATCCAATAGAGTTGAGTACACGAAATAAAAAATAAAATATCGATAATTTTTTTTTTCTTTTTGTATTTAAAAAGCAACTTTTAATTATCTATTTATTTTTGTAATTCAAAAATTAGAAAACTAAGTATACAGTAAATCCAGTTTCCATTTAAAATATTACATAAATATTATAAAGAAATTTATTTCATTTAGTCAGAATTTCTCTTTATGAAATTTTCAAAAAGTAATTAATTTTTAATGTTAAATCGTTTTTTTTATTTCTACTACAATAAAATTTTTTTTGAAAATATTAGACCAAAAAGGAATTTTTTTGTTAGTTATAAGCAAGCTAAAAATTTCAATTGTTTATAACTAACAATTTTTTTTTTCTAATATTTTTAGAAACTTTATTTTGATCACAGTAGAAGTGAAAAAAGTATTTAATATTAAAAATTAAATTTGTTAATTTTAGATGATCCTTTTGAGTAATTCTGATTCTATATTTGTTAAATTTTGTAATTCTTCATTACAATTCTTATAAAATTATTCATAAAATTATGATAATGTTATGTAACTAATTATACATATATAAAATGTAAAAAGATGTGCGTAACTCAGAGTAATTTCCAAGCTTAACCATTGGTATATAACAAAATGGGAAAATTTACAAAAACAGGAATTATTTTTTTTGATACAATTTTTTATTTTATCTCTGAGTCAAGTATATTTAATAAATTTAGAACATATATAAATATATATATATATATATTTTTGTTAAAATGATAAAATATTTAAATATATATTGCTTTCTCATAGAGAAGGAATTTTATAAAATGATAAATAATATTAAAACGTACAACAGTCAAATTTTGGAGTTGACCACTTTTTAAATTAAAAACCTCTAAACCTTTATACGATTATCGTAAATTAATGTTTTATCATTAGAAGTCTATTTTTTTAAAAAATTTTAACTTATTTTCGTTTTATGTAATCCAGATTTTCAGAAGCTAGAATAAGATATATTTAATATTATCGACAAAAGAAAAATGTAAATTGAATTTAATTATTAAAGAATATATTCTTTGCTTTTACAAATCTATACAATTGTTTTTCATTCAAATTTTTCCCTGTTAACATTTTTTTTTTCGTCTCTATGGACTATGGATATTTTAGCGATGTTAGATGAATTGTTAAATTTGTAATTGTATTTAGTTAATTTTGCTCAGTATTAACTTTTTTTTCATTTAATGATTTTACTTCTAAATAATTATTTTATGTGAAATATTCTATTATGTAATAGAAAATTATTCCCTGATTGAAACTGAAACAAAATTCATTAATATTTTATGAATCAATCAAAATGAGTTACATATAATACAAGCAGTAAAATAACTGCTAGGGGTTATTATATGTATAAGGCAGTGATTTCACTGCGACTGCTGAGTCACATTTTTTAAAGAGTTCGTAGTACTCCTTTCCGCACCACCCAAGAGGTGGAGCGCGTTTTAAAAAGGTGGTTTCCCTAAATATATATCGATAGCAAACTAGAACAGACTTTACGTATAATTTAACAGCTATTTTTTTTTTTACTAAAATAATAAATTCAAATTTTTTTTTTTTATAAAATAGCAAAATGACAATTTCTCTAACTATTATAGATGAAATTTTCTTATTATCACTATTTTGTAACAATTACATATAAATTTTGTTCTCTTTTACCAATTGCAATTCAATTAATATTTCACATCAAGAATTTGTATCAAAGTTTAAGGAGTTAACTTTTTCTTGACTGTTCTGTCAATAAAATCAATACATAAGAAAAGATCAAATTTTTCCAAAAATAAAATATATATAAAAAAAGCGAATAGTATTTTAACACATTGGGACAGAATCCAGAATAAGGAATTTATTGCACTAAGATATAATATTTTACTCATTTGATTGTTATTTCTATAATTGTATTCTTTGTTGACTATTATAAATATAATAAATTCTTTGTCAATTATAACAATATAGGATATTTATCAATCTTTTCATAATTTTCAATCCATGTGAGAGTTATATTAATATTTATAAATTAATTAATTAATAACTTATTAATATAAATCTGATGTAATTTTTTTTCAATAATAATAAATAAATTATTATTATTTAATTAATTCTAACTAAATTTTTTGTATTTAAAAAAACTCGTTTTTTAATTATGTCATAGTGTTAAAAAATAAAATGAAGAAAAAGAATTTCTTTTTAAATTCTAAACATTTTTATTCTAACAAAAATTAGAACTTTTTTTTCCTCCTGCTTAAGAAATTTTTTTGTTATTTAAAGAATAATAATATAAATTCATTGAAATCATTTTTAATGTTACTTGTATTAGAATGAAACAATGTTAACATCATTCGAAAGAGTTTGACTTGGAAGGTGAGTTTAGTGAGTTTGAGGGTATTTATCGACCCCGTAGTGTTGGCATGGTAACTTACGTGTACACAACTGATCGTAGATTATGTTCAGGTAAATTCATAGGAAGAAGTATACACTGTTAACAGTTAGCCAGTGTACTTTATCTATTTTGTTCAGTTGATGATACACAATGATTTATGAAAATAATATTCCTTAAACAATTTTATTGATGACAAAAAAAATTAAATTCAATTTTTAATATGATTTTTCTAATACTCAAACATTTTAACTTCTAGTTTGAGGAAAATAAAATTATCGATTTTAAAAATTTCTCTTTATCAAATCACTTTTATTATGCTATTCAGATATAAAAAAAAAAGAAACTAGGTGTGGAAAATTATTTTTAGAAAATATAGATTTTATAGGCGCTTATTAATACACTTCCTGAAGAAGTCATTAAATTTGTCGCAAAATTTTGTTTTCAAATTTTTTTTTAAACTTTGTTTTTTTAATTACCTTTTTAATAAATAATTTTTAATTTTCCTTCATTTTTAAACTTTCATTATTAAAATTTTAATTAAAACTTTATTTAAATTCTCGCTTGTATATCAAAATTTTTATCCCCTCTGATTATTTATTATTGTAGTTTTAAAAAAAATTCTCTTTTCCCTAATCTGTGTAATATAAATTTTAAACTTAATTTTAACTATTTTTAACAAATTTTTCAAGTAAAATTTTATTTAGTGGTAATTTACAAAAAGAAAAGTGAGAAAGTTTTAAAACAATATAATTTTATATTAAAAACAAAAAAAAAATCTTATTGCATTTCATAAATAAAGGATTTTTTACTTATTCATTAATAAAATTCAAGACCCCAATTTTTTTTTTTTTTTTTTGGACACAACATGCGATAGAATATTTTATTGATTTATTTCATAATTTTCCGCCAAGTCATTTTAATATTATTATTCTCTTAATGTTGTACGAATTTTCCTAGAATATGAATAATAAATTAATTCTTTAGTATTAATTAAGAATTAAAATATTGTGAATTTTATTTATTTTCTGTATAATCATAGGAACAATTTTGAAAAAACTTGGGGTCGCCTTTTGCTGACAATAATTTTTATTTTTCAAATTAGCATTTAACATGATTTTAAATTTTTAAACGAATTTTTATTTAACAAAATTTTTAGATACTGAATTCTTATTTTACAGAATTTCTCTATAAAATAACTTTTTATTTAAAATTTGTAATTTAAACGAATATTAAATATTTAAAAAATTTATTAATAAAAACAACAGAAAATTCTTTTTACTTTTGTACAATGTTTAAATGAAAATTCGATTAAATTAAGTGAAAAATTAATCTTTCAAAATTGTTTCCATTTTTATTTGCTTGAAATTTAATCAACTTTTAGAATACAGTCAAAATATTTGGTCTTCCAAGTATATTTAACTATCTAAATCTACTTTTTCTCCTCGAAAAAAATTCTGGTTGCTCATTTTTATTTTCTAAAAATGCTATAACTTTCAAACGGTTAAAGTTAAATAATTCTTTATTTTTAAGATGGAAATAGGTACTTTGAAACCCCCTGCTTTGAATTAGTATTTTAATATATTTTTTTAATGAAATATAACCTAAAAAGTAAGAAAAAACACATTTTTTCGTGTTTTTTTTTTTAAATTTAACAAAGATTAACAACAAAGAAAAGAACCAAAAATGTCAACTTTTAAAGAAATAAGAGCAATTAACCTACAAAAATTTCAGAAAAATCGAGTTAATTTTAAAATCCCTTTGCTGATTTTTTTTTATTTTAGGCTTAAAATATTTCAATTTTATTATTAAACAAATTTCTGTAAAAAAAAACATTTAGTGTGGGGAGACTTTTGAGTTAAAGTTAATCGAGCCTCACCGTGTTATACGATTTTTTTATGAAAGTTCTATTAATTTTCTATTAAAAGAAACAACCGAAAATTATTTCCACTTTTATACGACGATTAAATGAAAATTTAATATTAATTTAATATTTAGAAACTATTTTCTTTAAATCTCGGTATGTATAGAAATGTATTTTATTATTATTTACTATATTTATGTTATAATTCTATTTACTATTTATTATAAAAATTTACTGGCCATTTTGCACAGAGTAATGAAACTCAAAATTGTTTACAGAGATGTGTAGGATGTATACAAATTGTAGAGTGAAACGTCCCAAATGTTGCACTAAACACATTTTACATAAGCAATATTTTGGACGTTCCACATTATAAAATTTAGCTACACATCCCTGTGAACAACTTTTGATTCTTACTACCTTGTGCAAAATGTCCGCAGTAAGTGTGACAGAATTATTTAAAAAACTAATTATCTTATTATTAAAAGTATTAAAAAGTATTGGATTTGATAAAATTTCTATAAAATCTAAATCTAAGAATTGAAATTTCAATCAAAAGTTATCAAATACTGATAATTTCTATCCTTTTCTATAGGAAAGTGGAAAATTTAATCAATCTCTATCAAGTATTTGGATAAAATTTCTATTAAAATTAATACCAAATGAAAATGTATTACTTTATTATCAAAAGGTTCTGATTCAAATTCTATCAAAATTTATACGAAGAAAAAATTAATAAGTATTTATCAAATTTTTGTATTAAAATTCAATCAAATTCTATTTGCTGGAAAATCTAATACTTTTCTATTAATTTTTATTTTTTTATTTTCTATCAAATTCTAACCGTTGGAAAATCTAAAAATTTCTTATCAAAAGGTTTGAACGTAACTCAAATCAAATCCTATCCACTGAAAATTTGTTATACTTTTATATTAAACAGTTTTTATTAATATTTTATTAAATTCTATTCGTTTTGGGAAATTAATAGTTTCCTATGAAAAAAAATTTTATCGATACTTAATCCATTCTAGTCATTATATTTTATAAATATAACTAAAATTTTTATTTTTAAGGTTCCGTACCCAACTGACCCTAAAATAATTTTTTAAAATTATTTTCCAACAATTATATTAAATATAATAGTAAGAAGTTATTTTTTATGAACGCGCCGTAATTGATGCACTTACCCTATATGATTCTTGTATTAACATAAATAATAACCTTAGTTTCTTTGAAATTCTTTAAGTCATAAAATAATAATAATAATATTAATTATGAATAATAATAATAATAATAATAATAATTTCAAAGGGTTTCATCTTCCTTTTATTATTTTTTCTTTTTTTTAATGTTTTAATTGTTTTGACATCTATTTGTGATTTTTTAATTTTATTTAATTTTGACAATTGTTTTTAAAAATTAGTGACACCGACAAAATTTTTTTTTTAAATTTTAATAAAAGTCGTATAGGCCAAAACAAAAAAGAAGAGTTTTTATTTTACTTTTCTAAACTGAATAATAATAATAATAATAACGATGACAAAAAAAGAGAATTCAATCTAAAGTCAGGGATTTTTTACTTGACTGTTTTGAATTTTGTCGAAACTGCGCTTTTTTTTGGAAATTTAACCCCTTCGATCTCTTTATTTAAGAGATTGCAAATATTAGTCTTATTTTTTTTCTGCTGATCGTAAGAAATAGTTTGACTCCCCTTCTTTCCCTTTAAGGCCTTTTATAATTTATATAAATAGTCCCTAATCAAAAAACAAAATCTTGTTTAAATTATAAATTTTATATTTTTGATTATTATTATTTTAATTTATATTATATACTTGCAACACTGTTAAAAAAAAATTGTTAATTTAGAACAAATTTGGGTAATAAATCGTCATTCATTTTTTGTTTTAATACCTGAAATAAGCTCTAACTTAAAACTTTTTTTTATACAGTGAAGAAAGATAAGAGTTGCAAGTTTGTCGACTTTTTACTTCATTTGTATATAACTGCTATTAGCAAAATGAATAAATTTCTCCAACAATTAAGTTGATAATTAATAATTTATGCCTTATAGTTAAAATAGTAATAGAAGATTGAGGTCTTTTACAAATAATCAATACATAAGGAAAAGTTATATTTATTTATAGTATAAACAAAGTTTCATTATACTATATACATACGTCTATTATGAAATTATGAATAACAATGTTACATTAACACATTTTACATACATACACACATAAAAATGCTGAATTTTGAATGTTGACAATTTCCAAAAATTCTAATTTTATCTATAAAAATTTTGTTTTTGAATATTCTCTAAACTTTTTGAATAATGTTAAAATTCGGTAAAATATTATCTATAAACTCTATTTAAAATTCATATTAACTTCTGAATTATTTAAAAATTTTATGAAAAATATAATAATTATTAAATATAGATTATTAATATAGTAATTAAAGAAAAATTAATTAAAAATAAAACAGAAAAAAAAATGATTGCAAATGACAAATGTGTTAAGACAGTACAACGAACTTACATTTACATATACAGTGTAATACATCTATAGTAATATTAATAACATTGGCACACAATACACTTATAAGACAATTATATTATCATTTTATAACCCTCATTCTAACAAGGGAACATTATCAGGTGTATCACTCGGAATTGAATGAAATTTGTCAGATCGAAAGATCATCACAATTGATGATTGGCCTTTCTGCCGTATAATTCACAAGAATCAAAATGTCGGTCAAAATTAAAAAAAAAAAAGTAAATTTATTTAGATTAGTTTGAAATTTGTTACTCGGGGATTTTTTAAGGTCGTTGATGTTAGTTTTTCAAAATTCAAAATGGCGAAATATTAAAAAATATAATAGATTTAGATTAGATTTAAATTTTAGGGGAAATTTAGCCCCAACAGAGAATACAAAAGAATTTAACAGAAATGAAATTCAAAAAAAAAAATTGATTAATTCATCATTTTCTATGAAAAAGTAAAAATATTCAATTCTTAATTTTTGCTTCCTACTGGGATAGGTACAAAAAATTATTTTAACTCTTAACTGGCACAATTCCGCATTCGAACGTAAATGGCACAACGGGTCGGCTGGACCCGACGTATTCAAACGTGTATACAGTCGGTATTTAATATTTTTTTGCAATAAAATTTAATCTGAGGTAGTTTATGATGTGTTTTTTTTTAAAATGTAATAAGTTTTACAGGGATTAATTTATTTTAAGTTAGTTAAAAAAATTGTGAAAAAATAAAAATGAAAAATATTTCTTAATTTTTGTTAAGGGATTATGTGGTACAATAATTTATTTCTTACGTTAGATACTACATTAATTATTCTAATTACGAAAAATGTTGGGTCAGCGCACAGCAAGTAATGGCATTGCAAGATCCACGATTATACATTACACATCTGTGAATTCTTCCAGTGCCAAGCCTTGCCAGAACGCTTCTTACGGTGCTGATGATCCTTATTTCCTTGTTTATAATTATTTTAACAATTATTTATATAAAAATAATAATTTTTTCTAGTAATTACATATAGAAAAAAAAAAGAAAAAATGTTTGGAGTACAAAAAAAAAATTAATAACAATAATAGTTAATAAAATAATAATAATAATAGTTATTTAAATTATTATTAAGAATAATAAACTTAAATTTAATAAAAGAACTTTTTTTTGTAAAAGAAATCATTATTCTATTTCGAATAATCATAAGAAAAATAATTATCTTTCCTTAAAAAAATATTCTTATTTGAAACAATAAAATGTAAAAAAAAAATCAAATAACGTATTATTCCTTTTATATTGAGAAAATTTTTACAATTTATATATACCTGGGTACATTAAATTGTGAATTGTATTTTTTTAAAAAATAATTTACTTTTTTTCATAACCGAAAATAAATTGTCGATTCTGTATAAAATTCAAAATAGAAATTTTAAATCCGGTTAATTTTTGTTGTTCTTTTTGAAAAAAAATTTATTCGTTTTTTTTTTATTTTTGTATTTGAAGCAAAAATTTAGTTATAAATTTTTTCAACGTTTTTTTTTTAAAATAGATCTATTTTAAATGACTTTCAACTGTGAAATTGTTAAATTTAGATTTTTTAAACAAATAAAAAAAGTTTAGTTTTTCTTCAATTTTTAAATAATCTTACTGAACTATTAAATTTTTTTTTATAATTTTATACAAAATGAAGTTTGTCATATATTCCATAAAAACAAAAACGAAGGTAATATATATATTTAACCGAATTTAAAATGTCGATTTTTAATTTTACATCGAATTGCTGAAATATATAATTTTTTTTTTCATTCAACTTGATTTAAAAAAAAAATTTTTTACAAAGGTGCCCTCTTGTACAGAAAACCTTAATATTTACAGAAAGTAATTTTGATGATTGGTTTATTCAGAAGTATTGCGGTGAATCTAGAAGTCAACTTCAGAAAGAAACTTCGAGAATTGCTTTGTGAATCTGCAAAATATAATTAAAAATATCTTTTAAATTTAATTGTATTTAATATTTTTAATATTTGAAATTTTTAAATTTTAATCATTGCCATAAATCTAAAAGAAAATTATTTTTTCATTTTTGATAAAAAAAAACAACAAAACTTAATAACAAAATATTTTAAAATAATTAAATTTTATGAAATTAAAATATTTTAAACAGGGGTGTAGCCAGGAAGGGGGGGGGGTTTGGGGGTTCAAACCCTCCTGAAATTTTATCATAGTTATGTCTTTCAATATAAGTTTACGATTTTTAAGGCACAAAACCCCTTCCGAAATTTATTTCTGGCTACGCCCCTGATTTTAAACAATTAAACAGTGGCGTTTATTATTATTATTATTTATTTATTATATAATTCGTAATTTTGCAGCGTTATTAATCTGTAGATATACCTATATATTCATGAATTAATTTTACACTTAAATTTCTATGAAAAAAATTTTAACGGTGAGAGGGATTGAACCCGGGATCTTATGCACTTAAATCAAGAACGCTAACCGACCTACCAGGACGTATGTTTGACAAAATAATTTTTTATCTCTTTAAAGTAGATTCTAAATGTTAAATATAAAGGATAATTCCACGTGGAACAACTTATTAACTGGAGAAAATAAAACATTTTTTAAGAAATGTTACCTCCTTTAATTTTACAATTTTTGATCTAGAGAGTTGAAAAATAAGGCGAATCTAATAGAAATTGATTTTCAGAGTGTTGAAAAAAATAACATTTTTTTAAAAAAATTTTGGATTAAATTTTTTTTAAATAAAAAATATTGAAATTCTAAATTTTGTAGTGAATTTTTTTATTTTTAGTAAAATGATGGATTAAATATTAAAATGATCTATGTACTAGTTAATTTCAAAAAAAACGAAAAAAAAAGTTTTTTCCAAAGTAAATCATTACACGAAGAAAAATGGAAAAACGAATAAAGTAACTTTTACTATATACTTTAAAAGTAAAACCTGAACTATCCGCAGTTTCTGCGCATTTCTGATAATTTTTATTCCAGAAATAATAAATAGTTACTATTTCAGGAATAATTTTTAGTATTACAGGAATAAATTTTACTATTTCAGGAGTAACTTTTAAAGTAATAAAAATTACTTTATTCGTTTTTCCATTTTTCTCGGTGTAACTATTAAATTTTAGATTTTCATTTATTAAAATAATGACCTGTAAATACATATTTAAATATTCTTTGAAATATTATATAAAACATAAATTTTAAAGTGAATTTTTTTACTTTGTTCTTAGTTGTAAAAAAAATTTTTAAGTAAACTTTTTTATTTTCTCTTAAGTTGTAAAAAATTTTAAAGTGAATTTTTTTGTTTGGCCTAAATTGGGTATAACCGTCGGTTACGATTAATAACTCTTCTCGAAAAAACTAAAACGGATTAAAATTTTGGCTAAAAATTAAAAAACGTCAATGAAAATAAATTTACGTAACTTCAATAAAAATTTTGAATTCAAAATTTCATTTAGAAATTAAAAAATCTAGAAAGAAAATTCTTTCAAAAAAAAAATTATTACTAAATTTTTATAACTAAAATTACTGTTATAACTACAATTGTTACAAAACTAAACAGAATGTTGATAAAAATCTTTCTGTATTATTTAAAAAATTTAATAACTCTTAATTTTTATAAATAAAAATATATTAGAATATCAAAAAATAGGTAAATTATTAAATACATAAAAAAAAATTTATAAATTAAATTTTTCAAAATTAGTGTATAATATGGATTAAAAATTTTTGTTATTGTGATATATAATTATTTTTCTCATATTTAATTATTTAATATTATTTTATATTAAATATACGTACCTATAAAATGATAAAGTTAACGAAATTTAGAAATCCTTTCGTAGCACAGTCGCGCTCGAGGTACCACAGTACACTAAACCGAACAGCCGGCAAAGGTCGGTGTCGGTCTGTTGAGCTTGAGCGAACTGGAACGAAGTTCAGCTCGAGTCCTGACGGTTTTAGGATGTGTGTTTTTCATTCGGCAGTAGTTATTAAGCAACTACCACACTAGAAAATGTCTAACGTTTGTGAAGGGTAGTTACTTGTTCAATAATGCGTTTACTGCTAAAAAAAAAAAAACCAAAGTCCTTATGAACTAACAATTAAATTTTAACATTAAAAAAGAAAACCGAATCTGATTTAAGAGAGATTTAGTAAATTTTTTTTTTTGAAACGTTTCTGTAATTATTAAAACTAGATTTTTTCTATTATTTAAAAAAATTTTAATGAAAAATAATAATTTTTGCAAAAATAAATGATTTTTAAACATTTTCGTTGTTGAAATCGACTTTTTCCAAAAAATTGCAAAAACCATAAAAAAATATTAAAACTAGATTTTTTCTAATATTTTAACTTAATTTTAATGGAGAATAATAATTTTTGCAAAAATAAATGATTTTAAAAAATTTTAAATATCGAAATCGACTTTTTCGAAAATTTGCAAAAATGATTAAAACTAGATTTTTCCTATTATTTTAGGAAATATTATAAATTAATTAATTTATAATTATTTATAAAACAATAATAATAATTTACAATAAATATTAAATATTTAAATTTGAATATTTTAATATATTTATTGATTTTATAATAACATTGTAAAGTAATAAAAAAAAAATTTCCAAATTATACAAATGTCCTTTTTCTCAATGAGATTGCCATTTTCAGTTAAAACTAAAAAAACATCTGCCTATACTGTTTAAGTATATATATATATACATATATATATATATAGGGGAGACGGTTATTATACAAATCTATTATCTATATCTACTTCGTTGTCCGGCCAGTAAATACAAAATTAATTGCTTGTATTAATTCAATATTTTTGACATAAAAAAAATTTTCAAAAGTTTATTAATTATTAATATATTGAGAAAATTTTAGTGTTTCTTTAGTCGACTAAAATTTTTTTAAGTCTTATTAATTTATTATTAGATATTAGAAAAAAAAAATTAATAAAACTATGAAAAAAATGAATATCTAGGGGAGATCTATGCAGGTTGAAACAAATTTTGTTTATCGGGAATATTTTTAACCAAACATTAGCAAAAAGTTTTATATGCTATTTAAAAAGTATTGTCCTGGATTAAAAAATTGTTTTCTTTAAAAATAAAAAAATTTATGACTGATTTTTTGAACATGTGATTTTTAATCGAAAAAAAATTTGGTATGCAGATTGAGACACATTCATTTTAGATTGAAACAAAATAAATAAAATAACATTCCAATTGTTTATTTATTTTGTTTTGAAGTCTTAGCCTATAAAGAAAAAAATAAAAACTTAATCTGAAGAAAGAAAATAAAAAAGAAAAAATTTCATCTTGAAGTGTTCTAAAGATAAAGAACAGAAACATTTTAAATCTCATAAGTTTTAGTCAAAATCTGCATCATTAGTCACAACTTTGAGAATAGTGAAATAACTTCGACACTGCGAGTCTCAACCTGCATACCATAACGTGTCTCAACCTGCACACCACGCCGTTATTTTTTTTGACACTATGAAATTGTTTATAGATGAAGTCAGATTTTAAAAATTCAAAATGGCGATTCCAAAATGACGTTCGATTTTGAAAAATTTAATATTTTTCCTCGAAACTTGCTACAGGGGAGTTTTTGGTGTCATAGAATACGAATCTGAAGTCAGATTTTAAAAATTCAAAATGGCGGATTCAAAATGGTAGTCGATTTTTTAAAACTCAATATTTTTTCTCAAAACTGGTTCCTCAGTTGTTTTTGGGGTCGCAGAATGCTAATATGTTGTCAAATTTTGGTTTACTGAAGAACTTCTGTAAGTTGGTCACATTTATTGTTAATTTAAATCTTTCTTTTACATAGATTGAATCAAAGAACTAAAAAATGTACACTGTTAATTACAATGCAGTGGTTCATAAAAGGTTTCAAAGACACTTGGCTAAAAACTATACAAGTGCTCCTTTGCTTTAAAAATTAGCGACTTCTAAAACTCCCAAATAACATAAAATACAAAAAAAATTAAATTTTAAGAAAACGTACCGTAATATTGAATCTGACATTTTGACTTTTAAAATCTGACTTCAGATTCGTATTCAGCGACCCCAAAAATATTCGAGTAACGAGTTTTGAAAAAAAATATTGAGTTATAACATAAATCGACCACCATTTTATATCCGCCATTTTTAATTTTTAAAATCTGACTTCAGATTCGTAATCAGCGACCCCAAAAACCCCCGACTGATGAGTTTTGAGCAAATTAAATCAATTTTTAAAAAAAGACGACCGAAATATTGCATCAGCCATTTTTAATTTTTGAAAACTAACACCGGATTCGTAATCAGCGAATCCAAATTTTATGTTAGATTTTAAATTTAAACAAATTCCGAGCTAATTTGATCAAATTTTGAATTTGTTATCGCCATATTGGATTCGACATTTTGAATTTTTAAAATCCGACATCAAATTTAGATTCAGTGACCCCAAAAACCCCCGAGTAACAAGTTTCAAGCGAATACGATGAAATTAAAAAAAAATTTGTTCGCCATACATGGATCCGCCATTTTGAATGTTGAAAAACTAACATTAAATTTGAATTAAGCGACCCCAAAAATCTTTAAGGAACAAGTTTCTAGCGAATCTGATGAAATTAAAAATTTTTGGTCGCCATACTGGATCCACCATTTTGAAATCTGATTTCGGGATCGGGATTTTTTTCGGATTAATCCAGGATCATCATTGTTGAAAATCCTTGTACAAGATCTTAAACATTTTTCTATCGTGAGTCTTGTGTAATTTTTAATTTAATTTAAGAGCAATTTAATGTAAAAAAAATTAAGAAAAAATAAATTAATTTTAAAAATCCGCAGCCGATTTCATCAATTTAGGCTTAAAATCTTTTACACGGGGAAAAAAAGTATACTTTTAATTCTGTATGAAAGAAATACCAATTGATGCTAATTTTGTGTATAATTGTTAGACTTTTAAAATTAATTTTTAAAACTTTTCAAGACTTTTACGTTAAATATGAAATAAATTATTATACTTATCGAAAAAGTTTTTAAAAATCTTTAAATTAATTTTTAATATTAAAATTGAAAATATTTAACTGGACTAAATTCGGATTATCGAAGAATTGTTGCTGAATTTGTAATTCAAGTTCTAGATTTTTATCGAACTTATTTTGAATTATAATGTTTGAGTAGAAATTTTGACTACAGTGTAAGGTTTTATGAGGTATACTTAACCCAATCAACTTGTAAGATTTCAGACAAAATTTGCATGCTATAAAGTTGTAAGGACATTTTGCTATTTGCTATTGTAAGCTTGCGTACTACGAGATTTGCAAGCTTGCTGAAAACTTACAGATTAATTGGGAAAGAATATTTTCAAACTTTAATAATAATGATAATTGAACTTTAAATTAAGTTTCAGATTGGTAAAGAAAAATTGAGGTCTTTTCAAACTCTCTACTAAGTGCACAATCTTCAACACAATTTTTTTTTTTTTTTTGCTAAACCAGATTTATTAAATAGATTAGCATAAAAGTTAGTTAACTACAAGAATTGTATATAAATATTTCTCGATTAAAGGAATAAACTATTTTTGACTTTGCAAGTTATACTTATTTTAAATGTAGGATTCAACGCATAGCTATATGTAAGCGAGTAAACTATTGATCCGTGCAGTCACGCGATTCTATCATCAGACGACATTAAAATTTTTCCCGTAGGCTCAAAATATTTAAAACTAGATTTTCTATTTTTTTTATATATATAAACGGAAAATGAAAATAAACTTTTCCCTATTATCAATCAGTAAAAAAAACATTTTTTTATATATCATATTCTTATAAAACATAGTTGGGGCTGTGATTTAAGAAGCGTTTAGTAATACTTTGTTTTAGAAAATGTTTTTTTTTAAAATTATACAACGACCATATTATACGTACTTTAAACATTTTTAAATTAAGATATTTTATAAATTTATTATTTATCTTATAGGTTTAGATCAGCTAACTAACATCTGTAAATCTAAAATTATTAAATATTGATCTAACGGAGTTAAAATTAGACGAAAAAATTTCCGAATTCAGTTGGTTCAAATTTGGAAATATGTATAATTAAAATCCCCTCCAATTCTCTTAATTCTTCAATTGTTTAATTAATTAATATTAAAAAATAAATAGTTATACTTGAGTTATCATTTCTTCCTTAGCTTTGGAAGATGTACATGGTACGTTGGTCCTCTCGGAAGAGGCGCTCCATAAATAATGAGAAAAGTCAACAATGTGGGTTGAATTAGTTCAAAAATTTATAATATCCATACAAAACATCTATTTTTATTATTGCTTTCATTTTTGACGATTGTAAAATAAAATATAAACGAACTTCGTACTTGGATGATTTAACTTCTCCTTTAGATGATACAACAACTCCTGATAGCTTCACAAGTTCTAATGATTTTACCTCCTTCTCAGATAATAAAACTTCTTCAAATGATACAACAACTTCTAATAGCATTACAAATTCGAATAAGTTTACTTCTTCCACGAATGGTTTTTCTTCTCTTTTAGATGGTACATACAACAATTCTCAATAGCATCACAAGTTTTAATGACTTTACTCCCTCTTGGAATGATTTAACTTCTTCCATATAGATGGTACAACTTCTAATAGCGTTACTCTAATAATTTTACTCCTTTCTCGGATAATTTAACTTCTTTAAATTTTAACAACACCTGATTCTAATATTCCATTTTTAGATATGAATTTACACTTCTTCAGTTAATTCTTTGTCATTTTTTTTTTCAAATCTTTAGTAAATGTATCACAGCTAAATGTTCACAAAAAGATGCGTCTCAAAAAATTGAAAAATTATGGAAAAATATTTAGAGGTATAAAAATATTTCTTTCTTAAATATTACCAACTAATTATATAAAAAAATGTAATGGAAAATTAAATTTAGCTTAATAGATTAAATTCAAATATGCAATTACTGTTTATGAATTTAATTTATATTTTCTTTGAAATATTCTTTTTTTTGTGTTATAAGAAAGGATATTTTAGTACAAAAGCTTCCAAATGCGTAATATTCTATATACATTTGAACCTAAAATCGATCCATCATGACCGTAGTAACGTGTAACAAAGGAAGGAATATTGAATTGTATTTCATGTGCCTCAAGTTGTTCCGAGGTTTTTTTTTTTAAACATTAATTACTGTACAATTGTCGTTTATTTACTTGATATTTTTTACAAATTTCAAAATGTCACGAATTTCTAGTAGAACTGGTCTATTTGCTAGTTGCATGGAGAGCGCTTGTAATTCTACTTCAAAAGTATGTATTTAAATTCTAATAATGACATTTTAATATCACTTTCATATTGTAAATAATGGTATTTAGGAATTATTAAAAAATAACAGGTCATACTGTAAATTTCCACATAGGTGACCATGTAGGAATCAATGTATCTTCTCATGTAGGATATAGAATCCATTAAAAAAATTATATAGAATTCTTGGACAGGAATTAATGAAAGAGCTTATCTTTGGATTCTACATTAGAATTTATGTAGGAATTTACATGGAATACAATGAAGAAAACTTTATTAAATCTTATGTAAATTCTAACCTACATTTCTATGTGGATTCCAGTGATAATTCCTACGTGAATTCCTTTATTAATTCATATCCGAAAATCTTCTTCGATTAGCGATTTTATCCTTTATCCTAGGATGAATCTGATATTTATCCTAGGATAAAGGATAAGGTTAGTTTCCTTCTTCCAATGAATATACGGGAAAAATATGTGACGCTTCACGAGAGAAGGGAATCCCCGAAATAACATTAGGCTTAGTTTTCATGTACAGTGCACGGAAAACTGAACCTAATGTTACTTCGGGGGATTCCCTTCTCTCGTGAAGCGTCACATATCTTGTGCAAAGGTTGCAATTTTGGAACTCACCTTGATTGTATTTGGAAGTAGTTAAATTAGCGTTGTTCATCATTTTAATTTTCGTGAGATTTGCTTCAACGGAATCTGAAAAGTTTATGAAATAAAAAAGGATGATGGAAAAGGAGATTCTGATCATCTGAGCAGAAAGGTAACTCATTACCTAGAGTCGTAGATTCATATTCAAGAAAATAAGAGAGTTGGAACATCTTCATTATCTTCTATAATCAGCTGTCCGGAAACAATGCTGATTATATAATGGAAAAGGGAAATGGAAATAAGGGAAATTACCAAAATTTATTAATTTAATATAAATTTTGTTTAAAACTTATAGAACTCAGGTAATCCAAATGATTGGTAATCAATAGAATCACTCACAAACAACGTGTTAATATTGATGATCAAAGAAACAACTCAATAACTCGTGGGATCAGCAAAGTAGAAAATATCGACTATTGGTATCGGACAGGATCATGAGCGAGTGGTATGAAACTTACCACTGCACTGAGATGTAGCTGAAGATCACGAGAGACTTTAGTAGGCATAAATACTACAGACCTGAGTCGTTCTTCCTGATCTAGCTATACACTGAAAAACTGTTGAGGAAGATGTTTACTCTCTAAATTTTAATTAGTGAAAATTCGCGGATTACTAACGAATAGTCGTTACTTTAATCAGCCCAGAGTATGCAGCTACGAATAAGCGAATAGTCGCTAATTCTTTAGAGAGTAGCTAAAACAACTAGATAAGTTCTTTCTAATCTCATAAATACACGTGTTCTATTAATTCCTGTTACCTGAATCATTGAATGTGTTATGTGATTATTTGGTTGGATCTCACTTTGGTCAGCGTTGGATTCGAAAAACAAAATATTATTTTGTGTATCGATTGGATTATGTTTTAATAAATGATTATATTCAAGGATTTGTTATAATGCATATAATATTTTTTCGACTAAAATACTTGTTATATATATTACTACTATATAAATATTTTAATGATTTTAACGATAGTAATGAAGGAAGAATTTTTTTTCAGGTTATAGAGTTGACTGGATATACAAAACCAGCGTCTTTTATAATACGTCCTTTGGACAGTCTTCTTAATCCATACCCTCAACGTTGTTCAATTCTTTGTAATCATCCAACGAGCTATAGAAATAAAAAAATTATAACAAAAGCCAAGGAATCATGGGTATGTTCATCATTAATAATTTAAAACAATTTTTACAGAAGCAGTCACAGTATCGTCGGAAATTTCCGATAGCAGGAGTACTATCCAAAAAACACACCTGTCTTTAATTCAGAAATAAAAAAAAAAATTATCCCTTTGATTTTTTATTGAACTTTAATTTTTTAAAGGTGATTGAGGGTAAAATGATGTTACCTTGTTCAGAAATTAATAAAATTTACGACAGTGAAGTGACAGGATGCAAATTGAAGAATCAAGAAGGAAGTTTTTATAATGATAACAAGCGGAACATTCGAACATTTAAATCTAGAGAAAATGATAAAAACAGCAAAACAGATTTGCAGTTCGAACTTACAACACCTAGATCAGTGAATTTGGTAGATAGAGATCTTGAAAAGTCTTCCCAACTGTACGGCCGTACAGTTCTAGTATTGGACTTAAGAACTGACTTACAAAATGAAGTAATAATGTTCTTTTTACGATTTACAAACAGAAAATTATCGTTTGACCAGATATTACAGTAATCTTGAAATATATTTATTTGCCCAGGAATCTAACACTCTGAATTGGCAAACAGTTCCATTAGAATCACAATCGGGATCAAAGAAAAGTGACATTCAAGTTGAGAATCAAATTTTATCACGTCTTTCCTCAGAAACAGCTTTGTCTCAAAGAAGTTCATCACAGGCATCAAATATTGAGATAAACAATTTGGTAAGTAATTAATACAATTTGTGTTACATTGTTACAGACCACCTCAGGGACAATTTCAGAATATTTTTAAAACGTTCAATGTCCTAGGACACTTTGGAACGTTCTAAAGTCATCCTAAAGACGTCTTTGTGCTTAACTAATCCAATGGTGTAAATAAAATATACCAATGTCTATAAATCATTTAATAACTTGCAGAGTTCAATTCCTAAGGCTGATGGAGTAGAAAATGAAATGACAAAATTTCCCGTACAGCGCAAGGGTAAAACAATTAGAAAAGGAAAATGTAGACGTAGTTCTGCTCATGGACATCTCACTGAAGTTCGCGAACCACCTGAACCAAATGAAACACAAGTATCACAAATTGATGATACTTTTTTAAAAGATACGTAAGTTAACATTTGAAGAGGTTTTAATAACTTTACTTATTTCGACATAATTTTTACAGAATACAACCATCCGATGACAATGTAAGAGTAGTACCTGATCGTTTACCAAAATCATCTTTTCAATCTGCTGTGGCCTCTAGTTTTATATCCCTAAAAGTATTGAAATATTTAAGCCGAGCGCTTGATAGAGAAACTATTGAAGAAGAATTTTCAATCAAGGTATTTAATTAGTTATTAATATTTAATTTTTTTTCAATCTAGTTTAAAATTTAAAAAAAATTCAAATTTAGAAACAATCCTGAACATTTAAGTATAATATAAATTTCTTGTTAACAGAAACAAATAGTTCTACAAGAAGCGTTACGAGTAACAAGCAATTTATTTATAAGTGTTCGAGGAGCTTGTCAGAATTTTGTACAACCTCAAAGAAAAGAAGTATTCAAATTATATTCTCGTCAAAGTGCAAGATTTGAGATATTGGACAAACAATCTTTAATCGGTAAGTAATTTCAATAGTTGTAATTTTTTTTTATATTTCTAATTACTAATCCAAAACAGTATAAACAATGCAATAATATCGTCTTCTTAATACCATTGATAGCTTTAAAATATTTAGAATTGCACAATATTAAAGCCGTAGCAACTGATGATGAGACACAAAACAAATATCTCACTATTAGAAAAACTGATTCAACTCATTGAAAAGTCGATAGAGATAGAAAAAGTTTTTTTTTTTATCCCGTCTTTTCATTTCCAACAGTGTTCCATTTGACTCCTGCATCGTACAACTAGAAATGGTATATATTGGTAATTATTAATCCCATTTTAAAAGTTTTCATTTGCTTTAGGTATGACACCATTGGATTACCTTGGAAAACATGTATTTGTTAGTGAAGGAAGAAAATTAATATTTAGTCGTGTACTAAGTAAATATTGCAATAAATCATTAAATGAAGATCGCTATATTCTTCCAAACGATATTTTCTCCGCTTTAGAAGAAATAATAGGAAAATCTTTAAGCGATAATCAAGAAAAACATTTAGAAAATGTTGTTGGAAAAATTTCAGTTCCATTGGATTTTAGAAAATGGTGTGGAGTTTGTGCAATAGTTGAACGATTACTTTGTAATCTTCCAACTAAAGAATTAGATCCACCAATGTGGATTGAGAAAGCTGACTTCGAATGTCTTGATCAATTATTTGATGATAACAGTATTAATTCAAGCCTTTTGAATTTATTAAATCTTATTCGAGATCGATAAACAAATTTCGTTTTATTTCTTATTGAATAAAAAAAATCATGTAAATAAAATATTTTAATTTAAATTACTCTCTTTTTTATTTTCTGTTATAGATTTTTATATGTGTAATTAGAAATTTTAGTCGACTTTGTTTTAACAGGTGTATACGTCCCTGGATGTATAATGGCGGTGTTTGACGTCACGTGATAATTTTCTCGCCGGTAGAAATCGACAAGTTTACTCTCATTCCGAGCTTTCAAGTATAAGGGCAGAGAAACATAAGTATTTTCCTAATATTAAGACCAGAATGAAGAGCAGTTGGATACGACCTAGTCGCTTTACAACGCAATTCATCACTGGACATGGCAACTTTAAGACTTTCAAAAACAGATTCAAAATTATAACACAAAAACAACATAATTATAGTTCTGGTGAGCTAGACTCACCAGAGCACGTATTAAATGCAGAACAAAGCTTAAAAACAGAAAATGCTCTAGAAGCCTTAGAGGAAGATGTATAATATATATTTATTTATATCTATAACTAATATCGCAGGGAACTTATTATTTGGGTTCGCCCAACATCGCCCCCCTCAATTTTGACTTGTAAAGAAATAGTCTCAATTTTTATTAATTATTATCGTAATATTTTATTATACTGCCCACCTGCAGTCGATTGACGTCCGCGGAATTATTTAAATAAAATTATTAATCTAAACCTCTGGCAGTTTTGAACCCGGCTGCTCCGTTATCGACTTATGGAAAATGTCAAGGAAAACAGAAAATAATGTTTTAACTTTTACTCTGACAATTTCGATAATTTAGGATTGAAAAATGTAGTAGCATCCCTTTGATAAAATTTTAATTGTAGTTTAGTCAAAATTATCCAACATTCTTAATATTAAAAATAAACAAAATTAAATTCTTATTTCCACTACAATCTATATTAAATATATTTAAAACAACTTTTTAAAATGCATAATTTACAATTAACCTCAATTTTTTTTACTATTAAACTCACGCATACATACGTACTCACATACATACATACACAAACGCTAAATTCTTACTATATATAATTAATTGCACTCGGTGTTAATAACTGCTTTTTTTACTACTACTAAATAACTTATTTTTTTTTTTCAAATAAAAACTGATAAACTTTGTAAGCACTGAGATCTTTAACAACGCCATAAAATAGTAAGGTTCAAGATTATAAAAAACAGTAGAATTCTAAAAAAGTGTATTCCCCGAAAAAATGTGTCGATTTGTCATAAATGGGAAAAATGATGGTCCCCGAATTTTCAGTTTTTGAAGACAAAAAATAATTGTTATTTAATTTTTTAAAGTAAATTATTATTTTTTTGTTTTTAATTAAAAAAGGTTTATTTACTTTTTAAAAATTAATTTTGGTTGTTATTGTTGTACATATAATATAATTATACATTATTTATTGTAGAATTAAAAATCTATTAAAACTCTAATATCAAAAAGAAATTTCGCAAATTATTCTATATAATATAATTTGATAACAAGATTTACAGAATCTATTAATCTAAATCATAAATTATATTTTCTCAGTTCTGGTTAATTAAATTGAAAAAATAGAAAGCTATTTTATGTCATTAAATAAATTGTTTAATATAGTCCTGATAAAAATAGTATATTCTGTCAAATCGTTGAACAAAACATTACAAATTAGTTTTTTTTTTTCTTTAACTTTGACTCAAATTATTATCGCTCCTTTTTCAACCACACAGAAAATTTTTTTAATTCTATTATAACATCTTTAAAAAGTAACAAGTTGAAATTTTCTTTCGAGAAAAAAATGTTTTCTTTTATTATATAACAATATGTTTCATAACTGATGTTTCTTAGTTCAGTTCTATTTCTCATTAAGTTTATCTACTGAATGAGAGTTTTAATTAATGTTTATACTTTTAGTTGAATAAAATCAACTTTTTAAAATTTACTAGTACTTTGTGAAAAGAGTATTTTGTTTAAAAATTACTTCGATGAAAAATTTTATTCTAAATGATATATTCTTTTTTTTTTATTAGAAAAGGATAACATATCTTTGTAAACTTTTTATTTGTACTGCTCATTCAATAGATAGCTTAATGTAACATCTAGTTTTAAATTAGTTTTTTTAAAATTATTTCCACAATAATAAACTTCGAGACACTTTGTTTAGTTTGTTTAGAAAGACTAGAAAAATTAATCAAGAAATTTTCGTATTTTATTGAATATTGAAAAGATTTACTTAAAAAATTTCATCAGTTTGGTTTAACACATCTAATATACCTTTTTTCACCGTTAAATAGATTACTGGAATATGTTTTTTTTTTTAAGGATTACTCATAAATTGATGCGGTTCTACTCGCTACTCTTGTCTACGCATCGAGGCGCTATTCGCCTTTATGCTTTTTTGGAGAATTATTTTTTTTTTTTTTTTGTTTCTACGGTTGTAGGACTCAGAGAATAAGTAAAAAGAATCAAAGATGAATGATAGTCGAGCTCTGAGAGGGAAGCCCACGATTTCTCAGTGCCAATAGGTGTCACTTGTTTCACTAGTTTTAATAGTATAAAAAAATTTGCTGCTGCTATCGCTGCTGCGGGCAGTGGGATTGGAGTGTGGTGATAAATATTTAAAAATGGGCTAGTTTCCGTTGGTTGAACGCTGCGTTGGAGGTGAGACTACATCGCGTTCAGTCCCATAGATTTTTCCAGCTTTTTTCGCCATACTTCCAAGCATGTCCATTGAATTTTTATGAGCCATTCGTAACGATAATGCCCATTCTTTAAGACTAATTTCGTCCTCCTAAAAAAATAGGAAAGGTTTTTTTTACTCTCTCCCTGAATTAGCCGGTTTAAGGAAAAAAATTTTATATTCTCCCTTTCTCAAACTCTCCTTTTTTGTCATAGAAACTATGATTTCCGAATTTTAATTTTCAAATTCACACACTATGCCGAGTGCTTCTCGTTGAGATTCATCAACGAGACGCATGCGCCCAAGGTAACATTCCAGGGATGCAACAATAATCAAACGTCCCTTGAAAGTTCTAAGTAATCCAAAATTTGTTGGAGAGTCGCAAAATGGACATGAGACTAATTGTTAGCTCAAATTATCTTTAGGTCAGCCCAGGATTAGAATAAATAAAGTTTAGGACAAATAAGAATTAGTTTAAATACAGATTAGGCCTCCTGATAATTGTGACAATTGATTTTAAATTATAATACCTAAAATTTAAATTAATAACAAAAAATAATATCAATTTTCAAATCAAATCTTACCGGATTAGTTAGGACAATTTTGGCATCTCTTGTGCGCATTACAATGCACTGTTCTCCTTTTACAGGTTGAAGATCACTAGCAACTTCTTCTACCTGTTAATAAATTATAATAATTTAATTTCCAAACAAAATGATTTCCAAAATTAAATTCGATTTCTTTCTAATAGGATTTTATCATTTTAATACCTGGTCTAGAAACACTAATTCTGGACGTGTGCCAGCTGATTCTGGGTGAAGTTCTAGTCTATTTGGATAAAGCTTTGCATAACGTGTTTGCCATGCACTGGCAAAAGGACCACCTAATTTTTTTACGTATCCATTTAAAATACAATCAGATCCTGTATGAACAAAATATAATCATCTATTTAAAACAACACTATTTTTATTATTGTTAGTAAAATTCTTTTTTACAATATAATAAATAAATAAATCAATTTTTTCAACAAACCTTTCTCATCTGCTTCAAATCGAACTTTTTTTGCTCTTCTTTTGTTTTCAACCTACAAAACACATCTTTTTTTTTAAATACAGTCTAATGTTGTTGATCTAAGTTATTTTGTGACCTTAGATTTAAGTAAAGTTTAGAAATTTTGTTAAATTTCTGAGTCTGCACTCTGTTAATTGTATTAAAAAAATCTAATTAAAAACTTTGACCCACCTTATCAGCTTCTTGATTAATTGTTTCAAATACTGTTTCCGCAACTTCAGCTTGCCATCTTTCAGAAATAACCATAGGAAAATCTTTATACAGATCCTGATCTGCATCAGTCAATTTTATACCCTTGGTGTCCTCCTCATCAAAGGAACCAATATCAAAAGCATCGGCAGCGTTTACCTCACCGCGAGGTGGAATTAGTGGTGGTGTATATTTTTGAAGATAAACCTGTTGCCAATCAATACCATTAAAAAATGGATGCTCTTTTAATTCATCAGCTCCTGCTCCACGGCAACCCAATCTATTGTTAATGTCTCGTTGTAACAATCCTTCCAAAAGTGAGCGCAGTTCCCGTGAAAACGTATCGGGTAATTCAACATCCTAATTCAATAAAAATCTTGTAAGTAAAAAAAAATTTAATTACCATTACTCTACAATTATTTAAATATATACCAACCATAGTGAGAGTCATTTTGTCTATTTCATGTTTATCCTTTGTTTTATGTTGTCTAAATGGACTATGTCCTTTTAGTAGCTTGTATAACATACATCCAAATGAAAACCAATCAGCACTGGAATCATACGCTGTGCCTTTTGAAAGAACTTCAGGTGCCATGTAACCATGTGTACCACTAAACAATAATATTTTACTAAGAATATATTTACTAAGAAAATTATTTAGATAACAATGTAAATTTTCATAAAAGACATTTTTACGTCTTTAGAATTAAATTTATCAATTACTTACACACTTGCGTGTGGTTTTTTTTTCGAAAAATCACAAGCTAATCCTAAATCAGATATTCTAACGTGTCCGTGTTCATCAAGAAGAATATTCGCTGGCTTGAGATCACGATAAACAATATAACGCCGATGCATATGTTCAAGACCTAATATTACTTCGGCGGCATAAAATTTCATTTCTGGTTCATTGAAAACGCCATGTTGACTAAGATGATAATGAAGATCGCCACCATTCATTAAATCCAATATAAAACAAAGTTTATCGGGTGTGTGAAAGGCGTAAGTCATACATACTATAAAAGGGCAATCAACCTGAAATTTAATAATAAAAATTAAAGATGCACAGAAACAATATCTTATTAATTTTTTCAATCAAAATTAGAATTTTCCGATCAAATTCCAAATTTGGACTTTCGGGAATGTTACCGGGAAACGTTAATCTTTTTTTTTAATTATATATCTGGAAGAATTATTTTTTATTCACGTAAAACTTACCCCGGTACTGACTAGAGCTAGCATTATCCTTTCATTAAGTGCTAAAGTTTCACCCTGTTTCATTTTGATGCGCTTCTTATCGAGGCACTTCATTGCATACATTTTGCCCGTGTCCGCTTTACGACATCCATAAACCTCACCAAAACCTCCCCTGCCAATTATTCTATGTACGCTGAAGTCATTCATAGTTAACTATAAATAATTTATAATAATTTAAAAATTTTAGTTGGTATAACGGTATATTAAAATTGAACATGTTATCGCAATTACCTGTATATTTAATTCGAGATTCTTCCATTGACAAAATCGTGTATATTTGTCACTGAAAAATAACAATTTCAAAATCAGATTAGAAAAATACATTTTTACATGTATTTTACATTTAGTGAGGAAAAATTTAAAATGACTATGAAGTTTTGTAATTTGTTTAATAGACGTCTAACAGAAGGTCAATCGATGAACCATAATCGCAATTTTAAGAAATTAGGCATTAAATTCCTGTATTTGATATCCATATCTTTTATTCTATCTATTTGCTATGGATTTTTATATCCTTACATCTATCTTCTTTTAATATTAATTTTAATTTCTGTCTATCATTAGTCTATACCAGTAATAAAATTAATAAAAAAAAATTAAATTAATCATATTGAGTAATGCTATCTTCGATACATTCGGAATAAAACTCCTAAATAACCCCTTGTCACGAGGGTAAGACCGCTCATCGACCCTGTGAACCACACGAGTGACGATTTTGCATTGTATAATTCTTTATTGTTCATATTAAATTTACACAATATTTTTACACTTTTTGAATTAATCTTTATAATTTTTCAGGTAGCTAGTTCTCTTTAGCAAAATTAAGGCCTATCTAGTTAATAGATTTTATTATATTGTTAATATTTTTTTTTTTAATATTCTTTAATATTATATAGGCAAAATTAAGTTAAAAACCTTTTTGACAATTTCATTTAAAAAATAACTTATCCTAATTGACTAGAAACAAAATAAAATTAAGATGCTGAGACATTATCACATAATATTTGCAATGGCAATTTATATTTAACTTTAAAAGGCAAGAGACTCTCATCAATAATTGTTGCCTCCTGGAGCTCAGGAAGACTCATTTGATTATCATAAAAATTTTTTGTCAGTTTATAAATTTGGTCCCATATACTTGGCATTTTTAATTGTTCATGCAGGTAAAGATTACTGGCACTTGGATGAGCTTTTGTTATTAATCTAATTATTTTATTTTGAAATACTTGAAGTTTATTTATATTTGAAATGCATGTGTTGCTCCATAAAGAGGCTGCATATAATATAATTGGTCTAATTATTGATAAGAAAATAGTTGTTTTATTTTTAATATGCAGTCTGCTTTTTTTTTTGCAAATAAGTGAGTCGAGCACATTGAATGACTCTTCCTTATTGCTCTAGTTTAAATGTGCTACGATCTCAATTCGGGAAATCTACGTTCCCATTTCGGTGGCGCTGAACGTCAATACATCGTGAAAAACTTTTGAATTTAGATCAATATTGTATTATGCATAAACAAAATTCGTTATCATATTTATAAAAAGGAAATAAAATTAGAAAATTTACCTTTCTAGGAACTTTTTAAACGGATCACCCCTTAAATGGTTGAAAATTTCCTCTATGTACGGCTGAAATCATAATTTTCATTACTCTTTACAGTGTTTTTCATTGCCAATAGAAAATGTTTTGTATTAGAATATAAGTAATCAAATTGTCGATATATCTAATAACATTTTTATTATTCAAGTACACCATATTGGATCAGCGTTTTCAAATACTGGAATCTGGAATTCGGATATGTAATTAATTTTAATTTAAGAATTTTTGATACTTTAATTTTTGGCTATAAGAGTGCTTTAATTCCTACCTTCTGCTCGAAAATTAATTTATTTAATCATAATCTTGTGAAATTGCACAAAGAAGCAAATTTTAAACAAATAACTAGAGTGCCCCTAAATTTGAATTTACATTCTACTTACAATAAACTACAAAATAATATATTACAAAATCAAAATTATTTACTATATTACAAAAAAAAAAATTAATATCTAAATTTTCATATTTTTTGAGAGTAAATTTTTTGATATTTTTCTCTATAATACAAAAGATAAAACAAAAATTTAAAAATTTTCTCACAATTTCCAGTCCTGTTTCCGGAAGTTCCAAATGTAAGACTGAGCGGAAACGAAGCAGAAATCAAGTCTTATATAAGAATCCAAATTTTCCCTCATTTCTTTTACTACCTCACTCTAAATTGACTCTTGTTTAATAAAATCTTATAAATTCCATTTTATAAAATTTTCAAAAATTCTTTAGAATCACAAACACAAATTATTTTGAAACCAAGTGTTATAAAACCTGAAACAAATAAAAATTAAAATTAAAATTAACTGAAATAATTAAATTATCAAAAAAAAATCTACGATTATTATTATAGCACGAGTTTGAGTTGTACAGAAAACTAGGTAATTTTTTTTTAAGAGTCGCTATCAAAAAAAAATCAATATAAATTGTAATAGTATTTTATAGATCGCGTATTTTTTTTTTGCAGAAATGAAGACAAAATTCTTTTTTTATTCAATAAATTTTTTACCTAATTTATGTGTGTGAAAAGAAGTTTTAATGTTTTTTGAAGACAATCACAAATATGAAAATGTTTTTATATTGTTTTCTTAATGTTTTCTTATTATTAAGCATTTTATATAAGCGCGCTTTTTTCGCAGTTGCGTTTAAATCACTGTTTGAACACAACAAATATTTTTAAAAACAATGTTAATAAAATTGCTGAAAAAACCAGTAAATAAAAGTATTCTCCAGTATAAACTGAAATACACGTGGAATTAACGTTTGAAAAATTTAGTTTCGAAATATTTCCCACAAGGAACGTCACCTCTGCCAATTCGAATTTTTTGGAATGTTGTTATAGCAAATGGGAACATTTTTCCTATAATCTACGCATAGAGTACAGTCTCCTTGACAAAAAGTCAATTTTCTACAAGGGTCTAAATGATTTTGGAGATTGAGGAAAAAAGAGAAATCCTATTTTCGAAATCGTTTGAAACTTTTAATTGGTGATTGCAACCTATAACTGAGGCTTCGAATTTTGAAAGGACACACGCTCGAATTTGCATCAGTTTTGGCGTTAAAATTTGATATTTAACTGTTTTAAAAATTAAAACTCCGAGGGACCAAAATTTGTGATGCAAATTTGAGCGTGTAATCTTTTAAGATCCTTTCAATGCTTGAAAATGGCGATGATGAAACCTTAGCCAAAATTATCCTCGAAGCAATAAAAATGATTGAATAATCAAGAGCAAAAATCCACGATAAGGTTTCTGATGGCGCAACTCCAAACAGAATGAAATAAAAAATAAAGGCGTCAATAAATTGTTTAATTCTTGCATTAGTTAGGTGAACTATGAAAAATATGAATCTTCCAATGTTGACTCTGCAGGGTAAAATTCTGTTAATGACGATTTGGATTTTTCAAAAATTGTCACACTTAAAATTAAACGCTATTTCTATTACTTTCTGATCCAAAATGGCGTAACTTGTATAATTAAAATTATTATTTGAATCCTGTGGAGATAAAATATTTATTACAAGTATATTTCCAAAAAAAAATTTCCAAATTTCAACATTAATTATTTAAATAATAAGTAAATAATTGTCTATACATTTAAATGTATAGACAAAAACTTTTTATTAATTCAAAATTTAATCATTTAAATCACGTACCCACCTCGAATAAATTGACAGGAACCTCATTTTTCATAAGATACTTGTGCACATGTGAAACAGCATCTTTTGAGTATTCCTGTAATACAACATAAAAATGTATTAACAATATAGTTAATTGAGATTTCAATAGTTCAAGCTTCTGAAAAGTTGGCCATCAAAAATGAATATTTAGAAAATTTCCATTTATATAGAATAGATTAAATTTTAGTTCTCTTTAAATAATACACTTACGTGAGAATGTGCCAATAATTCTTTCATGATAAAGTTATCGTAAACTTCTTTTGCAAGCTTTCTTCTTTCTTCTGGACATTCCAGTTTTTCGTAAGCTTTAATCTGTAATACATTTTAAATTATTGCAAACAATTGAGAATAAAGTAGGAGAGGAAAAATTTGTTAGGGAAGAATGAAATGGATTGTTTGAAAATTAGAGCCAATACAATATCCATTGTTGTGGAATTAGAATCAAATTTTATATTTCTATTTTCTAATTATTTTTTATTCAATTCGGAGTTTTATTTTAGTTAATTATTTTAACAATTTCTTGATTTGTATAACATAAATTTTTAATAAGAGAGTGATTGCAAATTATAATACTTTTAGAAACACTTCAAAATTAAATTATTACTTTTAGAAAAATTGAAATTTGTTAGAAAAATTTTTTTTTAGAAAATTGATTTCATTAGAAATAGTTTTTTTTTTTTAGAAAAAAAGAATTAGAAAATACTTTTTTTAAAAAAAGTTACCACCAATGATTAATTCTTATATAGTTAATTTGAATTTAATTATTTTGTGTAGAACTCGATAAATTTTTAAATTTATTTTTAAAACTTACTTGTTCATAAAACCTAAGTTGCGGAATTGGTTCCTCAGCGGCAGTCTCGCAAAACTCCTTGAATAAAAGATACCCTATAAACCAAAAAATAAACAATTGTCAAAGTATTACATAGAAAAAAATGCAAAATATTAGCCAATCTACAGCAATCTAAAATTTCAGTAATATTACCTCAATATTTATTTATAATTTCTGCAATATTGCTGCAATTTTAGAATTTTGAGGCAATCTTGTTAGAATTGCTGCAAATTTATGAGCTGTATTTAAAAATTGTGTTTATTTTAAATATTAAATTTTTTTAAATATTATCTTAAATAATACTTCTTAAATATTAGAAGAAACTTAGCTCTAAAGAAATTAGACCAAAGATATCAATTTTAGTGTTTACCTAACATTTGATTAAAGATTTTGTCGAAATTCACTTCATTCTTCTTTTCCAAATGTTTGTGCGTTGCGCTTCGGACACTGAAACAAACAATTTATTCATAATAAAATTGTATTTATTGATTTTCATAAAAATCTAGCACAGAAAATTTAACATTTACAGTATAAGGCGTATAAAAAAAAAATCTGAATTCAGGCGCATGATTGTACCATAAAAATTAATTATTAAAATTTCCCTTTGAAAGAATTTTATTAGACAACTTTAATTATTTTTTTTGGTCGAATTTTCATTTTTTGAATTAGCATTTGCACTTTGAAAATTAATTTAAATTCCATACAATTATGGAATATACATAAAAAAAGAATGTTAAAAAATATGAGGAAGTGTTTCTTAAAGTATAGATATATTTTTCATCTTGAAATTCGATTGTATATTTTTTTTTTAAATCGATATTAAAATTTTTCTAAACTTTTTTTTTAAATCGTGTAAAAATGTTTTAATTATTTAATTTTGCGTTTCACGTTTTTAAAAATTCTTATTAACTACAAAAATATTATTATGATTTTGTGTTTAATGTATTGTGTTAAACAAAAAATTAATTACAACAAATAATTTTTAAAAAAAACTTATAAAAGGAACAAAAATTAGTAAATCTATATTAAATTATAAAATAACGCGTGATTTAAAATTTTGCTTTTTATTTTCTAAATTTTCATTTCTAGTCTAATTCTTTTTTTTTTTTTTTACCAATCACAGATTTTAATGATGAAAAATATTGAAGCCCAAGACGGATAAAAATGATGAACTGTCTTCAATTTAAAATCCACCAAGTTTATAAATCTAGGGCAATTTGTTATAAAAAAAATTATTTAATTTAAAATATAATTAAAAGTATACTCCTATAAAACAATATTAGTTAAATAAAAAAAAAACAGAAACTAACAATTAAACAAATTATTTAAATTTAAATAAAAATAAAATAATTATTTATATTATTTTATTGCATTTGTATGAGAATCGAGATTAAAATAATTTATTAAAATTGTTTGGTGTATTTCTGAAATTTTCATACAAAAAAAAATTTTATTTTTGGGACAAGTTTTTCCTAATTCCTAACTAATCTAATCGTTTCAAATACCTTTGAAAATTGAGTAAATTACGCATTTTTTAAAAATCAGTGAATATTCCGGTTATTCTAAAGACATTGAACGATTAAATGAGAGTCAATAATTTAATTTACTTATTTATTCTCTCTTGTTTTATATATTTCTTTAATTTCATTTAATTGGTTAATTAAGTATGTTAATTATAATTATTAAAAAAAAAAAAAATTTCTTGTATTCAATTTGTTGAATACATATAAATCATTCTCATTAATTTTATATAAGATAAAGTTTGTACCTAAAAATACTCGTAGAATGTTTAATTTTTAATCAAAATTTTCTTTTTTCCCAGTCGTTACCAAAATTATTGTTGTCGTTGTTACTTATTTCTATATATATAAATTCTATTTGAAATTTTTTCCACTTTATCGATAACATTTCCTGGCGCTCTTCCTTCTAACGTTCATTCAAAACAATTGCATTGTGCTGCCGTCAATCATTATTTCTATTCTCTATACTTTTATTTCTTTAAATTTCAATGTTTCTTTAATTAATAAAGTTTTTATAAAATTTATTTCACAATTATTTTTTTTTAATTAGGCCATTAATTAATAATCATTTAATTTTCTATAAATAATTATTATTTATAATAATTTTAAATTCATAACTAATTAAAATTATTATATATCGTTAATTATTTTTTTAAGTTTTAGAAAAACTGAAAAAAAATTTATTTGATTCAAATAATCAGTTAGTTGACAATTAACAAATAAATATATTTTTATTAAATAATTAGTATTTAATTAAATAATAATTATTTAAAATAAATGGCATTTATTTAAAATAAAAATTATTTGGTTTAAGTAAATTTTTTTTTTTGATAATAGTCAAACAACCGATTATTTGAATTAAATAATTTTTTTTTTTTTCAATTTAGATTCATTTATTATTATTATTATTATTAAAACATTTAATATAGTTTCAAGTTTGTTATAGTTAGAGCAAAAAATATTGTAGGAAGAAAAAAAGGTAACGTCAAATCAAGAAAAAACGGTATTGATATACAGGCTATGTTTAGAGTAATTTACTATGTATTGACTTGTTTTAACAAAAGCATGTGAGATAGTAACGATTTTTAAATACTTTATGTTCTAAACACATTTATTAAAAACTCCATGACTTTTCTAATTAAACGAGTTTTTTTTTTAAATGTGTCCTACACTACTATTTCAAAATATACTTAAATATATATTCGTCAAATTAACGATTGTTCATTTAATTATGGAACTATCAAAAAATTTCCCTGACATCACTAAATATGAATCACTTAATGTAGTATATCGAGTCACAAATAAAATAATTAAGAACACGAACGTGTAATAATTAAATTAAAAAAATAAACGTCACATATAATTTTTTTTTTACTAATTTTATTTTTATACTTTTATCATTTTATTTTTTTTTACTTTTTTTTTAAATTTAAATAAAAATTAAAAAAATCGTTTATCATAAAAAAATGTACATTAAACATTTAATAAATTATTTTTTTTTATATATGTAAATAATAAATAAAAATAAATTATTAATTTATTTTTGGATACAGAAAGAAATATTTTATCATAAAATTTGAAGTTGAATAGAGTAGTAAACAAATTTTTCGTTCATTTAAACGTGCAGAATTTCAGGCATATCCTCAATAAATATTTTTGACTAATGAAAAGTAGGGTCATTTGAGATAAATGTAAACAAGGGGTAAATGTAAACAGTAAATGTTTGCGTTTTATTTTTAGTTTCGTGAGTATTACGATTAAAATTTCAACATTATATCGCCTACAAAAGGTTTTGAGTGTTACCTCATTTTTTTTTTCTTTTGAGAATTGAAAGCAAAATATTCCAAGTTATTTCTCATCGAAAAAAATAAAATCTCAAAAGAATATTCCGTTCAAAAATTAATTTTACATTTTATTTTCAATTTATTTTTTATTTTTTTTTTTTATATTTCAATTTATTTAAATTTCTTTTTATATTTCAATTTATTTAAATTTCTTTTTTAATTGGAGAATGTTCTGTTTAAAATGTAAGTTAATCATTCATCTTTGATTGAAATTCTTATTTTGAAGATTATTTTTTTAATTGAAATTATTCCTCTTCAAATTAAACAATTGTTTTATACATTCAACCTCTTTTATTTAATTTGAGATCTTTATTTGAAAAATGCCTGTTTACATTTACCCCTAAATTTTCAGGATAAACGTAAAAAAAACTCGGGATAAATATAAACATTCAGTTTTATGCGACTCAAGCTCACCTCTATTTTTTTCACTATCCCATAAAATTGTTCCAGGGAAGTGAAATAACAATTTAATGAAAAATAAAACCAAAAGTAATGACTTTTAAATGAAAAAATTTGTAAAAATTGCACTGAAAAAAATTTAATTCAAATAATCTGTTACTTGAATATTATTAAATAAATTTCAGGCCTCGGATCGAATTTAAGGCACAAAAAAGTGGTTTTTTATAATTTTTTGAAGTCTGATTTATTCAATTTATTTGAATTAAAAATTTTGTCATAATTTTTAGTTTTTATGGTCAAAAAAATTTCAGGCAATACTTAATTAAATTTTACAGATTTATAAATGAAAATATTTTTTTAAATAATAATTTTGAAAGAATTAAAGTTGAAATTTTTAGAAATAATTGAATTTCAAAAGATTTTGTTGATTAACAGACAATAAATAAATTTTACAGAACTAAAAATAATTTATCAAATAATTTTAGATAAAATTTTTTAAAAGTAATTGCATTTTCAAAGATTTACAATTTAGATTTTTTTTTGAAATTAATTGAACTTCAAGTGATTTTTAATTTAAAATTTTTGATGAATTCACTAAAAAAAATTTATTAGAAATTGCAGACAAAAAAAGACAAATAATTTGAAAACTTTTAAAATAAAAAATGTTTTCAGATATAATTGAATTTTCAAAGAATATTATAGAAATCATTAATTGAATTTCAGTATATTTATAATTAAAATTATTAAATTTCAAAAAAATTTTAGATGGAAAATTTTAGAAGCTTTTAAATTGAAATTTTTAAAAATAATTGAATTGAATTGCTAATTTTTCTTTAAAATTGTTAACAATTATTAAATTTTATAAAAATTTTAATTGAAAAATAATTTACGATAATTGAATTTGTGCAGAATTTCATTCAAATTATTAAAAATAATGAATTTCAGTTAAAAATTTGTTAAATAATTGAAATAAAAAAGATCTGAAGAATATCTACATTGTAAACTAAATACAATGAATTTTGTTTAAAAATTTTGTAAAAAACAGTCGAAAAAGTTTCATTTTATTAAAATAAATCGAAAAAAGTCGTATAATCCGAGGCCTGTAATTATAGAGTCAATTAAATAAAATTTATTTCAAATACAGAAATTATTGTTTTAAATAAAAATTTATTTTTTGATTAAAATAAAAATTGTTTTATACAAATAAATATTTATTTAATAATAGTCAAAGATTATTTGAATCAATTATATATTTTTTTTTCAGTGTAAAAATTCTTTTTTACTCCATCTGATCCTTATTTGAAATTTTGATCAATTAAATTTGAAATAGCAATAAATAAAATTGAACTAAATTTAAAAAAGTGAAAAATAAAAAAGGTGAAATAGTTGACAAAAAAAGAAATTTTTTTTTTTTCAAAAAGGTAACTTTTTATTCCCTGTTATTCTCGTGTGTTATTTTTAATTTTTTTTTGTTTATAAAATGATCATCTTAAGTGCGAGAATTTTATCCTAATTAATGAGACTTTGCATAATGAAATTTAATAATTTGTAATTAAAAATGATAAGATGATATTACCTAGGATCAGGTAAGATAATCTTTTTGCTTGCTCTTGCTGCGGGTGCGCATTTGCTTTTTTCCATGGCCATCAAGTAGCTGACATCCGCCAAAACAGCTTCAAGATCCGCCATTTTCTTAAGTTTTTTTTTTCCTCTTTTTAATTTTTACGTTCACTTTTTTTAGATTTTATAATTATTAAGAAGTGTTTTAAAAAATTAATCGCGCAATCCATTAACAATCATCTATTAATACTTTTATTTAAACACACCCCTCAATTGTTACCGGCACTTTCCTTCCTTTTTTTTGTCCTTATCTGTTTTAAACGTCACTTTTACTGATGAAACCTCATATTTTTTTTTTCTAAACACCTTTTTCAAAAATTAACTATTTAAATTGTCACATGAACGCGATATTACACTATCGGACGGATAACATTGTTAAACGTTCAGAATAAAGTTTTTTTTTTCCCTCTAAAAATCGAAAAAATCACTTTCACTAATATATATATATATTTTTTTTTTTATAGAAATATTGGCATTGTGCGCAGAGAATTTCACATTTTTTTCACAGATAATTTCTATTAAATATAAATAATAGTGTCTTGATTTTCACTATCATGTTGATTTCTTTTTTTTCAATATTTTTTTCACACAAAAAATGATGGCAAAAAAATTTCCCAATCACTTTTCTATATATATATATATACTGTATATATATATATATAGCTATATATATATATATGTACTTTCAAGTAAAACGAAACAACTATATTTAAAAGTGGAAAAAGAGTTCAGATTCAGTTCTATTATTATTTTCAAAGAATTAAAACAATAGTACTTGTTATTATTTGATGTTTATAAATTGTAGTAGAAAAATTAAAAAAAGAATTACTGTCAAAAAAGCAAAATGTTCCGTACAAACATTTGTAAGGAAATTAATTTTATTGTTACTTTGTTTTGTTAAACGTGTAAATAAAGATATTCAATTAATATTTCAAGAAATAACACTGACTTTCAATTTTCTTTTTTTACAAAGTAGAAAAACAGTACAAGAATTAATACAATAGACGACACAATTGATTTATATCCAGTGAAAAATCCTTAGACTAATGCAAGTAACATAGATAGGAACTCGAAGATATCAGTGAAACTATATATAGACAAAAACCTCCCATATGTGACATCTTTGAGGTTGGTTCCACAATAGACAAAATACCTATCGTTTTGAAGACGATTTTCATGATAAAACGATAATTTTTCTATTGTCGCGAATCTTTTTGTTTTAAGGTGCTTTTGTACCTCAAATTTCGATCAGATGAACATTATTTCTGGACAAGAAGCACTGTATAAACCATTTCACAAACATCGTCATTTTACACTTTCTTGTAGCAGAAAACGTTTTAAAGCAAAATTTGCTAAATTTTTCAATCAAATCATCTTTCTATCACTATTTTAAAGGGTTCTTACATATTAAAATATTTAATATTATATTTCTTAAAAAAACATTTTTTGTTTAACAATTCAAAAATACCCGCCGTGAAAAAATCAGTAGTTTAAGCGTAACTTCAGAACCCTGGTCGCTCATGTCACATTTCGCATGTTCTACCCTTTGGACATTCTTCACGGTCAATGATAGAAATCTTGGTTTTATCAAGTTTACGCCCTTATCCGGTTACATTTAGTACTATAACCTTATCTGTCATGTTTATGTAGGCTTGTGTGCTTAAAAAGCACTCTTGTAATTCATAGTGCTTCTATTAATTCAACATTTTAGTAATTATAATAAATTAAAATGCAAAAAGCATTTTTGCTGTTATTTATTATGAAGAGGTGATGTGGTTATTATGTCAAATAATAAGGTATGATAATTAAGGTTATTTGCATGCTAGTATAATGATGATACACATATTAATTTATCATTGTTTTTATATATTCATTATAATATTATAATGATAAACATAAATTGAACAGATAAAATGTTATAATATAAATTCTTGTTTCACTCTTTGTAATTGTTATCAGTTTTGAATATCAAAGTGCTTAAACTTTTGACTTGAGAATATTATACAAAATATTATGACGATCATGACTGTCATTGGTAGTTAACCTTTAAAACACTTTTTTTCAATATTTTTTTGCATTTTATTCAAAATTTTATTACTCACATGTGAAAAACTGAATAAAATTATTATGTAATTATTTCAAGGTTATTCATTTGAAATTTATCAATCTAGTAAAAAAAAAAAAATTATATTTAATTCACGACTATTTTCGCATAAAAGTTTTTAAAATCAATTTATTTGCAAACTTTAAAAGTTTAGACATTATAGTGTTTATTTATTTTTACTTTTTATAAATTTATTCAACATAAAATTGTAATAATTATTATTCTTAAATTATTAATATTAAATATTATAATAATCAAATACAACAAAAAATAATCATAAAATTAATTTAGATACATAAAAATTTAGTAATATAAAAATTAAAAGTAATAAAATTTGCGTATAATAATAATAATTAAATATTTTAAAACATTTAATCATCAATAAATAAATAGAACAAAAATGTCAAAATATTAATTGTAAATTCAATACAAATTATTAAAAAAAAAAAATTATAGAAAGATATCGAAAAATAAAAATGTTAATAATTACATAAAATAATATATTACAATTCTAATAAATAATTATTAGAGCTGTGCAATGTTCGAATCGAATCGAATTTTGTTCGGTTTTTAATTACCCTGACTCGAATTTCGAACTGGACTGACTCGAATGTTGAATTTTCGACATTCGAACTCGGCGTAAAAATTCGAACAGTTCGGTTCGATTTATTTTGCACAGGTCTAGATTTTTCATTTTCCAGGAAAACATTCTATCTAAAAAAATCGAAAAAAATTGATTATTCTTATTCTATTGCAATTTAGGTTCAATTGGTAGGTTTTTTTTAAGGTATTTTAAAGGTACAAAAGGTAAAAAAATAATAGAGACATACTTTTTTCTCCAATTCATAATTAAAACAAATCAAAATTATTATAAATTACAATAACCTTCTAACAATATTCAAAAAAAAAAAATAAATTATAAAAAATGAAATTCTCTAATATGATAATTCTTGCTTATAAATTTCGGGACAGGAGGGTGCAAGTCAATAAATAAATATTTAATATACTTTTTTATTTTTTATTCTTGTAATAATTTTTAAAAAAATGTCGAAACCAAAAAAATTGATTTTACTTATTTTATAGAGTTAAGAAATTAAATTAAAATCGAATAATTCATATTTTCTTTGGTTTTCTTTTTTTTTTTGCAGAATATTATTAATTTGGTGGTGAATTGCAAATACGTCACAGTGAAATAGCCACATTTGGAAAAGCTTAAAGGATGTATTGCATACAGTGGTTAATACCTGTGCTATTAATACCAAAGCCCGTTAATCCTGCATTGTTACAAACTCATGTTATGTTCATGGTGCTTTATTTAATTGGATTCTTTTTAGAGCAAAAACCATGTACAATGTGTACAGCTATTTTTCTCACAGCAGTCTTTCTTATTTGTTACAGTGGCATAGGTAATTGTCTATTTTGGAATAATAATTGCGAAAATGGTTGATTATAAAAATAGACAACCTATGTCTATTTTACAATATTCAAATATTTTATTATTATCATTGTTCCAGTAATAACTTTACTATTATGTCCACAATGTACTGAATTTTGAAACAATTTTGTTTAAAAAAAAAAAAAAAATATTGGAATACCCTTGTTAAACAATCGTACATTGATTATTTAAAGCCATAATCATTTTAAGGTACAACAAAAAAATGATGAAGTACTTTTTCTCAATTATATAATTTTTTAATTCTGATAATTCATCTATTTTTAATTATTTAAAAAAAAATTTTTAGGCCATATTATTTTTACCATGTATTTGAATAATATGGTCTAAAATCTTTATTTTTTATCTCATTTTCTGAACTTGTAATGTAAAAAAAAAATTAGTTTTTAAGTTATATATGTAAATTAGAAAAAAAATTATAATTTGATATATAAACTTCCGATGAAGCTCATCTTGATCTTGAATTATTTCTTTCTTGTATACTTTTTATATATTTGACTTTAAACAAATGAGAAATTATTTTAAACTTATTTTTAAGATAATGAAATTTTTTTTTAAATATGTAAATCAAGATCAAGAAAAATTGTATATGTTTGTTTCATGAAAACTCCGTTAGAACGTAATAACAGTTTAAGTATATTTTAAATTGTAAATACGTCATATTATTAGTTTTATAATGCTATTTAGGAATTTGTAAATAAATTTATTCATTAAGTATATAATTTATCATAATCATTTATGACTTAATAAAATATTTGATTGAAATATAACAATAATAAAAAATTATTATTTTCTTTGTTCATTATATACAAATAATGACGTCGAGTATGTGTTTGCACATTTGTGATGATTATCCAAATATACAATTCTATTTACTATACAGTAATAAATGAATTTAAAAAGTTAAAAAAATTTTAAAAACATACAAAAATTCAAAAAAATGCCTTTATAATTTAAATTTGAATAAAGTCTCAAAGCTGTTAACGCAGAGAGCTTTTCAAATACTAAGTTCAACAAATTTTATTAACAATATTGTATTCTATTTTCCATTTCGGAGCCACAATTTTGAATTTTTTGAAAACTAACTTTAAATTCGTAATCAGCGACCCTAAAAACTCGCGAGTAACGATTTTCAAGTGAATCCGATGAATTTTTCATAAAAATGTCCGCCGTTTTGAAACCGCCATTTGGAATTTTTGAAAACTGACTTCAAATTCGTAATCAGCAACCCCGAAAACCCCCGAGTAACGATTTGCACGTAAATCCAATAATTTTTTAAAATTCGTCCGCCATATTTGTTCCGACATAAGTACGCCATATTGCATTTTCAAAAGTACTGAGACGAAAAAAACTGTTGTTCTCCTTTGTAATTTATGAATGTTTTATCAGTAAAATCATTTAAATTTTCATTAATTTTAATTAAAATGTAAAAATAATTAGGTGAAAACCTAATTTTTGAATTGAATGTAGATATAAAGATAGTTAAGATTTTTTAAAAATTAAAAATGGCTGCCAAAAGTAGAAAAAATTCAAAGTAGCAGATCCAATATGGCTGAGTATTAATTTGTTAGCAAATCTAATCATTTTTTCCATTTTTAAAAAATTGTCACTAGATAATTCATTTTAGAAAGTCTATGTTTATTAGGATTTTAGTTTCTAATTTTAATATACTATTTAATGAAATAATAAAATTATTTAAAAAATTAAATCGCATTTTATTGCTTCATTAAATAGTACATTAAAAATAAAATCCCAATAAACACTGAATGGAAAATTTTAAATTGACCACCAGTAAACGGCCATATTTGATTTCCCCCCACCAAGCTTGGTCTATATATCATACATGAAGAATGTTACCTACCCATCCCTGTAGTCATATGACACATTTAGTTCCAACTTCTGCCTTAAGTGGCGCTGTATCTCCGAAACAACAGTGGTAACTCATGTGGGTGTCAGTATAGAATAATAGTGAAATAATAGTATAACATTGTTGTCTGATTATCAAAGCTGTTAATATTTCTATTAAATAAAACAGAAATAATGTTAAGTCAATCAAAAATAATTTGAATGACAACGCGAGAGATCAATTTCAATTATGTCTATTAGTTGACAATAATTAAAAATCAACGTTTCACTAGTGCTTTCATACGAGTTTAATGTAACTTTTTTTTTGCTTATTTTATATTTGAAAAAAAAAATTACACACTGTTTTTTATAGACACAATGACGAAGAATTTGATAACGAACGTTGATCCATTTAGTGAAATGATTCTTGAAGATGACTACAATACAGCAGGTATAAAACATATATTTTTCTTTAAACACATAAACAGTTTTGTTTTGATATTAATAATTTATTAGAAAATCAACGATATAGTTTTAAAAGTATAAACAAAAGGAAACTTGTGGTTTTATCTAGAAAAATTCTTAGAAATGAAATATGTCACGTGAAAATCCATAAATAAATATGACTCGTCAAGTTATATTAGTGCAATAAATTTTCAGTTTAGATTATTTATCTCAATGTGTAAAAAACTAAAAAATATATATTATATTTCGAAATAAAATGGTAAGATTAGATTTAAAAATTGTGAAAGAATTTTTGGTATTGAAGATTTTCTAAACTTTCGAACTCAGTAAATTGTTTTATATATATATATATATATATATATATATATGAAAAATTTATATCTAAAACAGTGAAATATTATGTTATATTAATAAAAGTTGGTTTTCATTTTATTATTTTATTTTTATTTTTTTACCATTAAAATAATTCAACTTATACTTATCGCTTATTATTTACAATAAATTGTAAAAGAAAAATTCATAAATATTGCGCCAACTTTCGACTAAGACTTTAAAATTTATTATTAATTATCAATTATTTTAAGTTTGGTGTAGTTTTTTTTTTTAATAATCCATATTTTTTTTGTAGAATTATTATTATTATAAAATTATAATTATAAATTATATATTTGTATTTTATAAAATTATAATTATATTATACAAAAAGAATGGATTATTAAAAAAAAAATACAATTTCATTCTAAATCCAAACAAAACAATATCTTACTATCAATTATTTTTGTTTACAATTATACGATCGAGTGTTGAAGTAAACATTGAGAAATTAATTAAACATCAGATCTAGTTAAAATACCAAAGCGTATACAATAATTACAAAACACGTGATATTGTTATATATGAAGTTTTACAATGAAGGAAAATACTATTAACAATATTGTTAAAAAATCAAAAATTACAAATAGTCTTGAAGATAAACAATCACCGGAAAGGAAGCGAAAAAAAATTACTAATTAATAATTACATTAAAAGGAGAATAATTGTAGATTTGAAAGAAAAAAAAATTACTACGAATTACGTAATGAAAATCTTTCTTACATCAATCGGAGTAGTGTTTCATGTGGGTTGACAAAAGTGGCATTTCTCGAATGTGTCGGTAATAAAAAAAAACCCCCACTTATTTATTTATTATTATTATTAATTATAATGTAAACTAAACAAATTTTTTTATATTCAGTTAAATTAATTGATTGAAACACAATTGGTTTGTTCAATTAAATTTTTTCTTCATTCAACAAATTTATTGAAATATAAATTATTTTTTAAACTAAATTTTTGTTTAAAACAGCTAAAAAGTTTATTAAAACAAAAATACAATAATTCATTTAAAATGGTTGCCGTTATTTATTGAAATTTTTTTAATCTTTTACTTCTAAAAATTATTGTCTCAATTTTTTTATAATATTGAAAACCATTTTAAATATTTTCTTTAGGGCCAGGGAAAAAATTTAAATTCAGACTGGTAACATTAAAAGTTCCATTTTAGATATATAAAAATATAATTATTATTAAAAGAAACAACAAAATTTATAAAACTTCAAAAAACATTAGTATTGTAAATTAAGAAAAATAAATATTTTATATTATAAAGACAAAAAATAAACTATATCTATATTAAACAATTCTGAATTTTTTAATATTTTTCTGATTGCAATTCATAGTAAGTGAAAAATTTGTCAACTTTTAATTATAATAAAAGGAAAATTCTGCAAACTAATTTGATTTTCAAACAAATAGGAATTATAAATTATTTACGGCACCTCAAATAAACATTATTATGTTTAATGGTATTTCGAAATATTAAACTTATATGACAAATAGTAATTCGATAATAACAATTACGATGTAATGGAAATTATAAAATTTAGAATTTGGAGAATAACCATAAGCTACTGAATTATCTTGTTATAAAAGAGATTGAGAAATTCTTGGAATATTTAAAGGAAATATTAAAAAAAAAAATATTAAAATATCTAAAATTAGTATTTTTACGAGGTTTTTAATTGGTTTTTGAATCTACCTCTTTTTTTAAATAAATATTATTCATAAACTTTTTGTAAGTCAAATGGGATTTCCCTTGTCTCCTATTGTTTCAGATTTTAATAATAATTTAGAAAAATATTTTTAAAAAAATTAAATTCTGTTCCTTTTAATAAAATATATGATATTTTCTTATTAATTCCTAATGATAAAGTGAATGACTCTTTAGTTATATATAAGTTTATTTTTCTCTAATCATCCCATTAAATTCCGATAAAATAGGAATGATTAATAATCTTGTTGTCTGAGTCACTTTGTTATCAAATGACATTTTTCACAATATGAATATTGAGTTTATATAAAAAAAAATATTCTTCAATTGAATTCATTAATAAACTTAAAAATTCTGTGTATTACTAAAAATCGAAAATTATATAATAATAAAATGCTTGGTCAGTCCTTCTGTCCTAACTTGATGTTAGGCCTTTTCTGATAATTTAATAATATTAATTTTCCTTCCCAAGGTGAATTATTCATTAAAATAAACTGTTTGGTCCGAAACTTTAGCACGCAACTGAAGGTCGAATTACTTTCTATTAACTTATAAAATGTTAATAAATTTACTGATCCATAACAATTAGCAATAGAACAGATTTTTGTTTTTCTAAATTCTAATTGTTAAGACAGCGAAAAAAAATATTACAAAAACTATTGTAACTGGCTGCCTAATTTATTTATTATAAATATTATAATACACAAATTTAATTGAAAATTCAAAAAACCCATAATTCAATTTATACTCGTCATACAGTATATATTTTTTTTAATATCGATAATCAAATTATTGAGGGATGACTTGAATAAATTTTAATAATATAGTTTTTTTGTTTGGTGAATTTTAGAAGTTTCAATGGAAAATTCTGAAACGATTGATAAAGTGAAAGGAACCGAACACCAATATGCAGATCCTTTATCACTTGATGAAGTTCGTTGGTTTTATTGTGTAAACAAAAGATGGACAGAATTTTGTGGATACGATAGTTTAAGAATTGAACAAGTATGGAGAAATAGAAGTGAAAATGCCGATAGTAATAATTGTGAAAATAATAAATTACAAACTGCCGAAAGAATAGTTGTTCGAGGTGGAATGTACGATGTGGATTTAGATAAAATGAAATGTTTATCTATATATTGGCCAGGTAACAATAAAAAATATTTTTTTTTTATTACTAAATAAATGTCCTTGAATTTTTAAAAAAATTTTTTTTCTACCTTGAAATTCTTTGTATTTTATAACAAAAGTAAATTATTAACATTTTCTAAAATATTTATACATATAATCTTAAGGGAAGAACCCAAAAAAATTTGCCATTAGAATTTTATTATGAAAGAAATATTTTTTCTAGGTGAAGAGTGGGAAATAATGCGTGGAACGTGGTTTTATGATAGCAGTTGGATACCTTTGGAAACTGAACATTCGGAAAGAATAGAAGAAGTTCATTTGAGAACTTTTCAACATCAAAAGCTCACGCAATCGAATTCTGAGCCCGAATTAGGAGCAACTTCTCATGCTTTCAAAGGTCAGTAATTAGCATTTCATTTATATTTTTAAAACAAATATTTATTTTTTTTGAAAAATTTTTTATTTTTATTTAAAAATTTGTATTTTGTTAAAAAAATAATTCAATTTTAAAAAACAACTTTAAATTCGTAATCAGCGACACCAAAAAATGCCCAATGACAAGTTTTAAGCGAATAACATTTTTTTTTTTTTTTTTAAATCTAATTATTTTCATTTGTGATAAAAATTAGAATTTTCTTTCTATGTGGTGGTTATCCAAGGGGAAATTTTATTAAAAATAATATAAATATTCGTTTTTATTTCAGTATTGCATACAGAACATTTTCCTGCCTTTCACGTTGATTGGCTTGCAATAAATGATGTAACTTTATACAGCGAGTACACGCCCTCCAAATTAATGCGAAGCGTCACATCGAAATTTGGTTTTACTAAATGTAAGAACATTAATGTAATATAAAACATTACATTAATATAATGAATTAATTATTTATTTAAAAATTTCAGCAACTGGTTACCAATTACGACGGGGTTATAAAGTTCGTGCAACTATGGATGATAAACCAAATGACATTGATCATTTAGTGTTTGTTGTGCATGGAATCGGACAAAAGAGAGATACTGGAAAAATAATTCGAAATACAGCAGCGTACGTATATAATTTAATTTTTTAAAGGGTGTCTGAAAATTTTTTTAAAATACAAGCGAGAAATATATGGAAATTTTATTCCAAATCAGCGTTTTCGGTCTTTGAGCCTAACATATATTTAAATGTGTTTTTTTTTTTATAATATTGTACAGATTCAGAGAATGTGTGGAATGGCTACTACCTAGATATTTTCCGAAATTTACACAAAGAGTTGAATTTTTTCCCGTAGAGTGGCGATCGTCTTTAAAATTAGATGGAGGTCAGTAATAATTTGATTTATTTAATCAGTAAATATGAAATTTCTTTTCCTTTTTATAATTTACGGAATTTTTATTTCATCGAATTAATATTTGCTCGAATTTTCATTAGACAGAATAGTAATTTGAAAGAATATTTAATTTACAGAAGGAATTTTTTTCTAGCCAAATTTTTATTTGTTCGTATTTACAATAATTATTATTTAAAAGCATTTTTTAATTAAAAACTTTTTAAATTCAATTTTTGACTGTAATTTCTAATGAAATCTTCATTAATAAAAATCATAAAAAATTTCAATTAAAAATCACTTAAAGTTTAATTAATTACAAAAATTTGAATTTATAAATATTCGAAAATTAAATTATTTTTAAAAAAGGTTATCAAAAATTATCTGCTAAATTATTTTTGTAATTCTGTAAAATTTAATTATTGTCTGAAATTTAATCTGACAGCATTTTTCAATTGACAAATTTTAAAGTTTAATTTTTGTCTTTAATTTTTAATAAATTCTTAAGCAAAAGAAATCATCAAAAAAATTCCAATTCAAAATTACTTGAATTCAATTATTTTCCAAAATTTCAATTAAGAACCTTCTAAAATTTAATTATTTCTAAAAAATTTCAACTATAACTCTTTCAAAGTTGAATTATTTTTAATAATTTTAATATTTCCTTGAAAATTCAATTATTTAAAAAAAAGTTTCAAATAAAACCTCTAAAATTGAATTGTTGTTAGAATTTTTTTTAATTTGTTCTACTTAATTAAAATTTTTAAAGTTTACGTCTTCGATTCTGTTATAGGCGGGATAATAAATTTATGTAATGCCAAAAAAAGGCCTATTTATTATAAAATTAATTAAAATAAACGGTTTTAACAAGTAAAGATTTAATTTTTCAGATATTGTCGATGCCATTACTCCGTATAGTGTTTTAAGTATTCGAAATCTTTTGAATACATCCGCAATGGATATTTTATATTATACAAGTCCTCTTTATGGCGGTGAAGTTAGAAAAGGTCTCCAACAAGAATTAAATAGGTTATATTCAATGTTTATTAATCGACATCCTGGATGGAATGGCAAGGTGTCGATATTAGCTCATTCCTTAGGTTGTGTTATCGTTTACGATATTGTCACTGGCTGGACGGGATACGATACACAAGTTTCCTTCTCATTATCCTCATGTGAAGGACTTCAATTTTCTGTTAGTTTCTATAATTTTCCTTAAATTTTTCATTAGAATTGTTTTTTTTTTTTTCAATTAAATAAAAATAATATTATTTTTGCAGATTGAAAATCTTTTTTGCCTTGGTTCTCCATTATCAGTATTTTTAGCTTTACGTACACGTGCACCATCAAATAGATTGGAAGTAATGCCAGAAAAATTATGTAAACGATTTTATAATATATTTCATTGGTCAGATCCAGTTGCATATCGAATGGAACCATTATTAGAAAAAGTTTACAGTAAAATTGAACCAGTTTTAATTCCCTCATATGGAGGTCAACAACCATTTAATAATCAACAACAGACAGAAGAACAAGAAGTAGAGGGTACAGAAATGGAAGATGAACGATCAAATGATGAATTTGTTAATGAACAATTGGAACAAGTTTCCGCTGAAGCAGATGTTGATAAGCAAAATATATCACTTCAAGGTATAATTCAATTAAATATTTTAAAAATATATATTAGAAAAGTTTTTTTCAATACAGAGAAAAATAATTTATTTGATTCAAATAATTCGTTATTTGAATATTATTAAATAAATATTTACTAAATAATTTTTGTGACCAAATAATTGAAATAAATAAACTCTATTTGAACCAATAATTTAGGTATTTCAAAAAAATTATTTAATTGACACAAATAAAAATTATTTGGTAGATATTTATTTGATAAAAATTAAATAACCGATTAGTTGAATCAAATAAATTTTTATTTCAGTGTAGGAATAATTAAATTGAATTTAGTATGTAAATCTATAAGAAAATAAAATTATGTTTGTCTTCCACTAAATATGATAGGTCACAAGTTGATAATGAAACTTGAATTACATATTAGAATTTAAAGATTTTTGTGCAGATGTTGATAAAAATGATAGTTCTTCCGATTCAACAAATCGAAATGCTGAGAAAGGTTGGAGTCTATGGAGTATAGTGCGAGGTGGTTGGATAGCGAAAGATGGTACTTCTTCGCCAACACCAGAAATGAATTCATCGTGTCATCCTCATGAAGGTAGTAATTTATCTTTTTACCTAATTTTAAGAAAAAATTTACTGATGCTGTTCTAGAAAAAGGGGAAATTTAGTATGAAATTTTTAAAAAATTAAAAAAATTTTTGTTTTAAATTTCAAATTATTAGATTTTTTATTATAATTCATTAAATTCAATAAAATTTCTTTGTTAGGGGAAAAACTTTTTTATAAATTTTTTTTCTTGTAGCTATTCTGAATGAGTAAAAATTAAAAATTACAATAAATAATAGAATAACATATTTTAACATATTTAACAGAATTAAATCATCGATTGGATTATGTACTTCGTCCAAGTGGTTTAGGAAGAAATTATCTAACAACATTAACCTCTCATACAGGTTACTGGAATAATTATGACGTCGCCTATTTTGTTATGACCAAATTGTTCCCTAATTTGGAAATGTGATTTCAAATTTTTAGGCAATATATAGTGAATTATTGTAAAATAATGTGGGCCTATTAAGTCAATATAAAAGGAAAGAAATGCCACCAAAACAAATCTGTGATAATGTTATGTTAAAGGTAACATATACAGTGTAGGTAAGTTTTTTAATGAACTCTTGAAATTCAATGTTTTCTAATTGAATATATATATATTACATAGTAATATAGATACGTTATTTGTCAATTTTTTAATCATACATACATAGTTTATTGTATATATGTTGTAGGCAATTATATCAGAAACCAGAATTACTGGATTTTGTTTTGTCTACTTTTTATATACATATAAAAAAAAACTATTTATATGTTATGTCAAGTAGTATTAACGACAATTTGCGTGCCTTTATTGTTTATGAAAAAAATAGAAATTAAAATTAATGTTAAATTTTCTACACAGCTTTGATTTTATATTAAAATATTTAAATTTTTTTATATATATATAAAAATATGTTATTCGTTTTTTCATGCGAACTTTTTTGCATAATTTATATGTAGACGTTTTAAAGTAGGTTAATAAAAAGCACGCGCTATGTGCTATTTTTAATTCGTTATTATCATTCATCGTTGAATATCACAATATTTAAAATTTTGTTTATTGTTATATATATATATAGAGTTTACCAAAATTTAGTTCTCAATAAATTGGTTGAAACTAAATTTATAAGGTTATTATAAAATTATCGTTCGGTTATCTTCAATTGTAAAATAATATAGAATATGAAGTTCAGCCTTCTCATCAGGCATGAAAATACATTTATTTTTAAATCATTTTATTAATATTAATATAAATTATTTTGTGATAAGTTTTCAAAATATTTGGTATTATACATACATTGGTATTATATTATACTTATATAGATTTATATTCTTCTCTTTTATTTATGAATTATTTGTCGCTATTCAGACTAAATTAGAGGAATCTTTTCAATAATTATTTAGCTTTTTAGTTTTTGTTATTAACTTTTCAAAATTCTTTTACTTGTTTAAACAATTGATTGTTTATCGATTCAAAGAATTTTATGCTAAAGAAAATAATTATATCCTATTCTGGCTAAATCTTAGGTTTATCAGAATCATCTCTATAATTTAATCTTTCAAATTTCTTTTGAATGCGTTCTTCAGAATGCGTCACATAAAATAAAAAAAGAATAAAAATATTTATTTTTTATTGTAAAATAATTATAGAGAAGTATTTAACTTTATGCCTGATGAGTAGCCCTAATCGAGCTTAAAAAAAAAATGAGTGATTATCAACAAAGTAGTAAATGAATTTTTTCATAAATTGAATGTTTTGCACCGATTTTTGAATTAGTGTGTATATAGATAAAAAGCACAAAGATTATGTGCAATATCAAAGCTTACACTATCATATGACTTTAGTTGACTTTCACGGAGAAAAATGAAACATTAAAATAACAAGCTTGTAACTTGTTAAGAAATTTAAATATTTATAATATAGAAAAAGCATAACATAGACAGAGTTTGTTAAAAGCCTTAAGGAAGTTTTATCAATAAGATAAATTAATATTAGTTTTGCTTAACTTTTTATGTTAAAGAGTCAGTGAAATCAAAAAAACTGAATGTTTTCTACATCAACTAGTCCTTATTGATAGAATTTCCTTCATTATCATTTATTGCGTCGATTTAGAATTAGTTTCTAAGTAATTAGTCAACGTTATTTGAACAAAAAGACTTAAAAAAAGATAATGTCACAAAGGACGATTGTAACCTTGCCACATTTATTGTATCGATTTTAAAGTAGAATCGGACCAGCAGTCGAAACAAAAAGTTAGACAAATTCAAAAAATTTTAATTTTTATTAAAATACAAATTTTAATGGTTAAAAATATAAAAAAAAATTTACACTTGCATTGTGTAAAATTTTTAAGAAATGAAATAACATTGTCTGATTCTTTCTTAATAAAAATAAACAGATGCATTTGCGTTATATCAAAGTTGGTTACACGTGAGTTAAAAACTTGCGATAGATTTTAAGTAGCTCATGTGCGATCAATTGTTTAAATCCTCCAAGATTTAGAATTTTAAATTATAATAAATATTAATTGTAATTTATAATAAAATATAAAGTGTTAATTACCTGCAGTTAATAGGTTTTGATTGCAGCCTGGAAGTGAATATATATATATTTTTTTTTTTGAATGAGACAGACCAATATTGTATAAGTGATTTAATATCATTTAAAACTCTTAGGATAAATTTTGCAGGCCGCGGATTGTACGAATTTTTTTTTACTATTTTCGACTTATTTTAATAAAAGGCGACTTTTTCTATTCAAAAATTCTTTAAAATCTCTTGGAATTATTTTTAAAGTTATCTAAAATTTATCGACAAATTAATAATATTTTATTAATATTAAACAATATTGTTTCAATTTAAATCATTTTTATTTATTTCTTGTAAAATTCAATTATTTAAAATATTTTTATGTAAAAATTTTCCCATTATATTTTTCATAAAGTATTTTATTTTTAAAAAGTGGTTGAAATTTTTTTTTAAAGAGACGTAATTTTGTTTTCCAAAATCCATTTATGAAATTCTGGAAAATATGTCTCAAATTTTTAAATATTTAAATAAATTTTCTTGATGAATTCTTATACAATTATTCTTATTAAGAAATTATTAAAAATTATTTTTATTATCTAATAATAATATAAATAAAATATTTATTAAATAAATAAATATACATTAAAACTTTAAAAATCGAGTTTTCTTCTAATATAAAAGGACTAAAATTTTTTTATTACGCCTTAAAGTCGATTCGAGGTTTTATTTTACGCTCAATAGTCTAAAATATCAGATAAAGGACTATAGTAAAATTAACAAGGCCGCTATATAAAATTAAGTGAAACACTTGTTATAAATATTGATCATGTTTACGTTACTTGCCTATATAGTAAAATTTACAAGAAAGACTTGTCAAAATAAGCACTAGCCCAATTTTTTGTAAAATAAACTAGCATTCAAGTTAATTTTACATTTCATTCTTCTCCGTGTGTTAAAAAGTAATATCCCGTATAAGAGCTTGACTTTGTATTTTATTACCCGAATTGTTTAATAAATCTGATTTAGGTTTAAAAAAAGTGTTTCTACATTTTTAATCCTTTTTTTAAGTGAAAACTAAAATAGTTGTTGTTTTTGATTAATAATTGCGAGAAGATTTTTCCTTAATTTATTAAAAAATATCTAAATATAATATATTTATTATATAATTTATTTATAAAATATCTCTTAATTATTCTTAATTATTAAAAAATTCTTATTTTTTAAAAAAGAAATGACAAAAAAAATTTATGAATGTGAAAAAATAGAAAACAACTTTTGCTAATGAAAAATTGATTATTATTATATGTATTTATAATATACAAAATTAAGAACTTTTATATTAAAGATACATAGTACAATTTTGAAAAAAAAAATAATAAATTGACATTTTAACTTAAAATTCAATTTTTTTTTACACAAGAAATTCGTGAAATTTTTCTTTACAAACTAATTATAAGTACATGATGATATTACAAAAAAAAGAACGCAATATTCATATAAAATGAGATATATATGTATGTGTACTTGACATGAAAGTGTAAGATTAACAAATAATATACACGATATATATGTTCTTATGAAAATGTAATTGCTTTCAAATATCTTTAATTATGAGATAAAAGTATGCCTCTTTTTTTTTTACCAATTTAATTATTTCTAATGACCTGCGTCTCTTCGGAGCAATATATATATTTTATCTTTGATCCAACCTTTATTGTATGGAGCATATGTATTGGTCGATTTTTGGTACACCAAACAAGATAAATCTGTTAGTTGATCAACAAAATCGAATAGCTGACTAATGTCATACGTAATTATTGATGTATTTGGATTTCGCCTCTTCAAGTGTTCCTCATAAATTTTGCAGACACCTAAATAATACGATTGTATTATTTATCAATGTAGTTTATGCTTTTTATTTTATTACAAAAAAAAAATTTTCACAAAAAAGAATAGTTTCTACAAAAAAAAAAATTGTTTAAAAAATTAAAATTTTCAAATTTATGCAAAAAAAAATGCAAAATTAAAATTCGAAATATTTTTTTCATCAAACTAAAAGCAGAGATCATAGTGGAATTTTTGTTCAATATTAAGTAAAAATAAGGGGAAATTCTCTTTAGATGAAGAAATGATTTTTTTAAATAGAAGATTTTTAAAATCAAGAAATTTTCAAAACAAGTTTTGCATGTGAAATTTAACGACGAAAAAAAAATTATCATCAAAAATTTATTATTACGATGAAAATAATTTTTATTAATCGATTTATTTCAAAATATTTATTAATTTAAAAAAATTTTGTTGCGTCGAATTCCAAATTATCGTTTTTTCTAGAGAATTCAGTTAAATTAAAAAATTTAATTTAATTTAATGTAAAAAAAATTATTTTAATAATTTTTTTATTTAACTGAATTCTCTAGAAAAAATTTCTAGTTTATTAAATTTAAAAAAATTTTATTAAACTAAATTTTCAAATAATAATTCTGAATTGAATAAATTTTTATTTAACTGAATATTTTATGGCAACAATTTTTGTGAAATTATTTTTGCATATAATTAAATATACATTTATTTTTTTAGAGAATAATATAAATATTGATGATATTCAATTTATAATTTATTTTATTAATTATATTGAAAATAAAATTGTACTCTATTGTAAAAATAAATAAATAAATAGAATACAATAAAATGGTATTCTATTCTATTCTTTTTATTTGTTGAAAATATAATTGAGAGAATGTAGTATTAAAAGTTTCTATGTGTATAACGGAAATCTGTTCAAAGCCAAAAGGCATGAACTATGATTAATAAATTAAATAAATATAATTGAGGGAATGTGTAAATTTCAATTAATTTTAAACAAATTAGATGAAAAAGTAGGTGATTATATTAATATTCTGAATATTTTTGTTTTCTCGTAGAGAAAAAATAATTTTGAAAAAAAAACTTTATTTCCTCAGAAATCGTTCTAAATTATTTAAATTGAGAAATTAAAATAAAAAAAAAAAATGAATTTCTAAAAAAATTAAACATTAGAATTAATTATAAAAATTTCTGGTAAAATATATATTTCATATATAGATTATTTTATTCGTTTCTAAATGTGAAATGTATTTTCGAAATGAGAAATCAAATAATATAAATTTACAATATTTATAAAAAAAAAAATAAATATTTATTATGATGCATAAAAATTTGTGTACATTTTTTTTTATATAAAATTTCATGGTAATCGTTTTAAGTGCTTAGAGTTAGAAATTAAATTACCGAAATGAGTATAATAATAAATTTTCAATTATTTAATAATATTTTTTATTTATTAAAATAATTAAATAAATGATATTAAAAAAAATTTTTCACCAACGAAAAATTTATAAAAATATTTTTCTTCGAAATTTTCTATTATAATTAAAAATTGTTTTTACTATTAAAATTTGGATAAGAGGATTGTGAATTTATATATATATATAATATGAGTAAAAACATACCTTCCATACATTCGTTTACACTTTCATAGTCCGAATAGGTTCTTGTTTCAGGCCTATTGCCTGGTTGTACAAGAAGAATTGTATGAGACTGAAACACAAGAAAAAGAAATGTATTTTTAATATATTAAACTTGAAATTAAAAGAATATTAATGTACAAAACACATTTTTGGAGGCGAAAAGAAAATTTTTACATAGGTTTGTCAATCACTGATTGAAACTAATTAATAATATAAATAAAGCTTTAAAATACTCACCATGTTTCTCAACTAATAATCGTTTTACTTTTGTAAACAAAAAAATTGGTATTTACCAATTATTTACAGTAGGAAAGCAATAATAATAAACTTTTTTGTTTATAAAAAAACAGACTCATTTAAGTTGAATGAAGTAATTATGTCTTGAACTATATAAAGTATAAATCAGATTTTTCAGGGATAAGTTAAATTTGTCACCAGTATTGAAATAAGCGATAGGTGGCACTAGTGGTAGTAACGGTTTTATTTATGGTAGAACGTCCGAAATATGAATGGCAACTTAAAGGTGCTTTTACACTTTCAGCATATTTAGGAAACTAAAATTGGCAAAGTGTCACATATGGGAGGTTTTATGTAACAAGTAGCGCCTCTATTGACATTTACGCCATAACATTTTTTCCCCATACGAAGTCAGCTGTTTTCACAAAAAGTTTACCTATCCCACTCTGTTTGTCAATATATTTTATTGTTGTTAGGTTGGACATTCTGTCCATGTGTTTCCCTTAGTGAAGTGAGCGTCCTTTAAGGGTATTTAAAGTGAAGTTGAAATCTCATATTTATTGCGAATATTTATCATCATCTCTATTTTTTCGGTAAATAAAATTGTGTTAGATAAAAAATTTAATTTCTCTATTCATTGAAAATAATCACATCTTTAATAAAAAGTAATGTTGATAATTATTAATGTAATAAGAAAATTGTAATGTATGTTAAGTTTCAACACCAGCATCAGAAATTACTCGTGTATTGTTCATATCCGCTTAGAATTTCATTGAGTGTAATTTAATTTAATTCATTGCAAAGTGTTTTCATTTTTTCTTTTATTTCTATAATGATTGTATGGAATTTAAGAGAAAAAAAAATCTCAACAATTTATCAAAATAGTGTGCAAATCATGCCGGCAATAAGGTTTTCATTAAAATCAATATTTTCAGCCTATTGTCATCAGATGTGAATTGTTTAATTAATAAATAGACAATTTATTTAAATTGATATTAACGATAGAGATTTTTAGTGATAAATTATGGTTTGTTGGTAAATTAAAAAAATTCCATTGTCCACATTGTTTTGATTATGAACTTTTGTTTACTATTGTAAAACGTCAAATTAGTTTCGATTATATATTAAATTCATTTATTAGAGTAAAAACATTTTTATTAATTTATTTTTTATTTTTATATTTTAAAAAATATATATTTTTAAATTGTATTTTTAATGTTTAAATTTAAAATTTTTGATATTTAAAGTAGTTTTTTTTTAGTGTTATTCTTTCTCTTTAAATATATATTTTTTTTCATAAATTGAAGAAAAATGGATTTTAATGTACAGAAATTTTTTTTTCTTCTGAGAACTGGTGAGTTTTTACGACTTTCAATATAAAATCATAATTTTTTTTTCTAATTTATTTATTTATTACAAAATTGTAATTTAAAAAATTTTCTATTATCTATAAATATGTCGGTTTTCAACTTTTAAACCTTTTTCTTAAGTTTTTTTTGTGAAATTATTATATAAAAATTAAAAACACACAAAATTATAAATAATAACTTGTTATCAAAGTTTATCTTGTTTTTTTTTTACTAATATTTTACATACAAAAAATATTTTCTGTTTAAAATTTTATTTCTCATACTTATTTGGTAATTTTTTCTTTTTTTTCTTTTTTCAAATTTATCCATCATATAAGTTGCATAAACTCATGAGTCTCATCAGTGTAAATATAGCATTAAAACATTTAGAGCAAATTCTTTGTAATTTAAATTGAAATATGATCTAATTCTAGCTCTTAGTTTTTCTTTTATTAATGCGCTGTAAGCTACAAATTGTTTTAAAAATTATAGTCAACAAGGATTTTTTATTTTAAATTCTAATAAATCGGTTTTTTTTTAAAATACAAATGTTAATATTTTTAAAAATGCATTATTTTCTATTAATTTTAATTATTTATTAAAAGAATTATTAGGAAAATTATTTATTAGAAGAATTAAAAAAAAGGATTTGTTGGTAAAAAATAGTTATATTCTTATTTTATTTTTAATGTGTTAATTAATTTTATATTTTCATTTTTAAATTAATAATATTGTTGCTTTTTTTAAATTGTTAAAAAAGTGAAATAGAAAATTAATAAATTAAGAATGCATTTAAATGAAATTATGTACGGAATTTATGAAATTCTTTTAAAAATTGATTTTCATTTTTAAATTATCATAAATTTATGCATCAAATTAATTTTTTTTTTTTGTTTAAACAGGGTCAAAATTATTCAGAAGTTAGAGACCAAGGCGTTCAGTATGTGGCGAGACTCACTTGGAAGGTGCTATGCACCTTCTTTAAGTGTTATTCTGCTACTTGTTTTCTCAAATTTTATTTTTGGTAAGTAAACCCTTGTTCTTTTTTTTAAATTCAAAATATAATTTAAATAAATAAAAATCACCTAAATGTCTATAAAAAAAATTAAATTTTAAAGTACCAGAAGTTTTTATTAATATGTTTTAATTAAAATTAGAAAAATTGAATTTTATAATATTCAAATTAATATTATATAATTAAAATACTAAAATTAATTTAGGTACCAGAAGTTTTTAATATTATGTTTGAATTAAAATTAGAAAAATATTTTACTTTTTTATAATATATAATATTCAAATTAATATTATATAATTAAAATACTAAAATTAATTTAAGTATCAGAATTTTTTATTTATCTTATGTGAGTAATTTAAGAAAATTGTTAAAGCGAATTTTAATGCTCTTTAATTTTTTAGATGTAATCGCTGAGGACGATACAATGGGACCTGTATTCCTTAAAGAACCGCCAAATAGAGTAGATTTTTCAAATGGTACAGGAGCTGTTATTGAATGTCAAGCAAGAGGAAATCCACAACCGGATATTATATGGGTTAGAGCCGATGGAACTGCCGTTGGGGATGTTCCCGGCTTACGACAAGTATGAATTTATTTTTAAAATATGTGAAAATAGTATAGAAATATATATATATATACTAAATAAATAGAAATATATATATAATAGTTTATAAATAAAAAGCAACGAATTTATGATAGAAATTGAAAAATTAATTTTGTTTTCACTTTTTTTAAAAACTTAATTTAATGTTTCAATATTATACAGTATATAGTAATATTGGTACTGTATTTTATAAAAAAAAAGAAGAAATATTTGGATTTAAAAAATAATTTAATTTGTATTTATCAAAATTTGTATTTTTTTTAAGGTGTTACCAAATGGAAATTTAGTATTTCCTCCATTCCGTGCTGAAGATTATCGTCAAGAGGTTCATGCTCAAATTTACATTTGTCTAGCAAAATCCTCTGTTGGATCCGTACATAGTCGTGACGTTAATGTGCGAGCTGGTGAGTTTACAAAAAAATTTCTTACATCTCACCTATCGTTGTTGAAAAATATTTTTTTAAATAGAATTTTTGTTTGCTGAGAAACTATTAACAATTAATTATTAAATAATTATTTTAAATTAAATAAATAATTAATTAATTAATAATTAAATAAATTTAAAAGTATGATTAGAGTGTCCAACGACTTTTGAAAACGTTAAATTTTCTTTAAATTTATTTTTTACCTTGAAAACCTTAAAATCATCGTGAATTTTAAAACAAAAACTTGAATTGTTAAATTTTCTAAAATTCTATTTATATAAGATAACTGATAACTGAAACATTTACAATAATTATGAATTAATTATTTCACTGAATTCTAAATAAATAATAGAAAGAGAATATTATATTTATATTTTGAAATATAAAAATCTCAGTTTAATACAAATCGTTAAAATTGAAATTTATACAGTAAACTATAAATGCGCAGAAAATATTTAGAAATATTTTGAAAATAATAAATTTTTTTTAAGATTTAGAGTTCGATTTTTTTTTTTGTAAATTTAAATAGATTAAATTTTTTTTTTTTTACAAATTTCAGACAATAATTGAATTTTAGATAATTTTTAATTAAAATATTCTGTACATAAATTAATTTTTTAAAAAACTTTATTAGTCTATATAATTATTATTAAAAATCAATTGATTTAGTAAAGAATTGAAATTTTTTGTAAATTTTTAAAAGTTGATGTGTTTTTTATACAAATTTTAGGCAATAATTGAATTTTAGAAAATTTTTAATGCAATGATTTTATAAATTATTATTAAAAATAATTGCTTTTACAAAGAATTACAGATAGTGATTTTTAGACACTATTTAAATTTTAGTTAATTTTTTATTAAAATCATTTTTAATATGTAAATGGAATTTTTAAAAAGTTAGCAAAATTTCTAATTAAAATTATTAAAAATAATAATTGATTTGGCGAAGAAGTTTAGATAAAAATTTTTAAAAAATCATTAATTTTTAATAACAGCTACAGTTAAGATTTTTAAAATTATTTGAATTTCAGAAGAATTGAATTTGGAATTTTTTAGTAAATTTGAATTGCTGAAAGTTGTTAAAAATGGTTAATAGTAATTGAATTTTAAAGAATTTTTTAATGAAAAAGTTTTTTTGAATAATTGAATTCTTGAAAAAGTATATTAAAATTATTAAAAAAATTTATTTGATTTGGTAAAGAATATTAGATCAAAATTTATAAAAATAATTAAATTTTGGAAAAGCTGTAGTTAAATTTTGTATTATTAATTAAATATCAGAATATTTTTATTTAAAAAATTAAAAAAAAAAATTTTAATCTGAAAAAAACTCTTTATACCTACAAATTTCAGTAAAAATTTCATTTAGATTTTTTAAAAATAATTTAAATTTCGAGGAGCTGCAATCAAAGATTTTAATAATAAATTAATTAATTAGCTTTGAAAAATTTATAATACACCTTTTTTACAAAAAAAAGGAATTAAAATAAATAAATAATTAAACTAATGATGAAGTTAATTACAATTTTTGAAAATAGTAAAATTTGCAAAGCGTTTGAAAATGTTTCAAATAAAATTAAAATTTTGAAAATGATTGAATTTTTTAAAGAATTCACTTTTTGTTGTCACAAAAAAATTAAGGTACAAAAGAATTAAGAGTTACTGCGTTAAAAATGAACCCAAAAATTATTTTGTACCTTAAAAACCTTGATAAGGTTTAACTTTTTTTTAAATTGCTGGACACCCTGATTATATTTCAGTAACTAATTATAATATTGCAAACGAAAATTCTGTTAATAATTAATTTCTATTTATGGCCATGTATATAATTTAGGGATATCCAAAAATACAAAACTCAATATAAATAATTCTTTATAATCGAATTTTATAATTTTACAATTTTTATATTTCAAATAATTATTATTTAAAAAATCAAAATTAAAATTAACCAATCAGAAATTAAACAAAAATTTTAATTAGTCAATTTTTAAATTCGTACCGAAATTTTTGTCCAATATTTGTTATGAAAATTATACAATTAAAGTTCTATAAAAAAATTAAAATTCAATCCACATGACAATTTGAGTAAAAAAAAATTTCGGACACAAACATTTCGTGAAATGTAAATTCTTTCATTTAAACATTTCCATTCACTTAAAATTTTGTTTAATGAGAATTCTGCTAAATGAAAAGTAATACTAACTTTTATGTATGTATAGATCAACTTTCATTTTAAAAATTTTCAGCAAGATAAAAATTATTTTAATGATTATTTCTTTCAGTATTAGGCTAATTTAAAATTGTAAAAAAAAATCATGGAGCGAAATTCAACACTGTTCAGGTTTACCATACACTAATAATATTTTTATTGTTTTTCCGTTTTTAATTTTCCATGAAGCAATTAAATTGCGTATTACTGCCGTTAGACGAAACTAGGTTTTGTGCACGTTAGGGATCGATTACGAATCAATCAAAAATAGCATGAAGCCGTCTGATGTGACTACAGATATTTCATTAAAAAAAAAAAAACTGACCAACTCCGCGCTTTTAAGTTTAATTTTCGAGTAATTGAACTAGGAGGAGAAAATTGTTATATAACGATCACCATTAATTAAAATAACAAAATTTCAATAACACTTGAAAAATAAATTATATATTTAATATATATATTATATATTCGGAAAATGAAAAAATGTATTCATGTTTAATCCTAGTTGTGATGCAGTTTTATGATACTGATGTTAACAAGGAGTATGCTATTCGAGGTAACAGTGCCGTTCTTAAATGCGTCGTACCATCATTCGTAGCTGATTTTGTAACAGTTTTATCATGGCACACTGATCAGGGGGAAGAATTTGTACGGCAAGATGATGAAATGGGTACAACACTAATTAATGCATTTTTTTTATGAATTTAACAAAAATTGGATTAGCTGAAAAATTCCTAAACTAAAAATTTTATTTTGAAAGTCTCAGCGCGTGAAAATTAATTATGAAAGTATTTTTTTATCAGTGATTTTTAATAAGCATAGCAAAAAAAAAAAAAAAAAAAATTATAAATGAACGAACGAAAGAATATTTTTAACAGTAATTTTTTAACATTTCGATGATAATAATAATAATTTCGCGTCATATTTGCTCTAAGACATCAGGTTTTCCATATCTTTTAATCTACAAGTTCAAAAACATGATTTTTGGCGTAACATAAATAAAATAATGTTTTTTTTTTAAATGGTTGATCTAAAATTCTTCCCCTTCGAAATTTATTGGGATTAATAATTTTTTTGTACGCTCCTCTAGCGTTGGTGATTAGTTAATTAAAAAAAGATGTTAGTAAAGTTCTCCCTTTGAGCGCCTACATCGGCTGCTGAATAATTTTTATTTAAGCGTTAATTATAATTGTAGCAAATAATCATGCTTTTTTTAGTTTCATGTTTAGGAATATGTTATAGTATTGCTGGGGAAATTAAGGAACAAGAGAATTTAGATATTTTAATATTCCCTGTTTAATTTACGAAGCAGAAGGGTTTGAACAAACATGATATAGGGAAAAATCCACTAAGTAATGAAGCCATCATAAATACTTATTTTATTATACACAATTGAGTCTTGATTTGATAATAGTCTTTGAATGAGATTGAGAATTTGAATTAGAGCGCGACCAGGTTCATAGTTGCAGGAGTTCAAATTGATGATAAAATAAAAATATATTTACACGTGGACGCCAGTTAATTTATTAATTAAAATTAACAAAAAAACTACAGCATACTACGATGCGAAAATCATTCGAAACGACGCCGTGGGTTTAAAGATAACAAACTTTCGGTTTCCTGATCATTCAACTTATTATTCCCTACTTTAATTCCTCAATTTAATTTAGTTAAAGAAATTAAGTTGTGGAGATGTTATTAAATGAATGAACAAAATTATAACGATGATAATTAAACAGAAGATTATTTATTTATTATAAAAATTATATTTTCTTGATAATTAATAATTGTTTAAAAGAACAATTATACAGTAAGATTATTTGACTATGAATCACCCCCAATATAGTGTTAAAGTTTATGAAGACTTTAGTATTATAATTTTTTTTAATGACTATTTATTTTTTATTTCTATTTGTTTTTTTATTAATAATGCCAAATACGATGATTATTTGGGGTTATGTTTTGATTTCATATAACCAAAATGGTTTCCAACATGCCTTTTCTGCTATCACGTGATGACTTAAATCATCGCGCGCATCCAATTTCAAGCGGCAAATTTAAAAATGACTCCTCTTCAATGTTTTTTTTCAAACTTCTCTGTAAATCGGGTTGCATATTTCTAAAATAAAATATACTAAAGTCTTCATAAACTTTAACACTATATTGGGGGTGATTCATAATCAAATAATCTTACAATCCTTGTTTTACATGATTTTGTATTATTACCTTAATACGTGTATTGATGGGTCTCCTAAAAATGGATCTTCTATGAAAATTTTACAACCGCTTGTAAAAGTTATTTTTATTATTGGATTGACACTGGTGCTTCGTAACCCAGGAAAACTTAAACTTTTGAATGTTGACACTTGATAGACAGCGTTCAAAGACTCATTATTATCTTTTCAAGCTCTCTTAAAATAAGTTTCGTTGAGATTATATATAAAAATTATATGTTTTTAAGATACATTAACATTGTAATTTTAATTGATTTTACATATTATAAACTACTTACATTTTGCAAATGTTGTGGTAACCCTTTTTCAGTACATCACAAAAATGAAAGTTCACGTGAAAATATTTCTAATTATATTGGGTAATAATTTAAAATCCCTTTCAGTGGTACATCAATATTATCAATCAGAAGTCAACAACGAATATGTTATTCGTGGCAATGCAGCTATTCTAAAATGCAGTATTCCAAGTTTTGTCGTAGAATTTGTACAAGTTGTTGGTTGGCAAGATGATCAAGGAAATTCATTTGATCCTGTTAATGATAATGGTAGTTATTTAAAAAACAAAAAATGCGAATAAATGGAACTATATTCTTTATCGCAATAATGAATATACCCACTGGAACAAAACAGTTACGGCAATTTATAAAAAAAACTGAATTTTTCAGAAATGATGATGAAATTTTTAAGAAACTTTTTCAAGAGTTATATAATAAAAAAAAAAATCTCTAATTACGTTCCGCTTTCTAATTCTTACGTGCATTTTTGTTATACAGTTGTCACACAATATTATGAAGCTGAAGTGGTGTCCGAATATGTGATTCGTGGTAATGCTGCAATATTAAAATGTACAATTCCTAGTTTTGTTGCTGAATTTGTATCAGTTGCTTCCTGGGAGGGAAGTGACGGTTCCAGCTACGAAGCTTCATTTAATTATGGTACTCATTTGAAGTGCAATAAAAACTATATATAGTAGTTTTGAAAAATTCTAAAAAATTTAAGTACAATTACCCCAATTAGATACCAAAAATAGAAACTGAATTTCATGAGATGATTTGTCCATAAGATATACCAAAAAAAAAAAACGGCGTGGGTAGTGGCAGTATGGACATTTATCTTTATTTTTATTCCTAAGATTAATTTCTTTTTAACGAACGAATTATCAAAACGGTTTTTGCTTAAATTTTTGTCACAGTTGTTACACAAGTTTATCAACCGGAAATAATGACCGAGTATGTAATACGAGGCAACAGTGCAATATTGAAATGCAGTATTCCAAGTTATATAGCAGAATTTGTTACTGTTGATGCCTGGATTAGAGATGACGGAGAAACTTATGTTCAACATTTAACAACATTTAATCAGGGTATTAATATATTTTGGTCTAAAATAATATTGTATTATTTTACTAAGGCCTGCATAACTAACAATTCATTTTATAATTGAAACATTTGATGCATTATGGTGATATACATGATTGAATAACTTCTCCCATAATCGGAGATATAGAGTTTTTCATCTATAGTGATTATCTTTGTTGCATTTAATTTTTCAATTAATTCGCGCGAGCAGTTTGTTAATTGTTTCCGTGTTACGTGAATTCTTGTTAAACGGTATATAAATCTTGTTAAAAATTTTAACGAACTTTAGGATTTCCCCTGTTACAATTTTTTGTTAGGTTTAAAATGAAGCGAATCCTTGACAAATTCCCACAATTAGACATATAAATTGGAATTTCATACCTTTTATGTTGTTGCTCGTCAACTTTAACAGACATCCAACCAGAGTTTAAAAAACAATCGAATGTGATTATGATTATAAATATTGTATATTATTTTTGAATTTAATTTTAATCAGTGATATATGCAACTTAAAAGGACCTTAAATCATTTATTTGGACATCACAATTTTTTTAATTACAGCTGTGTCTCAATATTTTGAAGCTCAAGTTTACGATGTATTTGCAATACGTGGAAATGCAGCTATATTTAAATGTCAAGTTCCTTCATTCGTAGCAGATTATGTGGAAGTTGCCGACTGGATTGATTCGAATGGTGGAAAATATTATACCAAAGAAATTGATGGTACATTATGAATTAATGAAAAAGAAGTTATTTTTTTTTGATATCGTATCACTTTTTTCCCCCCCCTGAATCGATGAGCACTACTGCGTTATCTCCTAGTAAAAATTCCTTATTTCAATGGGTTCGGTTGTCTGGTTACAGTTGTCGGGCAGCAATATGCAGTGAACGTGATGGATGAACATGTCTTACGAGGGAATGCAGCTATTATCAAGTGTCATATACCAAGCTTTGTTGCTGAATTTGTCGTGGTTGCCTCGTGGGTAGAAGATGGTATCACAGATATTTATCCCCAAGATGAATACGGTACTATTCTTAACAAATCGTTTAATCGTGTTTATCATTAAATTAAATAACATTTCTTTCTTTACTTTTTTAATTTATGGGACTTGCTCTTTGCTTCATAATGTTTTTTATTATGCATTTTGATATTCTCAAGTTTGGATTAATTCGAGGGGAAATTGTTTATTATTCGAAATCAAGTAGAAGAAAATGCTAAATTGATATCAGGATACTGTTACTCTTAGGCAACGAACATTAGTTACATTCCTACAATTAGATGTAAATTATTTAATTTATTATTATTCCTATTCTAACAACAGCATAAGACATTTTTTATTGATAATTATTACAGTAATTTTTAGCACGTACTTATTAAATCAATCATTGCGTCATAGTTATTATCTTAAAAGGATTTATTATTTCAAATAGTTAATAATGTTCATCAGCATTCAACTAGACTTTTTAGTTAATACTAAATTAATATGCTATCAACTTTGATTACTATAGTCAGGATTAAAATTTTGCCAGGGGAGGTCCCTGTATTTTATATCTTCTGATAACGATAATCCATTGAATCATGATGTAAGGGAAGTAGAATAAGATTTATCTTCTTCCTTTCCCTCTGAAAATAGCAGATATTCGAAATAATCTAGCCAAGGAAATACACTGTCTTATAAAATCCTAAGATAAGTTTTCCGTTAATATTCTTATCCTCAAAATGTCGGTTGTCTAGAATCAGATCATCTACTAAGAAGTAACAGACAAACAAATTGGTCCCTTCCATCATAGATAGCAATCCTTTAGAGACGACATAGATTTTCTTCTGGAAGCACAATATGCATGATTGTTAGATTAGGTTACATGTTTTCAATTAGCATTAGGTAAAGAATGATGTATTTCGGAAACTATTGGAAATAAAGGCTTAAATGTCTCCAAAACCAAAAGACTATTTTTGGAATCCGATAAGTTACTTTAGAGTGAATAACCTACAGTTAAATATCTCTATAGTTAAATCTGATGGTAACATCAAATTCATACATCTTCCATTACAGAAGATTATCAGGGGTCCCAGAACACAGCGGAATTAAAGGTAACAACATATCGGATGAAATACGAGCTAGGGAACAATTTATCGAACCTAGTTGGTGTTTTTGGCAAATGTCTGGTAATTTAAGCGGTGGCGAGAAACAGAGCATGAGAAACAGTTGCAACTACAGATTGTAGACAAGTCAAGGCACTCATTGGAAATAATGTAGACCTAAAAAAAACCAGCGGAATTCCGCAGACTCAATAAGAAAGTGGCGAAAACCGTAACAGGTCTTTTATAACCACTCACGGAGAGTTACGCTATCATAGACATAAAATGGAAAAGATTCATGAGACGCCAGCAAATTACAGGTTATTTTTTTCTTGGAGAAATAGCTATTGCTAATAATAGTTTGTCTGCGGTTCTTCATTTACAGGAAGGGCTTTGAACCTACGACTAGATATAGCTTTAGGGACGCATAAGGGATTATCCAAGCTTTGGTGTCTGTCACGTAGCTACAACCCTTATATTAATAATAATAATAGTTACTTTAGTTAAGCTTAGGAAATAATTAGAGAAGTTTACATAGTGTCATCTGGTAATAATCATCACCGATTCTATAGCCTTTTCAAAATCATCTATTTTGATACCTTTCAATGAGTCTATCTTGTGGATAGCTGCTTTAAGGCGTTCGCAGTTCCGTTGGTCCTGGAAAGTAACATGATTGTACAGCTTAATGATCTCCTATTTTTTCCCTCGTTAATGGATTTATTAGTTTTGAAGGTATTGATGATACGTCTCGACTATTATTTTCCGTGAACTTCATTCCTTAACGGTTGGAACCTAGGACCGTCACCTACCTGCTTCCTGTCCTCTATAGTTATTTTTTCAGTTTTTTCTGGACTTCTGCTTCCTGGGCAAGGTAATCAAAGTTATGGATTAAGATTCACCGACTGTTTACCAATGTTTACTTTACCGTCTTGGTAACCTCTGCGATGAAAACTACTTTGTTGAAATCGTTTCAAATTTTAATCAGGCGATCTCCTTATATTGGTAGGATTTGCTCCTATAATTCTTGTATTGCTGACAATTGGATTTACTTCCATACGAAGTTTGCTCAGAACATCGGCATACGTTTTTCCATCGTTAACTTTGATTACCGTTGTTGATTTTTGTCCCAATTTTCTCCATTTTAGAACGCTATGATTTCAGTGCTCACTCATCTTCATAATGATCCCTTTGGGATGTGGTGTTCCTTCTTTTTCTTCTTCCTGTTTTCGTTTTGAGTCTTCCTTGGACTAATGGAGTTTCTTCTCTTCTTCTGTTTGTAGTTTAAAAATAATCATTCTGATTTGAAGAAAAACTGTAATACAGATCGTTTAAAGTAGTTGTGATGGGAGAAATCAGGTTTGGGAATATAACAAGATTAAAATAAAAAAAAATTTGACAGAATGAAAAAAGGATAAATGTAGATAAAAAGAAGGATTTTAAAATTTTAGTTACAGATTGTAATAAAGAAGGGAGTGATAAATTGAAGAAGAAGAATTTATTATTTTGCAATGAAGTAACATATGTGAAGAATAAAACTAAAATATTACTGTATCTTTCGTTCGTTCGTTTTCTTTAGAATTAAAAAATAAAACGTGATTTTCGGAGGCGGAACGTAATTTTTGACATAAATGTAAAATTTGTTTTTTGTAACTATTCTCTCGCATTATGAAAACGTTAACTGCCGCTGCTCGCGCTGTTCCAGACTTTCCAGAATATCAATTATTCCATTCCTTTAATCCATGAAGGAGGGACTGTTCTTTAATATATAAAACTAGAATTTAAATTACATATTAACGTAATGTAACAATTAACACAGATCACATATTTTATTTTACTTTTTATTGATTTTATTTTATTATGTTTTATTAATTTTTGTTATTTGACTTCCTGAATAGGAAAATCTTTTAGATTTCAAAACATTGGAGTAAACTTTTATTAAAACAACAATGGTCCGAATGTTATTGTTTTATTCATACAAAATCTTCTAATTAATATACTTCTCCGACGTTAAATATTTTTAATAAAATAATATTTTATTGGAATTTCATTTTTTTTCATATGTAAAAAAATAAATATTACAGAACAGTCTTCCATACCTTTACACGGAAAAAATTGTAAACTGAAATAATTATTCAACGAAATCTCAGATTGATTTTAGCCATTGTTTTTTCCGTGTAAATCATATTCCATATTTATTGTTTGTATTAACAGCATGCTCATCAACTAATGGTTATAATATAAGACTTGAGAAATGAGATTCTACTAGCATAATGAAAGAATTATATTCTAAAGTTGATAAATTTATACTAAAAAAAAATGAGAATTATTAATTTAATTACTTTTTTCTGTAAAAAACTACATAAATTATTCCTCCTTTCTCTTGTCTTCTTCATTAATGTACAATTTTTGTAGCCTTAGACTTTAAAATTTTATATCAATTAATGACCCCGTAGAAAATACAATTGCAAAAAGGTTTCGGTGAAATTTGTTGCATCTTTGTAATTTTTTAGTTTCCAATCTTCTTAACAAAAAATAAAAATGGCAAAATTCCACTCCAAAAGAATTTACAGAGGGCTAAAAATTAAAATCTTCTTACAAAAGGCAAGATTTTTATTCGTAGCCTTCTTTTCACCATTTTCGTTTTTTATCCCGAAGGTCCCGAACCACAAAACTACAAAGTCATAAAAATTTTAACCAAAACCATTTTCCAATGTATTTTATAAAAAATTTGTTAAATGCAATAAAAAAAAATTTATTTTAAACTTTATATAATAAATTTAATGATAGAAAGCAATAAAACAGTAGTTTTTAATTTTTTAATCATTTATTTTTATTTTATTTAAAAAAAACGAAAAAAGTAAAGTCTAAGGTTACAAAAATAAAGTAACATATTTTGCATGTCGTGAATAAAAATATATTTATACTAAATAATGTTACTTGATATACAGAAGTAGAATTTTAACATACTATTTTAAAAATTCTACTTTTATAAATTAAATTATTTTATTTAGTGTAAAATATTTTTCTAAAAATAAATTCACTATTTTTCTTTTAATGTTTCTAGTGTAATAATTTTTAATGTTTAAAACAAGAAGTACATAATTAAAGAAATAATATTTTAAATTTATTTCAAAGATACTTTTATAAATTTTTTTTCTGAACAGATTAAATTATTGATAATTTTTGATTTTTTTTTTATTTCTAGAAAAATTAAAAGAAAAAGAATTTAAAAAATTGCATGCTATTGATAATTAAAAAAAAAATACAATAAATTAACACACGTTTTATTGGGATGGTTTTTTTGGGGTATAGATGGAAAATATCTTGTTCTTCCATCTGGAGAATTACATATTAAAGATGTTGGACCAGAAGATGGTTATAAAACTTATCAATGCCGAACTAAACATAGACTAACTGGAGAAACAAGACTTTCAGCAACCAAAGGACGTTTAGTCATCACTGGTGAGTTTAATATAAATTACAGAATAATTTTTTTTATAACAAGTGAATGTCGATATTGATTTTAGATTTTTTTTTATTAATATTCTATCTGACTTGTACATATAAAGATTAAAGGAAAATTTAATTACTGGATAATTTAAATATATGAAATTAAAATATATACATAAAAATTATTTACAAATAAATTGTTCACATGTTACAAATATTCTAATTTCAAAATGGATATTCACTTGTATATTCAAAGGCACTGTGGTCAAATTAAGAAAAACTTTAAATTTCAGATTTGTTTTTTTTGTCAATATAAGATATTAGAATTTTCTTTGAAAATTTTTAACTTAAGTTGCTCAAAAAGTCACTTTTCTAAATTTTTTTTGCTATATAAGTCAATAACGCCGCGATTTAAAATTATACAATTTTTACAACCAACCCTGCTGGATGTGAAAAGAAAAAAAAAAATTAGAATACATACATACTATACATTATTTATTGTAACGGATTTTTATTAGATATTTAAATTAATCAAAAGTGAACAACTGGAACAAAATTTTTTAAAAAAGACAAATAATAACAAAGCATAAATTAATAGAAACAAAATTAAAATATTAAGAGATATTTTAATATAGTCTACATTAAAATCACGCGATACTAAATATTGTCTTAGAAAAAATTACTAAAACTCAAATAGCGAAGATTTAAAATAAAAAAAGATTCAACAGTTTAGGGAGCGAAGTTCAAAAACGTGCGTTACCTATGGCTATGAACCGGAATAATTTTTATAGTTTAATAAAAATAGTTAAATGAGAGTATTGAGACGGAATAATTTTTAGTTTAAATAAAAATAATTAAATAAGAATAAAATGATCAAAATTCACTTCCAGGAATACGAATTTATTGAACGAAAGATAAAATAAAATTTAAATACATTAATCACTTACTTGTAAAGATTTTTATAATGATCTAATATCGACTTTTTTGCTGATCAATTAAATAATAAAATAATAATGAAAATTTCAAATACATATTGTAACGATAGTTTGAAAATTCGCGGGAAAATATTTATACTAAATTTATCATATGTCGATAAATATATTACCGACCGCAGAGAATACCGACGTAGTACCTGTTCACGCCGCGCGCGCTGTATCGCAGAACTCTCGCATGCGCATTAGCCACCGGACGGCTATATAAGCTGCCCTCCCGCAGAAAATTGTCACTCTTGTGCTTGACAGGGTCGATGAGGGTCTCACCCCAGGAATCTCATACCGAATATGTATCGTAGAGAGTATCACTCTCGTTTCAACGTTCTTATTCTAGGATATTTGATCATTTTATTTCTCAAAACAACGTCAAGGAATATTTTTCCGTCACAATTAAGAAATACGATTTCTATTTCTTCATATCCATCAGGGAAGTAAGTAAATTCATTGTTGCTTTCATACATTAGTATCAATTGTACAAAAGTGTTTAATATTTATGATTATAGTGCCTTTGTATATTATGGATAAGATAAGCAAATAAAATACGAATTCAACTTTTCAATCAGATGGCTTAAATTCTATAACATTTTTCTTCAATTATTGTTTAAAATCTAAGTTTTACAATAAATTGATGTTTCTAAAAGTGATATTTCTGTATTTATATTATATACTTAATATTTTGCAATATTCTCTAAAAAAAAAATTAAAAACGAAAGTATTGAGTTTTATGGTATTTTGATTGCTTGAATTTAATTCGTATTTTATTTAACATGAGAATGAATGACTGGTTTAATAATGATTCAAAGTTTTGATCTGTTAGTATTGGACGAGACATGAGTAACCACTAAAATTTATAAGTTGGAATTTTCATTTGACAAAATTTAAACATATAGCATTTTCTTTTACTCGAATGTTCACTTCTTTGAAAATTAGTATTTAACAGAATTTTGATTTAAATAAATTTTCATATTACAGAGTTTTTATTTTGTTAAATTTTCTCTTGACACAAATTTTTTGTAACAGTTCGTCTATTTTATTCAATTTTAATTTTAAAGAATTTTTATTTAACTGGATTTTCATAATTTAATCAATTTTAGTTTTAAAAAAATTATAATTTAACCGCACTTTCATTTAACTGTTAAAAAGGAATTTTGCTAAATGACAATTTGTTTAAATTGAAATTCTGTTAAATAGTAATTTTCAAAGAAATGAAAATTTGGTATAAAGAAAATTCTATTTGAAGAAAATGTAACCACACATTCATTCTCAATAAAAATATTTGTTATATTATAAATTTATATAATATATTGTTTGTCAACAAACCTGGCTTAAATTTTTCAACTTTATATGAAATATACGTTTCAATTGAATTCAAGTCAAATTATAATATTACATTGTTGATATACTATCTAACAATAAACTCTACTGAAAGTAAAAAGATAGAAATGAATTAAGGTTAATTAATTGTAATTCGCATTACACCAGTTGTAATGCGAAAAAGGCCTTTTTCAAAAATGTTTTCTTAATAATAATTTAAAAAATATTATTTATTACCTAAAAGTACATGTCTAGAACTTTAATTAACAACAACAAATTTTTTTATCAAAAGCTTTATGTGTAATGAATCAACCAAGTGACGCCTTTGGGAAAAAAATGAAATCCAGTGATCAGACTTCCGCAAGTATAGTTCTACTAAAATGCAAAAATAAAATTGATTTACATTTCTTTTAAGATTCTCTAGTTTCCAATCGAAGAATTAAAAAATATACATATTTAAGAAAATGGCGACATTCTATATTTTTTTCTGCTTTTAAAAAATAAAAAAAATTCAAACGGATAAAATTTCTATCATCATACTTTCAGCAGGGTTTATATGTAATTCTAACAGATATCCTAATTTCAATTTCTTCAGAAAATAAGGTTTTTTGTAGTTGCAATCAATAATTTAATTATTCAGAATTAAATGTTTATTAAAATATGAATTTTCAATTAAAAAGACGTTGAATTCAATTTAGATTCGTAATGTATAAAGTTTTATATTTGTTCCTCTATTGGATTATGTTAATGGTACAATCTTGTAATCAAATATTTTAATAATGTAATCTGAAAACAAAGAGAGTGATTATGAGTAAAAGAAATATTTAATAAAATTAATTAAGTACATATCTAAGATAAACTACGTCACTGTGTTTAGCGACTAGAACTGTTTGTCATTTTTACATTAATCTCTAACATTTATTTTTCAAAAACTTAAGTTACAGAAGCTGCCTTCTATATCAGTTTTTGTTAAAATATTAAATATGAACAGATAATATATTAGTTTTTCAAAAACTAAATAAATGACGTAAACAATCTCAGATATGTTCTCAAAATTAATTTAGTTAGTATAAATATAAAAAGAGAACCAAGTTTGTTGTCAATTGCCTGAATGCTGGGACAGGGTACCCCTACGGGCATAATGCCACCTGAGAGCTTTTCATTATGTTAGATTTCCCCTCGGTTTAGCAAATTCATTGGATCAAAATATAATAATCTTTAACATTTTTTAAAATAATTATATAAAAATATACAAAAAAGTAATATTGCAAAATTATTCTAAATAATTAATTAGAAAAGCCAGATCAGAAGCTAGATGATTATTAATATTATTATTTGTATTACTGTAAAGTAATTACTACTGATGAATGTAGGTAGTATGATAATTAAAAAAAATAAATTTTTTTAATCTAGCAATAATCTAAGTATGACAAAATAATTAACCCCCTATTGTCGTTTATTATCGACACGGCTAGTTTGTACTGTAATAATTAAAGATGCTATTTATGCGGATCAGAGTACCCTCTCCCTATGTATTTTTATTTAAAATTATATCTAAGGATTTTTTTTACATGGCTGATGATTTCTTTAAAAAATTAGATTACATGAAACTAGATATTTATTGTCAAAATATTATTGGGGATCAGATAACAATTAATATTATTAATTAATAATTTTTTTCTCTAAAAACCACACCTTTAAGCTGAACTAATCCTCACACTACGAAACTGCCGTCAAACTTTAAACTTCGTAGGTAAATGTCTCTGGGATCTCGTTTTCGCGGGCCTTACCGTTGCCGATCTTTCTGGCTTATTTATTCTTCGTTCGTGCGAGAGTCTTCTTGGAATCCTCAAGGGTCGTTCTGTAGACTCCGCATCCTTAGCTGCCAGCGATATGGCTAATGTTCGCCTTATCGCCATATTCTTCTCTATATAAGAAGCAGCTTGAGCTTCTACTGCAGTTTGCAAACTTATGATCGACTTCACCGCACTTGAAGCACGCAGTTGATCTGTCCACTGCCTTACAAACTCTTCCTATGTAGCCGTACGACAGGCAGAAAATGACCATCACCCTTCTTTTTATTGAGCAATACATATAGCCAATCCTTATGCGTCCCAATTTCTCCAGCCTGTCCGCCTCCTCTAGGTCGGTAACTACAATCGCGAGCTTCACTCCTCGTCAGTTGGGTTCGCGGACCGTCACTTTCCTGCTACCTAGCTTCTGGAGCACTTTTGCCAACGTCCGTTGGACCTCTTCTTCCTGGGCAAGGCAATTCAGGTCGCGGATCTCCAGTGTAACCTATCATTCGACGGTCTTCACCTTCCCATGCTGCTAACCGCTTTGGAGACCTTTTCGGTGAATGCCTCCTTATTGGAGACTTCTCTGATTTTGATCAGGAGATCTCCCTTTTTTGTAGTCCTTTCACCCACGACTTGCGCGTGGCTGACGTTCAGATTCACTTTCCTCCGAAGTTTGGTCAGCATAATTAAGTTGTCCCTGTTGCGACTCGGATCGACATTGTAGATCCACTCGTTGCCTTTTTTTTCTTTTTTTGCACTGAGGTATCGCTCTCCTGTCCCTGTAAACGTCTTTACTTAAACCTTTGCTTTTCGTATCTTTTTTTTCCTTATCGTACATCTTTTTTAGGACGTCCTTTAGTGAAAAGCCCCGCCACCACAAGGTCTACTAAGAATGAACAAGATTCTT